ATTTCAACATGTAAATTTGGCCTACATTTCAGTTTCCTACCCACTACGAGTTCTGTTAAGGCCCTCGTATTAAGGCTCAAAATACAATAGTCATTCATACAACCTTTGTTACTATTGAAAAAAGCCTTTGAATGTATCACAAATAAATGAACTTAAAACCTATAAACTATTTAATGTCATACAGTTATAAATATTCATATTTCTTGATGTAATACATGCTACTGATTTAAGAGATTTAAAGACATTTTAAGACTTGAATCACTTAAAGAAGGTAATAAATTATAATCTTAGAAAAATCCAGATTAATTTTGAAAGAACACTTCCTTCTCTTTTAGATAATGAAATTGAACCAATCTGAACTTCTGCCAAGTTTCACAAACCCACAAAGGTAATATAACAGGATATACTAATGTCCTTGCAGTTTGTAGATATTAAAATTTGAAGAAGAGAAACTGTATATTTAATGTATTGAAATTGTTGAATTCTTAACAAAATTAAATTAAAAAGCACATCATAGTATATAAGATGTAAATTCAGTATAGTCAGAATTAACAAATATCATGATAAAGTACCATGAATCTGGATTTCCTATGTGAGATAAACACATAATTTGGGGATGTAAAACTGTTTTCTAAACTTTTTATGTGTATCAGGGCCATTTATGGCTTCTATTTGCATCCTATTTTCCGCAAGATGTCTGATTGTCACACATAACAAGTTCAAAACACCTCTTTGCATTCCTTTTAATCTATAATCAACACTAAGACATTGAATTAGGCTTGGCATTGCTTTAAGTACGAATTCACCAATAACATTTTGTTTTCAAGCCAAAAGATTGCATGTTAAATTATACTTATCTAGACAGACTATTAACTGATAACTTGTGTTATTTTAAGATTTTATTTGGCAATAAACTTATGTCTACATGTTTTAATTTAAGTGAAAAACATGTTTAATAAATTGATAAAATATCTGGTGTGAATCAACATATAAAAATTAATCAACATGTAAATTAATCTATTAAACATGCAATTCAAATTCTATTCCAAGTTTATTTGATTCTCCATCAAAATTCTCTAATTCTCAAGTACCTGGTAGAAATAAAAAGAAACTGAATTGATATTCACAGATATAATAGTGGATGTCATGTACTGGTAAGGTTTTGGGACCTATATTCATTTTAACAGTTTGAGGGTCATGTGAGGCTAATGTCAAGAAATAAATGCTGAAAATTTCACACTGTATAAAAGGCTAACTTCTTATGGGATATCTATTCCTCGATCTTTTAATTTTTTCTTAAATTTTGTACATTCTGTGCAAGACAGAAAACCGTTTTCAAGATCGCTATTGGTATTGATTAGGAATTTCTCACCTTAATAAGAATATTGAATAATTATTTTCTCTGCAAATTTCAAGCAGTGCTTTTTTATTCAATTCAAGAATAGGACAAGTGTATTGTCTGTAATATAGTTCTGTCTGTTGTACATGTGAAATTAAATGGAGTTTTATATACAACTTTCTGTATAAAGTATCAATATTTAATGTAGAAGAGAATAATATCTCAGATTAGTAACAGAAAAATAGGAGGATGTTATCAGAACTCTACAACTAGAACTTAACAGTACAACACCTTACTTTGATCATATCAATATTCCAGCTGTCATAACAAACTTACTACAGCCAGAATTTTTATCTATTACTATCCCAAAATACACCCTGATAATTAGGTTTATAACATTACAAAATATTGGAATTGTAGAAGCTAATTTGTGAAGAAAAATTGTACTACTTAACAATTGACAAGTTTCCCATTGAGCCCTGCTCCCTTATTCCCATAACCAAAGGGCATCTTCACAAACTGTGTCTTATACCTTGACAGCAACAGCCACCTTTCTTGTATCGCAGAAGTTTGTAAATGCAGCGATTTGATTGGTTTGTCACTAGCGTACAAGTCGCTGCATTTTACAAAGGGCTAAACTGGTAATTTTTTTGCATCTTGCAAGAAGAGTCTCATTGAAAACTCACTTTCCAATTTGATGTTTCTGAGTGGCACAAAAGTAATTCAACAACTTCAAAAAAGTGTGTAACAAGCTGTACTTTAAAAAGGATATTCATGATTAAGGAACCAAATTTTTGTATATAATTATGAATTTCACCATTTTCCTATATCTGCTTTAAATAAAGTCAAATTAACAGTCTGTTGGACTTACAAGTTAATTTATGTTTTCTTTTTTCATTCTAGACTGATCCAGCTGTGAAAATATTTTGAATTTCAACCATCTACCTTATATAAATTGCTGCAAATCTATCCAGCTTGAGTTTTCCTTTTACACAACAAGATGTTCAGGGTTACTGAGGTAACATTTTATCATCAAAGTAAATAATCAAGATTGGGAGGAAGGAGGAAGCAGTCAAAACAATTTGATGCCAAGATAAAATTCCCTCTGTAATGTTCTTTTTAGATTCTTTCTCAAATCCTGTAAATCAGGGACTATCTAGTACATGTCTGAGGCCAAAAAAAAAGGTGTCTATTTGAGGCAAGGCACGAGTCAACACAAATTTCAGATGGCCTTAGATCAATTTTGAGCATTTAGGGGGCTTAATTTTAACTTCAAAATAAGACCTTTCACAGGCCGAAGGGGAGGCCATGGCCCAATGGCCCTCAACCTAAATACACTAACTTCTAGTAATCAATAGTTTTATCATCAATCATGTTTAACTGATGTTATATACCTGCAAATGTAATTGTGAATTTATTGCCATAAAGATGATAAATTTGTCTGCACATGTGCTCGCTATTTTTTATAAACATTAAACTGCACTCTATCAGGACAACTACTTACTCAGTTGTTACTTTTGGCAAATAATTTCTGCAAAAACGTTCAATAAACATAATAGTTCAAGCTGTCATTCAGTGAAAATAATTTTGGAGTTACAGACAGACAAATATTACAGAAATAACCCTGACTGAATATATAAGTTACTTTTTTTTGTCTTTCAAACTATTAAATTTCAGACCTCCTCTTTACTTTATTACCTTACATAATATTTATACAGTAGAAATATACCAGGTTTCATTTGTTTGTTTCTTTTTGTCTACATTGAAATCGTGCGTCAAATTCTGTTCCTATTAAAACACAATTAAAACAGACGTGTAAACAGACAATTACACGTTTAATTCAAATAAAAATATCTTCATTAGTCTGCTAGCTGCTCACGTCAAAACATAAAAAGAAAAGTTTTTAACGAAGCTAACAACACATTCTAGTGTCAAAGCAACGTTTGGACTCGTTACTTGTAACTTGAAGTACATAGAAACGAACTATGACCTTATTTACCCAACTTTAGACTCCATGTTGATTCTCGTGATCCAGTGTCAACAAAAATAACACTGTACAATTATTGAAACTTTGTAAATCAACAGATTTGGAAAGAATTTCCACTCTTGTCGTTACATCCAGCCAAAATTTTAAGAATGTTTGAAGACGACTTTTGAAAGATTTTTCAATAATCTGGTAAAATGAGTAAATGAATTAACTTATTAGGCTTGGGTTTTTGTCACCTCAGCCAAGTTCAAAATGTTGCTCAGATAATACTGTGATGAGTATTTGTTCTACAACTTTCAGTTTTGGAGCTTTTTAAGGTAGACTCATATACACTGCTTATTCAAAACATCTCTTTGAGTCTGTTGAAGTCAGCATAAGCAAAGCACTCAATGTCCAGAAATCGACTGACTACAAGCCACTGTGATCAAGTGGATGGTCTCATGTGGAAGACAAGATGTAATTTTTGCCAGAAAGTGATATATGATTAACTGGTAACAACTGGCGCCAACTCCATTTATTTTGTTGGTCGACTTAAATCAGATTCTCTAAGTTGCATGAAGTCATCAAAAATTCATTTCCTCTCAAATTATTGATCCATCTGCGTGTTATTTAAACACTTCTATAACTGTATATGATGTGACATGAAGGAGCATGGTTCATGCTTTTCAGAACACCTTATTTGACAGTTTGCCAACTGAGCTTCAATTTCAGTGGGTCTTACTCATAATATCATTTTAATTATGCAACAATGAAATAAACGTCTATAGTAACCTTCAAAGTATATAAACTTTATGACAATGACCTAAAAGATTGTATAATAAGATATTATAAAGACATTGTAAATCAACAATAGATAAAGAAAGAAGGAAATGTACAATTTGATTCACACTCATTTTCCTGTATGATTACATACTCGAGTTTAAAGTTTACTGTTTAAAATGAGAGTAAGGTTGTATGATTTCCAGTACTGTACAATAGTATGATAAAGGGATTGTAATAAGGCTTTCTAAATTTAGTGCAGATTGATGTTTTCAGTGTCCCTGATACACATAAAAATGTTAGAAAACCTCTTTACAATCCCTTTCAGATTTAAGTAATTGACCAGTTAAATCATTAGTTATGATGATTATGATGATAGCAAGGTCACAGTTTCTCAATATTCTAACTTAAGATTTTTATAGTGTTCAATCTTTTTGCTTGGTAAAGTGAGTTTATTTAGCAATCGAATTGTTGCATTTCTTTAAGTCCGTATTTTGTTGGTTTTAACTCTGAAACTGTGAAACAGAATAAGATGTTGAAGACTAATTAATGAGATTGATTTCTAGAACTTGCATAGATGTTGAATTTGTGAAAATTAAAGCTTTTACAAGTGTTTAATGATGCTGTGAAAGATTTTCCACCCAATTTTAACTGACAAACAAGATTCACATGTATCTAATAAGATTGTTAAGATCCAAATGATTTCAGCCCTTCTGTATTCTGAAAATTTATTTCTGTACAAAAAAATTTGTGATACATACAAGAGTTATATTAAGTATATATCTAATAACTGAACAGAGTAGTGATAATAAAATGATTACTACTACAGTCTGCCTGGCTGAGACAACCATATAATTAGATAATAAAAAGAAAAATCTATGTCATGTCAACTGACTTAGATACTCCATAACATGTCTATCTCTCCACTGTCAATGATATCAACAGAACAGATACTAGTCTACCAAGGTTATTCACATGAAAACCTTTCAAGCTGGTCAAGTTTCTCACAATGAAATTTAGATGTGTATTTACAATAACTGAAAATATAATGACAACAGTTTTCTTTCGAAGGAAGTAAAATAAGATTGTTGAAAGAGAAAGGGGTTGGGGGCAAGTTTGACCTTAAATCTTGCAGAATCAGACATGCAATTTTCTTAAAATCTTAAAAAATATAATAATTCATTTTTTGTATGTAATTTTGATCATTATCATTGATAATTTAGAATTTAAAAACACCCTACATTTCTATTTCTGGAGGCCAGCTCTCCTTTATCAGTAGTTTTTATTACTGTGTTTAAATATATCCCTCACAGCCACATGTATAACTTGGTAAACAAATATAACCTTGATACAACTGTCAAAGGGCAAGCTGTAGCTTTGTCAAGTTGAGTGTAGGAATCTCAAACAAATGGTCGATCGTTTTGCAAAAGTCTTGTGGTCTTCTACTAATCTCTTTCTCAAAGTTCCACTTTCAATCGACCTTGAGTTAATTAGAACAAGATCAAGGCAGAAAAAAATCTTTGAAGCATTCAGGATCAAATTGGAGGCAAATCCAACCAGGGTAACCAGTGAAAACTTACTAGCATGAGAAACTTCAAAGTGGAGACAAAATCCGTCTTAACTAGAAATCTAATTATTTTCCTTGTGAAATATGTGAACATTTCCTCATTTTAATCATTAGCTTAGCAAGATGACATGATAGCAACAATAAATCAATATGGATACTTTAGGAAATCTTATTGAAATGAGATTCTGATAGAGAATGAAATAGGTGTAGGCAAGGGGTCGGATGACATGTAGCCAATTTATGAATAATCTATTTCCATCTTTGAATGGCAAAGAGAGCTTGGGGCAATAAAAGTACATTTTAACTTTCAAATGTCAAGTTAGTGTACTTGAATAACTTATATCATGTCCTAATATCTAATTTATGTCTAGCACATGTCTCCAAGCTTAAAAATCAGAGGTAAAATTACACTCTTATAGGGCTTAATATAACATTCAAACTATTTTGCCAACTAATCAACTGTATCTCTCTTTGTCATGACTTCAAACAAAATGCAGTTTTTTAAAAATCAAAATGTTGGCAAAGACATCAGAAAACCACCCTGTTTCTAAACAATAATGACATTATATAAAACTTTTGAAATTATGAAATATTTGGCACTAACCTATCATGATTAAAACTAAAAATATGCATACATTATATTGCTTGCCAAATGTATGTGTATGATAATTTAAAGTTGAACATATAGGCTTAACAACGTATTTCATCAGTGAAACCTCATAATCATCTGTAATAAAAGATTATTCAGTCTCATCCCATTTCCCATGATACTAGTTACCTTACCAAGTTTTCATAAACAACGAAGCAACACAGACTCCTCCAGGAATAGAAGTAATCTATCATATTTAAGTTATAGGATAAATACAGTAAGAGTAGATAACTGGTGTACAACAGAACATCCTTTAAGGGAATTGATTTTATTCCCTTTACACTTGAGTTACAAGTTTCTTACTGAAGCTTAAGCTCAACAATATCATTAAGTAAATGAATATAAAAGGTGAAATGGAATGAAGGTCTAATATATAGTCCACTGATTGTGACAAAAAAGATGAAGAATTAAGAAGAGATCTCATACAATGTCCCTTTCCTATAAAAACAAAACTCAGAATGAAATGTATAAGGGTGTAGAGATCAAATGAGTTGTAATGAATATTAATCAATACTAATTAATTAAGTGATTAACAAGGCAATTAATTAACAATACACCTGTCAGGTGAGGTGTCTTAATCCAGTGATAAACTCTGTGCATTCTTTAAATGGGTGATATATTAAAGGTCTAACCACTGTTGGAACCTCTTAAATTCTCAATTCGTCACTGCCAACATCTGATTATGAAATAATGAACTAATCTTGTTTTTTATTTAAATAATGGTCAACATTGTTTAATGCTTTAAAGAGGTTAAATATTATGTCAAATTTGCAGTTTAATGATTCAATATCATTAACAAAGGAAATAACGAAGAAAGAGATGACAGCTCCTCAGCATACCATAATTTTGTTTTTAAGGATACAGAATTAATGACTTTTAAGGATCATGTATTGACACTTCTCTGAAAAAACTTTGAGTATCATTTAACATAAAAGTGCTACTTGTCTTTTCTACTAGTTGTCTGTATTACAACTATTATTGTATTGTACATAGTATAAAGTTAATGCTACATTTTTTAATTTTAGGTGTGGCCAAACAAAAGGCAATGCTGTATGTATCAAGTGGAGCAGGTGTCTGACTTCTGCAATTCTATGATTCACTGGAATTTCATGATATGAGTAACTGCCAATACAGACAAGAGGATGATCATTTTAGTCATAAAGTCAATAATGTCAGTAGAGAATCTCAGAACGAGAGATAAAGAACGGATGAATGACAGAAAATTCGCACCCACCTCTCATATGACTGTCAAATTCTCCTACAATTTCCTTCTCTTTCTTCATCCGCCGTTCCAGCGCCATGACTGCTAGCACTATATATAAAATAAGTTAAAACTGATTTATTCCACACAATATAAATATATTCCTGAATTTTCATTGAAAACCAAAACAAGCCATTTTGACCGGTTTGAAGTAAGTTGTGTTGAATTCTGGGAGTTATTAAAGATTTCTGCTCCAGACGGGTCATGTGATAGTAAAAATATCAGCCAATCAAATTAGTTGTCATATATGTATTGACTTCCTCTATCCAATGAGAAAGACTGTTACATAATTGTTGATATATTTTAACCAATGATAACAGAGCTCAGAAAAAAGAGGGTATTAAGTGAAGTTTTCCCTGTAACACAAAGTAATTATTAGTGCAACTTTGTAACCGTTGCAAACTTATCAATCAACCATCTTCAGACTATAAATAAATACACATGGAGACGTTTAAATAACAACATTGAAGAAACTTGTATGACATATTGTGAAATCTGTTTTGTGATATAGTTTCTTTTCAATTATATACACTCTGAGCATTTAATTAACTGCATATTTCTGCATTGCTAATGTGTATTCTGCTGATATTTATTCCATTGTTATTTTAAGGATTTAGCCACGAAAGGAATGAGGCACTGAGGTATTCATTATTCAGTAGGCCCATTTCATACCATGAATATTCCTTCAAATAAAGATGAACAAAATGAAACTATTAAAAAGACAAAAGTGTATAATTTGGACTGTATCAGCTGTGACTCGAACCTATGTTGGAGAGGGATACCAGCTCCAGTGTTTACAGAAAAGAGAACAAGACTATTTTCAACAGACAGCCCATTAATGGAGTGAGTAATAATCGGAATGTTAGAAAAAATAACATTTTTCAGTGTTGTCATGTATTTATTACAAATTTGTGGACTCCACAAAAATATTTTTTTCTTGTAGGCCTAGTGTAATCTGCTCTATCGTCTTTATGTTGTTTAGGCCTACAGAATATCACCCTACTAGAATTTTGTAAGCTGTTTAGAATTGAATGTCAAGAAAGCAAAAGTAGAAAGGATCAAAGTCCAAAACTCTTACTATCACCTGATGCACTAACTAACACTTTGCTCTTAGCCTAGACTTAAGATTCAATGACCATATTGAATTACTTTCAGACTTGGTTTGAGGCTTCCTCGACTTAAACCCGAGTCCTATCTTTCTTAAAACACCAATTGCACATACCAGGTATTGAGTTAGTACAGAATGCTGAGATCATATGCCCTGAACTCTTAAGTAATATAACAGGGTAGGCCTAACAACACTTTAGTACACTACGACTGCTCCTCAGATACAGAACATAATGTTTCCTTCTACAATAACAGACTCTTTATTCAAGAAACCTGGATCACTTTTCAGAAAGAAGATCTGACTTATGAGTTGTCCTGCACTGATCATTAATATTCTTGATTGTTTTTGAAGGTTGAAATGAAGGTTAGGTTTACAACTTTAATGATTTGTTGGGTGTTTATTTTTAAGGAGTGTAGATTTAGTGCCAGGGTCTGAGACTATGGATAGATGTTCCTGTAGATTACAGAGCATAGCCTGTCTTCATTGGTAGGTACTACATCCAACATTGATTAAAATTTTGTCATGCAGATAGCATAGTAAACACTTACTTTAAGTGGAATTGAATTGGATTGGACACAACCAAAAGAATGAATTTTGTTGATCTCTAGCTAGCATTCCAGATTTACTACTCTTTTTTGCAATATAATATGGAAAATTAGAAGAAATAAAACACTTCCCTTAGGTGTATATCATGTTTTTTCTGTATTTTTCAGTGGTAATGTTGTAGGATACCATGTCAAAAGACCCTGTAGAAAATGTCTCGTGAAATGTAAAAATAAACATTTATGGGTATTTTACCCGGATTCTGTAACTGCCATGGAAAGATTTGATTTTAAAAGTAAGTTTGAGGCAACATGGTTTTTTAAAACATATTGATTGGAATTATTAATGCTTGGATAATTGTTGAAAAAATATTTCTCAGACAGTGTATGCTCATTGTCAATAACAAATAATAGGTGAAAAACTGAAACAAGGATAATCCACAACTGCTCTTAGTAGCTTTTTCCATTCCAATTTGACTTTCATGGTTCTGCAATTCTAAATTTTTAACATCTATTGTCATCTGATGAATGTTGGAAATCATTTTTATTATCTTATTGTATTTTTTTTGCTTCTTGTACAGAAGGTGGATTTCTGGTGTGGGGAAATATTAAGAGTATAGAAGAAGATAGTTCAATTTATTATGAAGAGTGTTTCAGATGACCCTGAACTTTTATAACAGTATTTTAGTAAATAATATTTATTGCAACTGTAATATATCATCCTATAAACTCAACATATCTTAATATTGTCAATTTTGTATTTTTCTTGAGATCTCATATGCATACCAAGTTTGATCAAAGTCAGATGAAATCTATAGCATCTATTGCCTCCACATGAAATGTTGACTGATAGATGGAGACTATGAGAAAATGAGAGTGCTTGATTTTGATCATATTAAAATGCACTGTCAAAAAGTTGAAACTGTGAATTCACAATGATTTTTTTGGTTTAATTAAGATTTAAGCTATAAGTAATGTATATAGTAAGCAATAGTTATGTTAATAATAATATATTTATTAAGTTTTTTAAAATTGTTAAAGATATGAAACTATGAAGTGCTGGATATTGAATAAATTTGTTTTTTGCAGTAAAACAAGGTGTTTTGACCAAATTCAATACAATAATGTGTGTGTGCTGTATATATTGAGTTTCTATAGCACTGTCGAATAGAGCTTGGTTATGCGAGCAAATGGTGCCTAAGGGTTCAATTCTCGATCGGCGTGTGATAGTCTGATGACCTTGAATAAGTCTTCTTCACTCATTCCAGTTCACATAGCTTTAAATGGGTACTGATAATCCGGAAAAGGTCAATGCCAAGAGGTTTCACCAAGGACCAGTTGGTAGAAATGATCCTTTCCAAAAATATAGTTGTTTCTTTTCTTTCTTAAATATTTTTATATTATCAGAAGCAACATACTAGCTTTCATTTTGAAATGCATTATTGTGTAATTCTCAAAAAGGAAACTGAATCTGACACTTGCTACTTCCTATCATCAGTACCTCGAATATTTTTCTGTATCTTTCCTCAAGGTTTAGTAAATACTACTATTGAACATTTGATTAATATTGATGATAACATTCATCATATTCTTCCTAACAAGGAAATAACAAATAAATAAATATTAGAAATTTTATAAATATCACAGTAATTCAAACATAACAATTATCACATAAAAATATAAATAATTAAATATTTCTTTTAAACAATTGATTTATATCATATAAAATGGAAGGACTGGAATGGACGGAAATTCTCAAATAATATATTCTACATTTCACAAAATTTTTAACTCAAATTGTTGGGAAACTGTGTGAAACCTGAAAATTAAGGCTATTTCATGTAAAAATCTCAACACTGGAAATTTATCAAACACCATAAAGGAATGTATGTTTTTGACCGAATATTTTACATGGGAAATTGCTGTAGAATTTCTGTATTAATGCTGATAATTTGGAAGTTGTATCATTTTTCTTTAATTTGACAAATTAACTATTTCTCTTGAAAAGATAATTAAAGATAGATATTGATGAATACTTGTGAACCTGCAGTTAATCAAAAGTATATCACATTCATATTTATGAAAAGACCTCATAGAATACTTAGAATACAATGGATAAATTTATTCAATGGATGCTATTTATTGGTTTGTAGTAGGAAATAATTTCAGTAACCAAGTTAAAAGATCTCCATTTCTCAAATTCAATCCAAGACCTGGATCAAACATGGCTTCCAAATTCTTGAGATTAGGTTTGGTGACTTCAAATGGAATCTGAAAAAGTACAACAAAAACATTCAGGAATTTCACAGTTGTTAAATGGACTAAAAGTACAAAAAGGTACCAAGGACATGCATAATTTATATAAGCTTATGTAACAAAACGAATAGTCAATCTATGCTATATACTGCGGGTAGTGAAAGGGAAATAACTCTAGTTTAAGACTACAATAATTTCTTACCTCCATAGAATCCTGATCTGTTTGAGAATTAAGGAGAGTAGCACAATCATCCAGACATTGATATAGTAATCCCTGGAAGTGAAAACATTCGACCATTATCAAACAATTATATAAGAAACTTCATATATACAGTTTTTTAAAGATGGTTTCCTTAATTTTTTAGTGTCCAATTAAGCAAACTATTTGATTAATTGGTGTTTCTAATAAATTATCATGTATTCTTAATCATATCATTATGTTCTTATTGCATATAATTAACAGTTTTAACCAATCATAAATGTTCATGTAAGTAGTCTGGATAACCAAAAAAGACTTTTTAACCTTTCTTGATCGGTCACTAACTGTAATTTTGCTGGTTATTCTCTTGTATTTTAGCTAATTGAGAATTAATTATGGACATGTGAGACAAACTGGTATTTTTCAACTCATTACAAGACCTCAATAAGCCATAACGTTTACAGGATTTATATCGAGGGATCTGATTGGCTGTATTCACTGGCTTACAATCCAATCAAATCGCTGCATTCCATGATACAAAAATAGTGGCTATTGCAGTCAAGGTATAAGACAAGGTTCATAAAGATTTGACATTGTGAAGATGCACTCCGTCAAGTACAACAACAACCTTCATTAACTTTTTACTCAGTCTCACCTCTAATTGTTCATCACGTTGTACTTTAGGTGATAAAGCTTTGATTCTAGTCACTTTTTTATTTTTAGTCTGACTGGTGGACGCAACTACAGGTTCTTTTTCTTTCTCTTTCTTCTGTTTATCAGCCAATGAAATCTCTCCTCTTTGAGATAACATGCTCAACCTGAAATATTTTTAGTGAAATTAGTACACAGCAATCAGAAGCAGAAATTCAATTTTCAATGAGCAGATTTCTAGATAAAAAAATTCAGATTTATGGCTTGAATTCTCTTAAACTGGTCCCCTGTTTCATCTTAAGCTTTGCACTGAAAAAAACGGTAAGAGCTATTGTTATATTGTTATATTGATTGGTCAAAAATTCACGTTATACACTATAATAACATCAATAACAGTCAATATTCAGTTTAGTATTATCTGAAATAGACTTGAAAATTTGACAGTTGGTTGTAAAGTGCATCATACCTGTCATGTAGATCAGTAAGTTGAACCAATGAAACCCACATGGAGCCTGGCATATAGTTAGCAGCCACATTCTTCTTATAAATAGAATAGAGTAATTTAATCTTTATATCTGGAGAGTCTGGTTGGCTGGGATCTGTTTCTTCCATTGTGGGATGGATACCACTGGATGCAGATTTCATTATCTTCTGGTGACACTACACCTTTATCTGATGGTTTGTATGAATCTTTCTTAAATCCTGGAGGAGCCATGAGATTTATATCAAAACTTCCACTTAAAATACTTTCATGGTCCATCTCGCTACTCAAACCTGAGGAAAAGGATTTCTGGGTTGGTGCAGCTTCAGATGGAGTTTGTGGAACTGGAAGATTGAGGCCAGCTGGTGGATAAGCAGCACAGCATTCAGCAGCATAGCTGGTTAGATTGGTGGATAAATAATAATGGAGATTATTCAATCTGGCAATCCAGGGTCCAGAACATAACATATATTTAATAATGTTATTGGCAGCTGAACAAGAGTTGGTATGACTGATAAAACCAAGGTCAAATTCTGACCCCACCGTACCACTACCAAGAGTAGTTTGTGATTCGACTGTTGGTACACTGAATGATGTCATAGTTTTTGTAGAAACCAATCTGTGTAGGATACTTTGGTAACCTGATGAAAAAAATATTGATATCAGTGAAGAGAAAAAATACCCTAGTATCAGTTTTTTTCATTATGATTTCGCAAATATATTACATTTTGAGAAAATTGCCTTTTATTTAGCTTACATATCTTTCATATTTTTATCTTTTTCTTTCACTTTGAATGATATGATATTCATCATATGTCATATAGCCTATACTAACCTAGAACTTGTATCCAGCTGACATCTTTTGCAGCTACTTTACATTTCATAATCTGTTCATCATACGTATCATAATGTCTTACTTCATCAGCTTCTTTCAGGGTAGATAACTCTTCTTCTATTTCACCTACAATTAATTCATTCATATTTTACTAGTCAACATTATGCTGTCTTTATAGAACCCATATGTTTGCAAGACAGGGGCTGTCCTCTTGAAAATTTTCATTTTTTAAAAGAAATACAGTTATCTGATTGGATAATAAAGCCATATGTTAAACTGATTTTACTGTTTGACCAATCAGACAACTGGAACACTTAAATCTGGATAGATAAACATTAAACTTTGTACAAAACATTTGAAATAACTCCAAGTTTTTTTTAGACCCATCTCCATTTTTAATTCACTTCTAAAATCAGAAGTGTGTCAACTAACGGTACCAATTTAATTTTGTTTGAAGAGACTTTGCAAAAAAAAAATAAATTGCCTTACTTACTTTTAAAGACTTTTCTCTTTTGTCCTAAAACATATGATCCCATCAAATCTAAAGCTAAGAAATCAGGTATTTCTTTTACAGCCCTTTCAGGTAACTTCTGAGTAACTTCAGGGTTACCCTTGAGTAGTAACCTGGCTCGAAGAGCTTGCCCTGTTGCTGCAGCACATCTCATAGCTAACCATGCTGCTCTTTTCTCTTTCTCTGAATCTCCAATATAATCTTCATCTTTACTTTGTTTACTCTTAGATCGCTCTTTCTTACCCTGGAATAAACCATGAAAAAAGGCTCATAAGATTGCTCTTTCTTACCATCAAAAAATCCATAGACGAAGTCTCAAAAATAAATCACTTCCAAAAATACTAGATGAGAAATTGACTATTAAGTTTACAAAATATGATAATTAAGATACCAATTGTGGCACAAATCAGGGTCCTCTTCCTTAAATAGTGTGGAATTTCCCATTGAGATGGACGGAAATTTGATAAGCAGTGTTGATATATTACTTTATACTTCAAGCAAAGCACTCTGTTAGTAAACTACTTCAGCATTGAATAAGCATTGCACCAATGTTAAAAACAAATGGTTAAAGCAAGCAAAGAAACAGTCAGATACCAACCCTTTTCTTTGGAACAAGAGCTATAGGGGTAGAGTCCTGCCGAGCAAGGTTTTGGGAAGGTGAAGCATCTTCAGAGATAGAAGTTTCATCTACTGGCACTGATGGGGCCACATCAGAATCTGGTAATACAGGAGTTGTGGGCATTGATTCTGCTTTATCAGCTGATAAATTTAATTGGTCAACCTCTGGCGACTGATTGTTAGGGGTGTTCTGACTGGGTAATAATGGAGTTTGATCTCCTCCCTGGCTTGGGGTTGAAAGCTGATTTTCTTCTGCTTGATTATCAGCATCAAGTGAAAATTGATTCAAGGTTTCAGTAGCCTGTGACTCAGTGTTGTTAGTTGGTGACTCAGTGTTGTTAATTGGTGATTCAATGTTGTTAATTGGTGACTCAATGATGCTAATTGGTGAGTCAATGTTGTTAATTGGTGAGTCAATGTTGTAAATTGGTGAATTAGTGTTAATAGTTTCTTCTGATAAAGGTTCTTCCTCAAGAATTTCAGAAGGCTAAACATAGAGGCACAGAGAGAAAAATACTAGTAAGAAAGAGAAAGCACTAAAAGATGAAATACATCTTCACAATGTCAAGCTATTACGAACTGTATCTTATACCTTGACTGTAATAGCCCTCTTTCGTGCATCACAGAATGTTTGTAAATGCAATGATTTGATTGGATTGTATGCTAGCCATTACAACCATTCAGAACTTGTGACAGAAAGTCTTTAAAACATAAGCCATAACGTTTCCAGTATTTATGTCAAGGATCTGATTATCTATATTTACTAGTGTACAATTCAATAAAATCACTGTATTCTATCTCTAAAGGTGGCTAATGCAGTCAAGGTATAAGACGGAGTTTGTAAAAGCTTGACATTTTGAAGATGCACAAAATGGAGAGAACTAACAAAGGTTCAAGCAAAAAAAACATCTCATTTTGTATCAGGTAAAAACAAATTTACAATGTAGTTTTGAACCAGAGCAGAGAAAGCAGGCAGTAATATTCAGCAGACAATCTAAAACTTATACAATCATATTATTTCAGCTTAATTGTCGGTAGTGTGAAACAAAAATTTAAAACAAATTTGCATTTTGTATTCTATCAGAGATCATACTCGAATGATATTCTAGAAAGCTCAAGAATCGGTTGTTATTACTAGTAAGCAGAAATGAAGGCATATAGATTGTTAGCATATATTAGGTAAATCTAGAAATAGGGTTAACAAATCATATAATAAGTATGACCCTCACCTTCCATTTGCGTTTACTCTGACTGCTGCTAGGTGGTTTAGAGCTAGGTGGAGCTGGTGTTGATACATTACTCTCATCTCCACTATCACCTATAGCATCACCTGTACCTTCTTTATTTAAAGGCAGACTACTGCTATATAGGTATATCTGTCCTATTTCAAGGTAAGCCTGACGAATCAAACTGAAAAAAATGTAAGGTTATCTTTCAGCTTGTATATAATTCCTTACACAAGTCTTTTACAAATGGTTCAAATAGTAAGTAAAATCGAAATATGAGAGTTCATGATGGTTTACTTTGATCACACTTTATTCATACATTATACACAACATGGAGATATTCAAAATATTAAATGAACTAAAAATATAAAAAATAGAACTTACAATCCAAAATTTTTGAATCCCTACCTGAGATTATGATCTGTACCATAAGATATCTTAATGGCATCTAACAAAGTATTGGCAGCTCTCCGAGCTGGAAATTTGTCTAAAAACACCAACATTTTCTGGACCCTTCCTGCAAAATTTACGACAAAAATAAAAACATCATGACAACGAAGAATATTGAAGTGCAGTTTAGTTTTGAATTTCTTAATCCCTTGATTAAGCCATTTCCTTGACCCCACATTGATATCAAATTTGACATATTGTTAGAAGTAAATCCAGACCTACCTAGATCATATAGTATCTCTGTTTCTAAACTGGAGTCTCTGTTAATACTAAATCTTGATATATCTAATGCTGATACTAATACACCCATAGAATCTAACCATAAATATACAGCTTCTGTATCACTTAATCTGTAAACAACCATTTATAACCATAAGCTTATAACCAAATATAATGGAAGTTTTCATTACATTTATGCTGGAGAAATTCCACACTGGTAACTTAATATTCATTCCTTTCTTATTGTAAAAATTCTAGCAAGAGTGGTTTTCGGCAAAAAGACAAAATCAGTCTGGGAATAATTTTTCTCTACCAATGCTCTTAGTCTGTTATACAGACCATTAATTCAATTATTATTCCATTACATACTTTTACACATTCACAACTTGAGTCCTAAACCCTTGATAAATGGTCTGCAAGAATTGCAAGTTCAAGGGCATGTCTAGCCAGTTTAGAGGGGAAAATGATAATCCAGACATGTTCAACATGTTGAATGAGAGGAGATTATTTATGTAGAAGCACAAGACTTTGAGAACAGTATCATTACTAACCCTTTACTAGATCTAATAGCAGCATTCTGAGCTAAACTATGTCCTATTCTGAGTTTTAATTGTGTTAAAAACAGTAGATGTGGTACATAAACGTTATTCATTGGTGTAACTGGAGTTGAAAACTGTTTATCTTTCTCATTTCTATATCGTTCTATTCTCTCTCCTAATTTCTCTAACTAGAAAAACAAAATCAAAATCACCATTAAAAAACAATGACCTTGAACTTGAATATCATGAATAAAAAGCTCCATTATTACAATGGATGAGAGCGGATGACAAAGATGATATAGAATGTTTTACATCTGAAAGTTCTTCATTTGACTAACCATAATGATAATTTGATGGCATGACAAGTAGACTGCAATAAATTATGAGCCTGTTATATTATATATGTTCCATTCAAACACATACGTGGCAAGTGAAATGATATTTATAAGTTGACATTGCAACTTGCACTTGCATTCATTCATACAGATATACTTCTATAAAAGAAAATACCTGATTAAGTGTAAGATTATGTATTTCTATATAATTCTCCAGATATTGTGTATCATCTTTCTTCTCTCCAACATTAGAGAGCAGACATAAATCTGTCATCAACATCAAACATTGTATCAAGAGTTCTTCCCCTTTATCAGAACGTCGTACACATTTCAATAAATTGTCTTTAGATTCCTGAAATTAAATCAAAGATCAATGTTTTAGAAGCACCCAAAAAGACAGGTAAAACCATACAGTGTGAAATAAGGGAAATTTTCCCAACAGTCACAGGATGTTTGACGTGCAAATGTTTCAGCACCTGTCCACACACAGACAAAATGGGTAAAGTGTAATGTCAATACACTGCAGACACAAAGATGGTACAATTCAATCTGAAAATATCGTTCAATATGTTTGGTTATAGTTGTACAATCAAAGAGTATGTCACAGATACAAATCTTAACTTCAGAATGACTGATGGACACAATGAATACTTCATTATGACCAATAAATGTCAATGACAATGACTAACCTTCAGTAGTGAGATGGTATGATCTATATTTTTACCCTCCATGATATTGAGATAGGCACCTTGTAGAAAGAATTCAGCCTGTAGTTCAACATCACCTATCATATCTGATTCTCCTACTCCCTCTACACAATACTGTCTACAATCTCCTATCTCACTAACAAACTTATTCTCACTTCCTAGTAATAAAACATAATATATAACATCAAATCTCCATATTTAACTACATTGACAGGTGTTTTATCATGGAGAATCTGTTGACTCTTTCATTGTCTTTATTTAGGTGTACTTGAATTTACAACAGCATGGGCTGAGGAAGACATTAAGTTACATCAATAATCGTTAAGAACAAACTTTTTGTTTATCAATACTCATAAAAAAGGTTCATGTTTGCAGAAATAATGACCTTCACACTCAATATCTTTGCCTTAAAAAAGTCTTGAAGAAAAATTCTATGAATATCTAAGTTTGGATATAATTTATTTGTCCAGTTTTCAGAACTGAATTCAGACACCCAAGTTTTATTGGTAATGCTGATCACAATGGTTGATATTTTGATTTTGAATATCTTGATAATAAATATAAAGTGGGTTATTCTCAACATGTAATATAACTCAATAATTTGGTTAAATTTTCAAAAAAAAACAGTTCAAGGTATTGAAAAAAATCCAAAATCCATTACCTCTTATATCACCCATTCCTTTTAGTTCCATCATCAAACATTGAACAAGTTCTAAACGACATTTTAACCACAATCTAATATCAAGTCGTGATCGAGACTGGAAATCATAATATTCAAACTGACTATTATTAGGTTTATTTAGTTTAATATCTGGCATTGGAGCATTCTTCTTATTTCCATGTCCCTTTAATGATGAAGGTCTGAAACACAAGAACAACAGTTCAATGAATAATCATATAAACTTCAGATGTTTTAAAGAAAGGAGAAAGGATACAGAGATGTTAACTAGGGAACTCAAGCACTAAATAAAATGATACTAGAAAATTGGGTTGGATATTGTTTATTTCATTTATTCATCAAGGGCACTTCAATTTTAGGCCGTCTCTTTACAAAAGGGTTTCAAAAGATGTATTCAAGCTGATGTTTAGGTAATAAGGATATGTTCTGGTTGTAAAAATCATCTGGCATTGATATTTGCTCTGGAATTTCAAGCATTGATATGAAGCGAATAAAACAAAGACTTTAAATCATTGCCAATACTAAAAACATTTTGTGAAAATATTGTTACCAGGCTACCTATCATCAATCTGGCAAAACACAGATAAATATATCAAAACAATTAGTAGTGCTGTAGAATATTATAAAAACATCTGATAATAGAGGTGAATGTGAATGTAACAGGGCTCTATATATACAAGGCGTTGGACTGTGCAGGGGTATGATGGGATATTCATTTAATACGTAAAAAGGGTTTGAATTGGAATAGAAGTGGAAAACAGGATTTTAAGATTGCCATTATTAGTTCTTTAACATGTTTTTTTTTAACTGTTTTTGAAATATGATTTTGAGACAAGTAAAGAATAATAACATGATGCTGGTTACAGTAAGTAAAATATTAACATAAGGACCAATGTGGTTAAGTAGAATAGTGTAAATAAATAAAGATATCAGGAGAGAAAATAACGTGTATGCAGTACATGTAAGGTGCTTAATCTGTGGATTGTGGGTGAAATAATTTAATTTTACCTTTCTTCATAAATACGACTCATTTTCCTAAATATTAAAAATTGTTAAAATATAATTACATGATTTACACAGCTAATCATTTTCTAGCTTATTGGAATTCTAAATCAAAGAATCTTTTAGCTAACGTCATTGGACATTGGACAGATTTTGTATCTTGCAAAATGTATGAAAAAAAAAACAAAACTGACCTTGGTTTTATCTTGACTTCTTTTTTTGATTTGAAAAGATCAGAATGTTGAAGAAGTTTGAGAGTTGAGAAAGCTATACGTGCTGCGAGAGGAGCGTGATGTTTTTGACGTGATATAGCTGATTGTTGTAATTTACATAATATCACTAGTTCTAGTTCAGCAGCAGTCAATTCTTCTGAACCTGAAGATAAAAAAGGTTGGAATAAGGAATTAGAATTAAAAATCTTCTGCACAGTTTTAAAGAATCAAAAAGATCGATATTTCAAAAAAAGTTTTTGTGGTCTGGGTAAAGAGACAGAGTTACTAAATGGCGCTTCATTTTCCGCTTCCTCATCATCAGCCTCCCCAACCCTGATAGAGGGAAACACGTGTGCCAGGATTGATTCCTGGACATTCTGGAACTAATTGTGCTTCCACAGCGAAATATATTTGAATAAATACAAACCATTTTTATGGTGTTGATTATTATCTGTAAGATTATCTGAAAGAGTGGTCACCATCTGTTCTGCTGTATTTAATAATGTAGCTTTAATAATCTCTAGAGTCAGTGTTTTCTTACATTCTGTAAATCTTCTATTAAAACAATACATTTCATCATCTACAACCTCTAAAATATCAAATCAAATTACATTGTTAAATATATATAGAAATTTTACATTTTTATAATAGACATATATACTTATACACCTCAAAGGAAAAAAGTCAATGAAAATATGTGGGATCTTTTTCATTTTGGCCAGCCTTAACAAATATAACTTAAGACAGGATAAAAGATTTAACAGTTAACTGATGGAGCATACATCATTAGTCACCTCTTTGATACAGTTCTTTTGAACAGTAGATTGATAGTATTGTACATTCTCGACAGGTGCTAGCAGTTTTTTTTTCAAGGGCTCTGATTAGCTGTATTTGCCAATGTACTATTCAATCATAGTGCAGCATTTACAAACGTCTATGATACGAGAAAAGTGCTTAATGTCAAGATATTAGACGTAGTAAACCATACATACCTTGATCTCTAATATCTTCACTACCAATATTCTGTGATGTGGCAGAGACCAGACGTGGAGCTCGTGTTCCCATACCAACATGAGATAATGTATTAGCAGCTCTAGCCTTTATTACTATAAACTGGTTCTCTAACTGACTGAAAAGATTAAGTATTGAAGAGATTAGCTAGCTGGATTTATTATCATCAGAAATAGAACTATCAAAATACTTTATAAATTCTTATGGTGTTTTTTAAGCTGTTAATTTTAATTTGAAATGTTGAAAATCAGATAGAAGGTACAATCTATTTTTTCAAAAATTCTTATAGAAGAAAATTTTGCCAAAACAAGTGCATTACAGCATTAGCCTTCTCTTTTATAATTTCCATGTGTCAAGGGATCTTTACTGTCTTTAGTATACAGGACCTCAGGTTAATCATCCAATCCTAATGACCAGACTCTTTTTGCATGTTAGCCACTGGAGTAAGGAGTAAATATAATGTTACACATAAATACAACAATGGCTTCTGTTAGTTCTACATTATACTGAAAGACAGATAGACTTGAAAAAAATGGTGAAACAGGATTTGATGTGATTTAAGAAGGAGAAGGATGATTGTTATAGAAAAAAAGAAGGTGCTGTTAGAATATATTAGATATTGAAAGGTAAGAGATTTATTATAAAGCAATTCCTCTGCTTCAATATAGTTAGAAATCAATGCAGGTTAGCAGAAGGGAGAGCAGAGTTTTTCTACATGATAACTTACGCTTGACTTGGTACACTGTAAACATTTAAAACATAATGAAAATCAAAAAATAGTTAAGTTAAAGTGGTGAAAACAACTCGAACCATAGACATCTCGGACCACCTTTTTTGATTTTGAAATTGGTTTGAGTTCGATAAAACTTTAAGATAATAAATGGTATTATATCAAGTGGTCAGCTTCCTATCAAATATAGAACTTGATTTAGTTAAACTACACAATTTGGTGACAATTGTCCACCTAATAATTAGAATCCCTAATATTATCTACTTACACTGCATCTGCTAAGGCCGGTATAACAGGAAGTGTGTCTGCTACAGTAATTAATAGATGTGATTGGACCAATAATAACTGACAGGTTAGATGTGGTCCATACAGAGTTGCCAGATTGCTTGTTAGACGTTTATCAATAACTGTTTCTAACACCTGTGAGAAAAACAATTTTCAATTAATTACAATTGCACCAACCTGTATTCCAAATCAAATTTGATTGGAACATATGACATACATCAGAAAGGAGAGTGAAGATAAGACAAACCAAAAAATCCACCAAGAAAATCAGAACCATTAAATACCAAAGACAAACTCTAAGCTTATTGCAGACAATTTTCTACTTCACATTATGAGGTTTCTACTGCCCAAATTCACCAGACCAACAAAGATTAAAATAATAATATTTTAACTCCTATTTTGTCTCATTTAATCATTTCCTTAATATCCTTCATACCTTCAGATTATTGGTCTCCATGATGGGTTTTGACGTATTAAACTGAAGAATTCCCATTTTAGATTCAACATGGCGGAATCCACTATCACCAATCTGTGGTAACCTTTCACCATGTAATAATCTACGCAGAACTGTGAAGGCTTCAGTAAAAAATCTCAGATCTGTTAAAACTCTGATTTTCAGTATTCTACAGTCAACTGATCTCTGTAAATCCCGACAAACAAATGTGGTAAAATACTGATTCATAGTCAGTAGTGGTAGGACCTGCAAAATAAAATATCTGATCAGTAAGTTACATATTCTTATATACATATTCAAATATAAACTTATTATTTCACATCACCTTGGGTCATTAAACTTGAAATTGCTACAAATTCTTAAGCTATTAATACCTCTAAATATAATCAATGTTTCCAGATGAAAGGAACACACACAGATAATGAGTATGAAATCTACTTACAAACAAGTTATGTCTACCCCTCGATAATTCTTCAGTTACCCAGCGTAAAGCAGCTACAACTTGCCGACCGTCTGCTCGGAATCTGTCAGACAATAAATCGATCCCTGGCACCAGGCTAGTCACTTCACATCCTTCCCCTACATCATATAGTGCATAATCTCTATCTGATGTGGGATGGGGCAATGATGCTCGGAATAATGCCTGGAAAAGTAAGATAAAGAAATGACATTTCTGGAAATTTACTTCACTTAATTAGACTGATGAAGGTATATTAAGTTCATGACAAAGCAATGTTATTCATCTAGTTCAGACACATACCTTGAAGAAATATCCAGACAGGAAACAACATTCTAATCTCAAACCAAAATCAGATGTTAATATATACCTGTAATATGAATTAAATATGGTGTTATTGTGAATAACGTTTGCAAACTATGTTATGCAAGAAACATGACATAATATAACAACATGAACATTTTCTTGGACCTCAAAATAACAGTCATCTCCATTTCTGCATGGCGTTGATTGTTGAGTTCTGAACGGGTTCCATCTGTTACAATACTAGGTGTCAAAGAAAGCTACAGAACTAGATATGTCACATTCAAATTATAATACTTTCTTTGTCCTTTTGAATTCCCTCTACGTGTTCCAACTCATTTTATTGAAGGTCTGGTTGATTCTAAGAAACCTGAACAAGCATAACTCACCCATCAAGCACAACCCTTGATTATATTTATCAGTATGAGTAAGGGGCAATGTAAGCCTGGTATACAATACATTACAAATCTTATAGTATCTCAATTGATAATTTAAAACTTACTGAGCTATATTGGAGGTGATGATTCCACCTAATAAACATCCCCATAATCCACAGCGAGACAACAATTCACGACTAATATCTTCATTATCAGCTAGAACTGATTTCCAGGTGTGTAGAGCATCCGTAAGGTTTAAAATCACATCTAATCCCTCACACCACCATTTAAATGTAGATCTGAAAAGAATATCAAATAAACTATATAAATGATAGTACATCTATTCTTCAAGTTTCAGTGTGGCATTTAATCTACTTTCCCAAAAAGATCTACAATTACCGGTACTCCAAAAAAAAAAAAAAAAATTTTACTCGTAATAAAATCATAAATAAATACAACGGCAAGATCAAGACCAAGAGTGAGATGAACATGTGACAAGTATGCGTAATTTTCATACAAATAATAGATTCTATACTATGCATTAGGCACAGATATGATTCCTGGAATAAAAATAACAGTTTTAAAGTTTATAATACCTGATATTGTTAGTATGGTAGTAAAGATTACCCAGTTCAAACATGGCTTGAGCACCCAGTCCTCTCTGATTCTTAGCCATAAGGGAATCTAAATAATACATGAATATAAATTGTTCATTTCAAAGTAGCAGACTCAGTAACAAAAAGGTTTTAGTTGAGAGAAATCAAAATTTTTTAAAAACCATCAGTTATATTTTACAAAATAACCATAAGCTCTACAGACGCTGTTCGATCAGATATTTTTAAACATTAATACAACAAAATTCAGCATTCCTATATTTGAAATAAATAAAAGACATATTTGATATATTAATGCAAATACACCATACCAATAGTTTTCTGGTAAGATTCTATAACAGAAGTCAATTGTGAACGAGGTATAGGTGCTGTCTGTACATCATCAGTTGACTGGAATTCTTCTTTCATTAAATCTAATGGCACCGTAGGTTCAGGATGGGCGGTGTTAGGCAGAAAATCAACTTTACTCTGAGATTTAGGCATCATAGGATCTTCATTGTCTATGATTAGAAATAGAAAACTTTTCTTATCTTTATAATAACTACAAGTACATATTTAGCAAACCAAGATTTTTTTTTATAATTGCAATTTACTATACTGTTTAGAATTAAACAATCTATTTTAAACATTTGGAGCTGTGTTTCAACAGTCAATAGGTTTAGATAGTATCTTACGATTTTCTGCCTGTCAGCGAGGCAGTTAGGAGGGGCTGACATTGGAAAAACATCTAGTGGTTCTGATGGGACAAATCAAGGCTGTGTTTTTATGCATATTAAAGATGTCTCATCAGTTGGAAATTGAAAAAGAGTAGTGGCTGTCCTTAAAAAGTTTCCCATGCACACTGCATGAAGTTACCCATGGGGACAGTAAAATAGGTCGTTTTCTTTGTTGTTTAGAGTTTGAAAACTTTAATGTACAGCTTGTAGTCAACTTTTAGTGACAGAACAATGATCAGGGGGTTTTATATCTGAAAAGATTTAGATCAATACTTACTATTTTGTTGTCCAGCAAGATACAGAACTAACATTTTACGAGAATGTCTCAGAGCACGAGCTGCATATCTTGACTGGTCTAATACTTGACGTAATGTATCAAGACTGTAATCATAATCCAATGGTACACAAATCAACTTCTTAGCATCTTTTTCTGAAAACAAAATAACACAATCAATAAAAATATGGTAGTCCAAAAAAAAAAAATTTAATATGCGTGATTAATCATCAATTCTTTAACTCGATAAATATTTTTTTTTAACTAAAACCTTTTGTTAAAATTTTCAGTAAAATTGTCTATCATTGCACTGCAGCCATCATTATTCACTGTTGTAATGTCGGAAGTCAATTGCAATAGCTATGTCATGAAACACTTAGTTCAGTGGAATTGCTCAAATCATGTCTGATTGAAAATTGGAATGGTTCAATTGATGCTATCAGTGTCCCAGATACATATAAAAAGTTGAGAAAACCGTTCCACAATGCCTTTAAAGTTTTTCTAATACAACATAGATTGACAAACAGCCACCTACCAGAGTAAACATTATGTCCTAGAGGATCAATATGAGCACCAGGTTCAACAGGTTTTAAATCTCTACGATCTACCTGTATCTTCAGTTGACATTGTAAATAATCTTTAGCTGATAATACACCATCCAACTGTTTTAAAACCATCTGGAAATGTTTCTGAGGTGGTTTTGGACCACCAGCTTGATTTACTATCACCTCCAGTTTTCTCTGAGCTTGAACCATCAATGGTATCACTTGTTCAGCATAACGATAACTGAAATTTAAGTCAATAATGAAAATAAATCAGCTTGTTTTTTAACACTTGATTATACAATGCATTTCTGGCACTCAAAATTCTTACAAAATAAGCTACAATCTTCCTCGTTGGAATCTAAGGTCATTTGCTTGGTTACCTCAACAAATAGTGGTTGTGGGTTATAATCTTGGTCTACAGGTGAAAGTCTGATGACCATGAATTAGTCATCTTTCCACATTATTTAAGTTGATTCAGCTGGGAATCTGGGAGATATGGCCAAGGAACATCTGATAGACAAGAACTTTGGGAACCTGTTATCGATGTACAATTTTTTTTTTCCCTAGTCCAGATAAATACCTAAATTATACTAACTTGCTCAATGCATTAAATCTGAGGGCAATATCAACCAGTTTCTCCCATTTCTGTTCATAATATAACATCTCAATAACTCGTAAAATATAACGTCTTATCCAGAGAACATCTACAACACTATTATCATCTAGAGGTTGTTCATACTTTAAACTAGTTCCACCTTTCTCTTTCTTTACATCACCATACCAGTTCTCAAAATATTCTCCCAGTACTTTACTTTTACTCTTAGCCTAAAAAATAACTTCATGATTATCTTCTTTCATATCATTTCCAACATTTTACCAAAAACCAAACCAAGGTTAAGTCTGTCTATTCAAAGAAGGCAAAAAACCTCTTTCAGCCTGCGCCCCTACTTTAGTTTGGAATGTTTGTTTAAAGACGTCTGCTTATGGGAATGTAGACGTGAGAATAAGTTCTACTTGTCCAACTTCAGTAGGGACACAGACTGTAATAGGTCAGTTGTCTGAAGATCGCATAGCGTGAACTGTTTTAATATTTCTACCAGTGAAGTCAGCCTGTTTATACAGGAGGACTCTATTCCTACCTTAGTTGCCTGTTGATCAAGATTTATCTGTAATTTGTACATCATATCTAGTAAACAGTCCACTGATTGGTAGAATGGTTTCCATACTAGACCTCGTAGTGTCTCTACAGTGAATAAACCTGTTTCTACTGGTCCCTGGTTGGTTGTAGAAGCTCTTAGTAAGGCAGTATGAGCACAGTTCCATAAACTATTACAAGCATTCTGTAGAAGAGTCCAGTGCTGTCCTCTATGAGCCAAAATCTGTTCAAATGCAAAAATAATACTGAATTAGAAAACAACTAAAAATTTTAATTCGATCAAAACCAAGGTAATGGCTTATTGAGATTATCCAGACCTATTTGCAGCTGAATGTGAAAAGCGGACCCCATCCAAAGAGACTTAACATTTGCAAAAAAATTGACCAAACCTAAGAAATGACAACAAAAGATTAAACTTGAGAAAAAGATGATCTAGTCCAAGAGACATACCAATTGAAAAATGGACCAAAACCATAATTTCCTTCACTCAATGATCTCATAAGAGTTTAGCACCATACAAGACTGAACTACAGCCTCCTATTATTATACTTACCAATGATTGTTTGAGATAGGTAAAAGTTTTATTCAGAGCTTGTATTGTAGCTTGTGTTGTAAATAGGCTAATATCATCTTCCTTGTTCCTCAAACTGCGTAATGGTACAGTCTCCTGTATAGTACTAATATCACTACGATATGTTCTTGGTGTATCATCAAATTCTTGTGACTGTTGAACCAGACCACCACGTTGAGCTGGAGCTACAGAACCAACTGTAAAATGAAAAGAGAGTGAAACATTAATATGAAATCTAACAATTATTTTTTTCCTTATAACCCTTTCTTTTTGCAAATTGGTCATTGGTTAAAAAAATAAATAAATACACAACAAAAAATTTAATGTTTAAAGGAATATTTATGAAATGAAATTTTCACTGGATTTTACCACCATTAAAATAACTTGATACATACCTATAACAGCAGCAGCAGCTATCTCTATAGCAGTTGATTGACGTTTCTCTCCAGCCATAGCAAGATCTAATGGTTGATGACCATCATCTTGTTCCAGTATATCTGGTCTTGAGGGCTGTCTGGCAGGACCTCCATCCCAGCCTACCACTAGGGTACCAGCTGTTTCAAAAGTAAACCATTCAGGATCTAGATATGATGTCCTAAAATATAGTCCAAGTTCAATATAAAATAAGAAAACTCTCAAGACTGAAGAATATTTTCCAACTGAGATTTTCAAAAGGAGAAACCTTTTTGACCATTTTGAGTGCTCTCCATGGGATATTCCTGAATGGTGCTTTAGTTAGTTCTGCTCAATCAGGATTTGTGGAATCTACTGGAATTTCAAAATTACAAGTCGGAACAGTGTCAATAATGTGTTCTACATGTACAGAAAATAAAAGTAGATATAGACTGTAGAATTTTTAATGGCATAGAAAGAAACAGAAGGGTAAATTTTGACTGTGACATAATCCTTTTTCATACTGTTTGATTGACTGTAGAGTTGGACCAGACAGAACCGTGCTCTAGTTGTTTCTCCAAGCATGCTCCAAGATCATATTTATAGCAAAATATCTAATAAATACTACACATACTTATACATATTACTTGATGCAGTTCCCATAAGTTTTTCTCTTTTTTCTAATTTCTGTAAAAATGACTGGAAACAACTCAATCCTAATACAATCTTCATCTGGAAAAATAAATAAAACTTTATCAAGGTATCATCCTCTCATCAAAATCATATTACATACAGTTAATTAAACAGATTATGATAACTTTAAAGTGAAAATCAATTAAGTCATATACCTGACTCTTCCAGGGAAGTTCTTCAGTGTTAATTTTCCTCAATCTCTTCTTTTTAACAGCAGTTCTATACATATCACTAAAATACAGACCTAGGGTTTCTACTGCCTGCAAGAGAACAAGAATACCATTGTTCATTAATTTCTGGACAATATGCTTAATAAATTAATTAATTTGATGAACATTGATAAAAAAAAACAGTTCTGTCCAGTTAATCATAAAAGCTGTTAATCATTCTTAATTCTTATAATAATTTCAGCCTTTTGTTTTATACAAAGGACAATGAAAAGCATACCTTTGCCTCTTTCTCTTCTTGAGCATGTCTTGCTGTATCAGGCATATGTGAGTAGTTATTAAATGGCTGAAATACAATATGAGAACAATCTGTCATTGATGCAATCTTACTATATGTGTTACATTAAGTCAATCTTCTTATAAATTACACTACAAACTGTGCTCCTCTACACTTCAATTTTTTGAAACTCTGATACAAAGAATACCTATTTGATTTAAAGTGAATGTTTTTGAAGATAGAAGATAGTATTATAGCTCTTATATTGTGATGTATATCTGATTGTGACCTGGCTCATCTTTATGATAATGATGCTTTAACTTTGAAATCAATCATCAGTCTCTTATGTAAAGTAAGACAGACAGTAAATTTTTTAAAAACATTAAACATACCCTATATCTTTTACGTCTAGGTTTAGGAGTAATGTGGGTAGTAGAAGCTTTAGCAGCAGGTGGTTTATTACCTTTATTATGACCTGTATCCTACAAAAATCAAATTCAATTAATATAACTATATAACTTTTGTAATTCATACCAAAAAATAATTTGTTTTGATTAACCCAAAGATGGTATAATTTTTTAATATCTGGTTAGGTTAACCAGCAGTATCTATTTAAAAACATTTTCAAGTCTAAAGATAGGTGGTTTTGCTCCAACTTGACATTATTCTTCTGTTAACAATTTTGGAAAAAGAATATATTGATATGTTTGGTAAGTATATTACATGATAGACTGAAATATGTCTCTTACTTTATCTTTAGTATATTCCACCATGGCAGCAGCAAATTTTTTAGGATCATCTCCAGAAACAGTTATAGCTCCTGGTTGTTTTGACATAAATGCTCTGTTTCCAATTATCTGCTCATTACGTCTACAATGATAAAGAAACATAATCATTCATCAGAAGGCTTTAGATTTTACACCCTATGATCTAAAGTTCTAAATAAGCTGAGAATGGGACTGCCAAGAAGCTTTAAGCTTAAAAAACACAAAATATTGGACAAATTCATTTTATTTCCTATTTCTAATACTCAGGTGTTATGCCTGTCTAAATCTGAATTATCAGAAGTGAAAGCTTGTTCTTTCATTTTGAACCAGACTGACAATAAAGTTCACCAATGGTTCATGAATATATACTTACTTGTTTAACCAACTCACACAATCCTCACACCAATCTATAACTTGTTCTGATAAACCTTCAACTAATCCTTTCTGAGCAACCTGTACAATAAACTCTAAATATCTCGCTCTACGTTTAAACTTCTGAACTGTAAAACAAAATCAACATAAGATACATAAAAATTTCAGAAAGACTTTCAAAAATACATAACAATTAACATTCACTAGGATCTTTTCTACCAACTGGTCCTTGCTTATCCATAACCATTTACAGCTGAGGATCGATAGACTTTATCAAAGTCACCAGTCATTTGTAAAGTTTAAACGCTACAACCGACTATGTTATAGAACTCCTCAGTTGTGGTTATATTGGAAAAAGATAAGAAATTCTCAGAGCACTAAATCATTCTAGTTGTCCACAATGTATCACAATTTTATTGATGGTATTTCTTATTAAATCACACTTACCTTCCTTGTAAGCCATTTTAGCAGGTAAGAAAGCTATATAAGCATGAAGTATATTAGGATCTTCATTACCAGATAATTCCATTTCATTTTGAGCTAGAAAAAAAGTTTTCAAAATGAATTTTGGCACTAGATAAGAATTTATTTACAGATCTGGTCTGAAAATTTGATAAATCTTAAAAGTTGAGCCCTGTTTAGTGAGCTACTTTATCTTGCTCTTACATATAAACCTAATAGTGGAAGTTTCCAAACCAACCATTTAGATGATGAATTTTGTACTTAAAAAATTCAAAAATCTATCTGCACCCATGAACTATAAAACTTACATGTTTTTGTCATTCTTAGTATATGAGCTTCTAGAGCCTTTAATTCTTCATTAACAGTACCATCCATATCATCTTTAGATGTAATAGGACCATTTCTACCTTTACGTTTTCTTTTCAATGCCTGTAGAGTCATCATGCCTGGATCAACGTTGGTATCTAGGATCATACTCTCTGATGGTTCCACAGCTTTATCACCAGCATCTTGTTGTTGTTTATCTTTATCTAGACCTTCTATAGACAATAGTTTCCTACCAGCCTCATTTATATTATTAGCTAGTGTTTTCTGTCCCCATGTTCTTAACGCCTGAAATTATAAATTGGAAATATTGTACCTTCTACAAATATTGATTTTGGAGAATGATGTTCCATGACTGGTAATATCTGGATCATAATATCCAAATATCCGAGATTGCCCGAATTATAAACCTAGTTTTTTGCCCGAAAAACTTGCCTCCTCTGCCCTCCCCCCCTTTGGCTCTGCCACTGCTCCACAATCAGGGTCATTTATTAATACTCTTAGTATTTCAAAGCTATTTGTTCCAGATAAAAAATTTGATTTATAATTTTTGCAGCAGTGTTAATAAGACTAGCTTATCATTGTTTCATGTAACTACTTATCACCCTCAGCAAAATATTCAAAAAAATTTCTTCTTAAAAATTCACATATGTTAAACATGTAATCATTAAAAGCTTACCCGAGCCATCTGGTAGGTGATACAGGCTGTCATATGATGTAAACTATCAGCTATATGGCCCTGTCTCTTTAATATCAAGCCAGCTGGTATTTCTTGTAATACACAATGGCTTCTCTGTAATATCTACAAACAAAAAAGAATAAACCATAAATTTTGCCAATAAAATAGATTTACTCTGAATCAATCAATACATATTTGGAGGAAACAAGCAAAGTCAAGTTAGAAAAAGCTATCTGAGATAAAAGTTTTCCATAAAAAATATGAAATTTAAAAAAAAAAAATTTTTTAGAATGGCACAATTTATCCTGGAAGTGTTCAGGGCAGTTCAGTTCTAATTCTGCAAGAACAATTTAATATTGTGTTTGGTTGGATTATAATTCTCAATTGAAAGTTAGTTATATGTGATAGAGTATGTGTACATTCAAACATTGGATGAAACCATTAGGCATTTCAAAAATCTAAATCATTTTTTGTATACCTTGATAACGCTCTGACTGGGTATTCTATGATAGAGTAATGGTGCTAACAAACCATAACACTGGATAACACCCTGTAAAGCTAGGTTAGCCTCATTTAACCAGCCTGCTAATTCAACAGCTATTATTAACTTCTCACATTCCAACATTCTAGATACCTGAAACATAGAACATAGTAGGTGAAAGTTACATGACAAACTTAAAATTATTGTAATGATATAATTACATTAATGCAATCAGTGATATTGTACTTGTCAAAACAATGTATTTACCAAAACCAAGATCTTTTAAGACATCTTCCCCAAATTGTGAAATGAAAATAGTGAATTTTTGAAAAGACAACAGCCACCTACTGTTTTCTTACTGTTGAGGGATCTTACATGTGCACAGCCTGTAGGGCCTCAGTTTATTGTTTCATCTAAATGATGACAGGGGGAAACTTGGTCGAAAAATCTGAGAGTATCTCCAATGCATGGATTAAATCCTGGATCTTAAGGTCAGCATTTAACTTATTGAGCAACCAAGACTTCCAAAAGAATAGCATGTAAGGATGATAAATTAGAAAATAACTTACCTGGTTGTTGAACATAGGTCCTTTATTACAAACAACATCACAGAATAACTCCCCTTCTCTAATACTTACATCACAGTTTACAAATATACTAGATAGAAACTGTCTGAGTAGCACTGGTGAGGCTAGACAGATAGCACGCTGGTTTAATCTGAAATCAGAGGAATACAATATACTAGATAGAAACTGTCTGAGTAGCACTGGTGAGGCTAGACAGATAGCACGCTGGTTTAATCTGAAATCAGAGGAATACAATATACTATATAGAATCTGTCTGAGTAGCACTGGTCAGGCTAGACAGATAGCACGCTGGTTTAATCTGAAATCAGAGGAATACAATATACTAGATAGAAACAGTCCGAGTAGCACTGGTGAGGCTAGACAGATAGCATGCTGGTTTAATCTGAAATCAGAGGAATACAATATACTAGATAGAAACAGTCTGAGTAGCACTGGTGAGGCTAGACAGATAGCACGCTGGTTTAATCTGAAATCAGAGGAATACAATATACTAGATAGAAACAGTCTGAGTAGCACTGGTGAGGCTAGACAGATAGCACGCTGGTTTAATCTGAAATCAGAGGAATACAATATACCAGATAGAATCTGTCTGAGTAGCGCTGGTCAGGCTAGACAGATAGCACGCTGGTTTAATCTGAAATTAGAGGAATACAATATACTAGATAGAAACAGTCTGAGTAGCACTGGTGAGGCTAGACAGATAGCATGCTGGTTTAATCTGAGATCAGATGAAACCACTACACTAGATAGAAACTGTCTGAAGAAGACTGGAGAGCCTAAACAGATAGCACGCTGGTTTAATCTGAAATCAGAGGAATACAATATACCAGATAGAATCTGTCTGAGTAGCGCTGGTCAGGCTAGACAGATAGCACGCTGGTTTAATCTGAAATCAGAGGAATACAATATACTAGATAGAAACAGTCTGAGTAGCACTGGTGAGGCTAGACAGATAGCACGCTGGTTTAATCTGAAATCAGAGGAATACAATATACCAGATAGAATCTGTCTGAGTAGCGCTGGTCAGGCTAGACAGATAGCACGCTGGTTTAATCTGAAATTAGAGGAATACAATATACTAGATAGAAACAGTCTGAGTAGCACTGGTGAGGCTAGACAGATAGCATGCTGGTTTAATCTGAGATCAGATGAAACCACTACACTAGATAGAAACTGTCTGAAGAAGACTGGAGAGCCTAAACAGATAGCACGCTGGTTTAATCTGAAATCAGAGGAATACAATATACCAGATAGAATCTGTCTGAAGAAGACTGGAGAGCCTAGACAGATAGCACGCTGGTTTAATCTGAAATCACTAGTTTACCAATACGAGTGTTGAACCGAACACAACTCCCCTACTCATAACCTATCAAAGAACTACAATTCATTTTAAGAATAAGAAGCTTCCATAGATAAAATTTTACTTTTAAGTGCATTTGAATGGCCAAAAAAACATACTTACTTATGCAGTGTTAATTTGAAGTCTTTTTTAACAGGTGTAATATGTGTAACACCACATGGCGCAGGTTTCTCCATTATAAAATGTTCCCATAAAACATCAAATGCTTGACGGGTTACATCATAGTAGCCTACTTGGTAGGAGATCTGAAAATATTTATCAAAAATTATTAACTAGTGTTCTACAGGACAGGGAAATGCCTTGTTCAACCTACCATTAATTAAAGCAATGTTTTGAGAAAATTCTCTATTTGTTGATTTTTGACAGGGTCTCCAGATAAAATGGAACAGTTTCACATCTTACTTTTCTGCTCATAATTGAGGTAATGAAGACAAGTAACATCTCCAGTGTTTTGCCAAAACCTTAATCTTTTTCTATTTCAAATTTAGAAGACAGAAGAGACAAAAATATAACTAAAAAAAAAAGCACTAAAAAATATAAAAATGTGAGAAAATTGTACCTGAGCTAAGAAAGCATAAGTCATCAGAATAGGTAGAGGGTGGGAGGCTAGTATAGGTTTACTAGTTTCACCAATTCCACCAATCATCTTTCCTGAACCATCATACGCAGATACAGCAAATACATAACGTTCATTGGGTATCAATCCAGATACTGTAATTTCATCATGTCCTACTGGTACCTACAATTCAAACAATTTTTATTATCATTATTATATTCAATATTATCATTATTATATTCAATATTATCATTATTAAATTCAACATCATCATTATCATATTCAATATTATCATTTTTATATTCAATATTATCATTATCATAATCAATATCATCATTATTATATTCAATACTATCATTATTATATTCAACATCATCATTATCATATTCAATATTATCATTATTATATTCAATATTATTATTATCATATTCAATATTATAATTTATCACATCCAATATCATCAGCATTACATTTAATATTATCATAAATATATTCCATATCATCATTATCATATTCAATATCATCATTATATTCAACATCATGATTATTATATTCAATATTATCATCATATTTAATAGCATCATTATCTTATTCAATATCATCATTATATTCAATATTATCATAATCATATTTAATAGCATCATTATTATATTCAATATTATCATTATCATAATCAATACCATCATTATTATATTCAATATTATCATAATCATATTTAAAAGCATCATTATCATATTCGATATCATCATTACATTCAACATCATAATCATTATATTCAATATTATCATAATCATATTTAATAGCATCATTATCATATTCAATATCATCATTATATTCAATATTATCACAATTATATTTCATATTATCATTATCATATGCAATATCATCATTATTATGGTCAATATTATAATTTTTCACATCCAATATCATGATCATCATATTCAATATTATCATTATTATATTCAATATAATTTATTATAAGCATCATTATAATTATTGTATTCAATATTATCATAATCCAATATCATCATTATTATAAAGTAAAGAAAGAAAAGTAAATATTTGATATAAAAATTTTACCTGATTTCCAGTTCCAGGTAGATGGTAATCATTCAAACGAACTTTCACATTACTTCCTGTAGAATTACGAGCATAAATACGGAACCAAGCCACCTATATTACAAAATATCTAATATACTTGATTTTCACTTGTGAGATAAACATCACTATCAAAATAACAAAAACTAAATTCAAAACAGTCAACAATATGTATAGAAAAATATAGAATATAGAAATAACAAGGAAATCTTAATTCTAAAAAATTTGGCACATTTTTTAAGAACTAGTACTTTACTTCTATAATGGTGCTGTTTCTCATGTATCAAAGTAAAAGATTCTTAGAGATGTTAAGGAATTTGAAAGAATATTTCGGTACTGACAATAACAAAAACCTCAACAGAGAAGATAATATCAATAAAAAAGGATAGAAAAATAATATGAGAATTAGAGAAGAGAATGAGAACATGAGAGAATTAGAGAAGAGAATGAGAACATGAGAGAATTAGAGAAGAGAAAGAGAAGTCGAACCTGATCAACATTACATAAGAAAGGTTTGGTAGTAATATTGGTTTTCTTGAATGATGCAATACGTCCATATAGACTATACCAAACCACCTATATCATAGATAGAGTCATCCAGAAATAGAACATTAAAAAGAACGAAATCTTGTCTATAGTCTATAGTTAATCATGGAGAACATAATAAACACACATGGGACAAAAAAAACTGTGGTTTATAAGAAAAAGGATAGATCTTAAGAATATAGAAGACTAGACAGAATGAAAAAAAAAAGATAAAGTATAACAAAATAACAATATATTGGTTTTTGGCGCTTTTTTCTTTTGGTTTGATTTTTGTTATGACAATAAAATACCTATCATTGCATTGGAATAAATTGAGGGTTAATTCTGAGTATACCTCAATAGTTTATGTATATTTTCGCGTTAGTGCAGTTATATTTATAAAGGGATTACCAAACTTGGGGTGCGTATCATAGACAGCGACAAAATATTAAGGTGAATAGAGATTTTTCAAGATTTACTGGAGGGTAAGAATGAATATATATGCATTATATTCACAAGTATACTATTTAAACCAAACAGAGTCTAAATCAAAATATGTGATTCTTACCTTCTCCCCAGTGACAGGTATAAATGTAGCAGGTTTAAACACCATAGTAGTATCTGTACGACACATTAATATAGGTGGAGGAGGAACTTTAGAGGGTCTAACATCTTCAGGATAGCTTCTATTCTCTAAAAATGTTCTTTTCTCCTCTAACTGGGCTTTCTGAATCAATGCTAATGATTCCTAAAATTGTAACAATAAAAATATAATACTTTCCTCTAATATAAAAGAATCAAATAAATAGGTGACAAGCTATCTTATATAGGGAACCCTTGATTGGTGAGTTCTGCATGACATTCAATATAACAAGTTGGAACACGTTCTGAACGCGTTTCGCATGTGCCAAAAAAAAGTCAGTGCAGACTAAATATTTCAGGGAGCAGGCTTGTGATAGCCAAATTGAATTTTGTTACTGTACCTCTAAGAGTTTTTTCTGTTTACCATTATATGATACACCAGATGTTGAGAGTAGAGCATTCTCCATAAATAACAAGGCCTTATATATATAGTTCTTCTTACATTGAGTTGTTAAATCTTCAACATTCAAAACATTCTCATAATCTTCACCTGATTTCAGAATTTTATTACTGTCCTGCAACAACAGGAAAGAATCAAGAAAGTAGGAGTAGATGAACTGAGATGAATAGCACCTTGCATTGTTTATCATTAGTAAAGGCAATCAATAGATCCAAGATTTCCTCTGAAAAGAAATATAAGGTATTTATGCCCCTTTGATCAGCAGCACTTACCAGCTGGTAGCCTGACAACTCTGGGACAACCCAGTACCTCAAACATGATGTACGGATGTGATATCGTCTCATTAAGATATCACATCCATTATCCCATCTAAAAAGCTGGGTAGGGCGCAAGTTTCTCACCTAACCAACTTGATGATCCAAACTTAATACCTAAAGTAAAAGTCCTTTTTAAACAACACTGAATAAATACAAATGAATAAATAAAAATATTTACAATCTGAGCTTCTTCTTTGTTCTCTTTTACTTTTGTTTTTGAATTTACAGGTTTTGGTTTTGATGAAGCATCTGTAAAAATGATATAAGTCTATATAATCTTTCCAGAAGATGGTCTGAGGTGCTATTTCAATCAACGTCAATAAACTTTATGTAGGAAAATAAGTTTATGGTTGTTCTATTAACTGTGCTCTTTATGTTAGCAAAAAGGTTTGTAAATTAGATTTGATTAGATGGACAAATGATTTATTTCTATATTCAATCATTCAAAATTTTAGCCATTTTCTTGACCTCTATGAAAAAAGCAATGCTTGTGGTTACCTAATTGTTTGAGAGAAGCCAGTTTTAAACACACTCTGTGATACATTAAGATTAATTCAAGATGGAGATCTTTGACTGTATTCCAGACAGTGGTAGCTGATTCTTTCATTGAGTCAGGTACTAAATCATCACCATGACAATCTTCATCAACTTCTGATACTTCCTGATTCATCTGATGAGAAAACACTTCTGGATTTAATTCCTGAAAAAACATATTAATATTAAACATCTTTATTCAGTTCTGCTCTAGATTAGTTACTGACAATGGTCAATACCATGCAATCAGAGAAATTTAGCCAAAAACCTGAGAGGAAACCTGGAATTCTGTGTTGTCCAGAGCTATGTCAGGACCAAAACCCAGATAGCAGGAATGTGGCTAACTTAATGAGCCACTGTTTAATGAAGGATTGATTATTAGTAAATATTTGATTTGTGCTACGACATCAATTTGAAGTTTTATTTCTGAATTAATAAAATACTGTGATATTTATTGCTTAACAAAGTGACTGATTAGAATCAAAATATAGTAGTGCATATTTCATAAAAATTGCTATCATCTGTCAGTAACATACACCAACAAATAACTTAACAAAATTATAATACATTATTGTTATACCATACATTGTATTAATAAAAAAAATCATCAATTAAGATATTGTGGTTGATAGAAAGAAAGAAATATATAGTAAGTGATTGAGTTATCATACTTTTGTGTGTATCATGTGTATGACGACATATAGACTTACCCCTGGTAACAATTTAGATGTATCATTTAAAACACTCTGAAATTTGGTGGATAAAATAAGTATGAAGAAATTGGTTTAGGTTTCTAATAGGTCAAAGGTCATGAAAAATGGATTTTTTAGGGAAAATAATGTTGCAATAGGAGATATGTTCCTGACAACTGATACTACTGAGATGTTTTGAAGTTGGTAAGAACTAACTACAACTTATGAAATCTAAAGAAATGCCATACCTTTACCCAGCATACATCAGCAATAGATTTCCCATCATTCAATGCCACAGCTTGTCTGGCATACGACATATCTTTAAGGCCAAGTTCTAGGATAGATTTTGCCTGATCTAGCTGTCGTTTAGCTGTAAGATTAGCTGGTGATGACATCATACTGATACGACTGTGGTTTATCTCTGTTAATCCGATATCTGTCAATGTTGTTTTAGAATCTTTCATACCAGATTTTTCTAGGAAAAAAAGTGAAAACCTTAATGGTCAACATTTGCCACAAATCAATACAGAAGGAATCAATATTTACGTGCATTAGAAAATGATTGACAAAAATATCTTCACAAATATTTTGACATAATATGTAAAATTCCCATTCTTTTTTATAATTTGAATAACTTGTTTTATCACATAAGTTAAATTTAGGGCTACTACTATATAAGCAAATAGGTCAAATAAAAAAGATAAATAAGAAATATATTTAAAATATAAATATGACGTCTGATGGTAAAGGCAGTTACTGTTTGAAGTCTACCCAGTCACCTTGCCTTCCCCCCCCCCTCCCCCCCAAAAAGAGGTTTTTTCTCTCACAGAAAAAAGAACCTAGTTTACATCCTAGGAATTAAAAAAAATTTCCATGGAAATTAAAAAAAGGAATAACATGTTTTGATAAAATGGGATTGTGCATAAAGATAAAAAATTAAAATAATATATGTTTACAATACATAATGACAAGACATTTTAAGACAATTCAATAAACACACACTTAATACAATTAACATCACCAAACACATCACCAAAAGTTTTAAATCAAAGAAAATCCAAAATATTAAAATTAAAAACAAAAAAGCAAACAAAAAGAAAGCTTAAAATCAAATCATATCAAAGTTAAACAATGATCAGAATTTAACACAGAATCCTACCCTTGATTATTTTAGGAAAGATAGAACTTGGATCACTGCTGGACTTTCCTTCTGATACAGATTCCTTACGAAGTCTCAAACCTTCAATTGTTAAAATCATTTCAGTAATTTAACAGGTCAAAGGTAAAGTATTCAAAGCATTAAGTTGGAAAAACTTTTGCTCTTTTTTTGTAGATCAACCTCTTGTCATTCCATGGAATATTCTTTTTAAGTAAATCCCTCCTCTAAGAAGGAGAAATTACAATCATGTTGTTCAAAGGACAATCACATTGTTCAAAGGAAAATCACATTTTTTAAAGGACAATCATATTGTTCAAAGGACAATCACATTGTTTAAAGGACAATCATGTTGTTCAAAGGACAATCACATTGTTCAAAGGACAATCACATTGTTTAAAGGACAATCATGTTGTTCAAAGGACAATCACATTGTTCAAAGGACAATCACATTGTTCAAAGGACAATCACATTGTTCAAAGGACAATCACATTGTTTAAAGACGCCAGTCCAGGAAATATTAATTTGTTCAATACTACTTACCATCAGATGTATCTAGATAAGCTGAACTCTCATATAACATAGCTAGTCTAATAACAACCTCTGCCATTAAAGATGGATCAACAGAACTAATACCACACCAACATAATGTCTGATGTACTGTGTCTAATAAATACATCCACTGTAACAATATACATAAATAAAATGAAATAAATATATGAATGGATTTTAAAGTCATACTTTTCTGCACCTGATTGGGCTTATGAAGCAATGCCATGCAGTGTGCAATGAGGGAAAATTTGTCCTGACAAGGTTTAAAAATCTGACAGTACTATCTTGACCTAGGCCAGGATTGAACCATGTTGAATTAACTATATTAGGCTGTTATGTTCTATGGAATTTTTGTATTCATTTTCTGTGATGTTAGTCCTTTTTTTGTTTTTATAAGAAATTTACTCATTTAAGACAAATAGTAAATGATAAATGGACTTGGGCCTCCTGCTACTGAAGCTTTTCCAGTTTGTTTACCTTGTATGGTTGATCCATCTTCTGTATGTATCTAGGGTTTTCCACAGATCCCGTCTGATACTTGTGAAATACTGTTTTACATTTATTCCATAAAATCAAAGCTGAATCTACTATAATATCCATTTCTATATCTTTCTTCTGTAAATATACAAAGATATAAATCAGACAAATGCAGAATAATTTATAGTTATAATGTTTTGGTACCATAAATGTGATATAGACCTATTGCAGTAGTTTGCTTTATCAAACAATATAGAAGGGTACTACACAACCAATGCATGAAATAAGCTCAATTTAAAACTGAGAAGACTAGTTAAATACTAAGTTTCACTAACCTGAAATGGTCCTGAGATAATAGACAGTAAAATATCAGCTAGATTAATATGATCATCATTCATACTGGTAGATTTCATTGATGTTCCTGAAATATTCAAAAAACTTTGTTTCACATGGATTTAACCATTCAAATCTGGAAGGTTTTATATACCAGTTGATCTAAATGTCAGCACTAGTCTAGGTAACAGATATTATAAGTTTGAATTTCTGTCCATGTAAGAAAAAGATGCTGTTGGAAGTCCAACCCTTAGTACTAACAGGTGAGTGATGAGAGTAAAGCAAAATCTAACTGGGACAATATCAGCACTAAGTGTCAGGTGAAAATGCTCTAAAGGCTAGGAATTATACGGTATAAAACTGTGTTAAAGCAATTTCTATGAAAGCACAGGCTCAGGCATGTAGACATAATCAACCTCTAGTGAAAGACAAGGAATTTTAGGTTGTAACATTGCGGATAAGTAATGTTATGAAAGCACAGGCAGAGGCATGCAGGTTTAAAGACTAGGGTTAGGGTTAATGCAAAGCAGGGTACTCTGAGAAGGATTGCAATAACTTTCAAACTATGTAAAGTTTAATACAGGAAGTATTAAGGGTTAGAGAGTTTTGGAGAAAAAAAACAGTGGAAAGTCAAACGCAAACGAGATACAGAAAATAATAAGGGTTAAGGTATTTTGGAAAGAAACTAATTGGACAGTCTAAATTAGGTCTCGAAATTTGGAAGAAAACTAACCAAGGGGTAATTTAACAAGATACAGACAAAAACAAGGATTGAGGTATTCTGGAAAGAAACTAACCAGGGGCTGAAGCTACATTAGGATTGAGTGGGGGGTGTTCATCTTCTGGAACTTCTTCATTACCAGTTTCTTTCTTTTTACTTTGTTTCTTACTGTGACTTAATTTCTCCATGGCCAATAGTAATTCTAGTAACTTCTCATACCATTGATAATTAGCTACACTGGTTATCTAAACAAAGAATCCTGAACATCATCATTTTAGATGTGATTCAATCAGATTGGAAGGTGCTAAGACAGAGTTTTCAACCATATTAAAGAACTGGAATCATTGATGAGAGAGTTATAGATGTCAGTTTTACTAAGAATACTTGTTGTGTCATTATCTTATGGTTGTTAAAGATTCTCATATGATATGTACATTGAACCGTAGCTGAAATCAAAGGAAGTAGTAGTATATCCATATAATAGTTCTTATACATCTAATGATCTTTCTACTTCTACTTTAGTTAAATATCCTGAGATTGCCTTAAAAATAATGATAGATTGAAGTAATTTTCTTACTAAGAATTACTTACACTAAGATAAGCTCTGACTGGTTCAACTAAATTATCAAACAGATCCCAATATTCATAATTAAAGGCCAGTTTCATAAACTTTATAACAGAGTGTATTGGTATACCATCAATTCCTGGGAACAAATATCATAAACATATACTATACAATTGTGAATATAATGCATATTGAATGTTTCTTAAAGTGCAAATATGAGAATAAGTACTACTTGTCAAACTTCAGTAGGAATGTAGGCTGAAACAGGTCAGTTGTCTGAAGATCAGACAGCGTGGACCTCAGAGTAACAACATGTTTCAAGTTCTGTTTTAATATTTCTATTTTAAACAATGACATATTTAGTTAATGAATGTTACATGTATTCTAAACAAAAAATCATTATATATCATACCGTATTGGGGTTTTATCCCAAAACACTGAAAATGACCACCTCACAATGCTCAATTCTAATTTAAAACCCGATATATGACACTAACCTAAAACAGCAGATTCCATTAAACTAGTAAATTCAGTAACACCACTTAATGGAGGCATTCCTATAACAGATTGTGCTTTAGGTCCTGATGGTTTTAATCCTCCTCCACCTACAAGTAAATTAATAAATATGACAAAAACTTCAATCTAACAAAAAATAGCTAATTAAATATCAGCTTGTGTTGCGAAGAGAAATATCTATATAATTGTGTAATTTTTAAATTATTTAATCTGTATTTAAACGCTGTAACACTTTTACTGATTAGCTTAGCTGAACAATTCCTGATTCTAGGACCAAGGTCAATTGACTAATCCAAAATAGTTAATCATGGCCTTTTAAACGCATGAAATACTGAGACTGACCTGCTAATAATTCTTGTCCAGCCATGAATAGTTCTACATAAACATCCAGTATTTCTGGTTCATTATCCTGAGCTGGTGGTCCTGTTAATATTATACGTCTATTACTATCAGTTAGTGTTTCTATTAACGCCAAAAACTGAGCTGCAGACCCTTCAAACATCTCATTCATTAGTTTCTCTGTTAGAGTACGAGGCCAACCACCCTAAAATATAACATGACAGAGAATGATCGGGAAGTTATTTTTACACAATATTTTACTCATGTCAAGAGGAAAACATGCATAAGTCTATGTTTCATTAAAAACAAATGACATACTTAACTTGAGATGTCCAAATAACATGAAATATATTTTATATAGTCAGATCATATATAAATTCCAAAACTATTAATAGAAAATTTAGCCAATGCTAAATGGATGATACAGTGGGGTAGGTTCTAGATTTCAAAAGGTACCTTAATTTAATCAAAAAAATTGCATGAAAGAGTTACGACACAATGTTCAACAAGTTCCATGATGCCAAAGAAACAACACAGATGTACTGGCTATGTATGATATGCCATTTGTATTAAAAAGAAAGATTAAGAAAACTTACATTAACCACATCTTTATAATTGGCTCTAGTTTTAGGCCGTAATAAACCTTTTGGTTTTCTCCTAGTTTCAAATACTGAGCGTTTAAACACCATAATAGCCATTTTAATAGTAGCTTGACGAAATGCCACTGTAGATTGAGGACTTTGGACAGAGTTACTCATTCTTTCTAACTGATTTAACTCATTAATCTTAGCTAATCCTCTTCTAGCAAATGCCTGGAAAATATAAATAAAATATTGAAACTTTACAGTATACTATGTGTAATCCAACATGCACTCGGGACAAAATCGAGTACTCAAAGTTCAGGATTTTCAACATCTGCCATTTTTTACAGCTAAGAGACCCTAACTTTTATTTCTTATATGTCAGATTTTTCATTTAGCTGGTGTTCAAAATCCAATTATCAATTATGAATGATTTGAATTTTGGCGTGTTTGTTAGGTATATTTCATCATTATTCAAAAACAATTAGCTGTAAGCATTATCTCTTTTGTTGATTTTTCAAATAGTTTCTAATGAGAATTGGTTACATATATATCATTTCTAGCAGTGAAAGATCTACATACCTCTGCATGTTGTGGAGATTTACAGTCATAATAACATTGACATACAGCTGTATATAGAGTTGATCTCCATGTTAGATATTTTACTGATACCAGTGGTATAGACGTCTCCATACAAACACTAGCCCATATCACATATTCTAATACCTAAACACATAATATAAAAACTTTTTAGAAATTTTTATCATATTCACACTAGTCCATATGCTTAGGGTCATAAAGAACACAACAAGTGGCTCATATACCACAATATTATTATTGAAACTCATATCTTGGCAATTGAAGTGCACAATAAGGTTCAGACTGGCTTTGTGATTCATTCCCATTTCAAATGATCCAGGAGGGCTATTTGACTCATGGCTATTCTATCAGCTTATAGACTTTGATAATGCATTGCGATTTGGATAAAATGTTAGTTATATTTTATTGATAGTTTTAAGAAGGAGAAGAAACACCAACCTGTGCAGAATGTCCCAGTGACATCAGGTGTCTTGATATAGTGTAGATATGTATAGAACCTGAATTAAAGATTGAAAGATGTATGATTAATATTGGGTTGAAAATTAATATAAATAATTATATAAAATGAAAAGGAAATGAAATGAATACAGTTTAACGGGCAATGCCATGCAGTGTTCTATGAGGAAAATTTTTCCAGGACAGAGGTATTAACCTTCTCTTTTAAGATTTTCAACTATTATACACAGAGCCTCAGTTTATTGTCCTATCCGAATGACGAGCTACTTTTTCCATGTCAGCCCGTGAGACCTGCATCACTGACAAGGGGAGAAACTGTGTTAACAAATCTGGAATTGAACCCTGGATCTTCAGGTTAGTGACTAACATATAGAGCCAACATGACTCCAAATAATCATATAGCTGTCATTTTGTTTCTGATGCAAAATCCATTGAGGAAGATATTCCATAACTAATGGTAATATCCTTAATAATATTTCATCTGGCAGCACTCTAATATGTGCTCTATGGGCATTCTGGCAATAGGGGGAGTCAAGAGTTATGGTCTTGGGAGTATGAATGAAGAGTAATTATCACTCAGATTCAAGTCAATGAAACAATCTTTGCATGTTGATAAAAAATCAAAATCTTTAGCAAAAGGAAAGTTGTGAAACATACCATTATAAATAAGCCAACAGAGTCGTTCTTTAGGTAGAATAATTTGCATGAGTAATCTAAGAAATGATAGAATCTGTAGACATTTATCTACTGACTGTTTATTCTGTAGTTTATCATCATTTCCCTTTATCATCTGATATAAACATATACTCTTTCCCATCAAAGCTCGAAACTACAACAAAAATTAATAACATTCTTAGACATCTGAAGACTTCAAACTACAAGGAGTGGGCCTGAAAAGTCAAGTTTTGTCTAGGAAATCACAAGAAAACAACACACACTAAACTAGAAATTACTTTCTTTTTTTCACTAGTTAATTCTCAGTCTGAAAATTAGGGTTTCTTTACAATCATCTTTACTCTACTTACAGTAAAACCAGATTCTTCAGTTTCAAATCCATCAGAAAAGAAAATTTCCTCCAGTTCTCTCCCTTCAGAGATATCCAAAAAATTACCACAATCAAATCTTAGTAAATATCTTTCATAACACTGCCATAATGCTAGTTTATATTCCTACAAATATCAATATTATGGATATTATGGTTTAAAAAGCAGACAGAAAAAAAATCTTTTATTAGCAATTGGAGGTTTCATGTTGATGGAGCTTGAGGGGCATTTTAGGGATTGTTAAAAATAAAATATATCATAGCAGTAATAAGGCAATACTTTTAAAAACTATATGTAATTTTTTCTATTAAGAACAGGCTAGAATGTCCATGTGACATAAAATTGATACCCATAGCCAATACATGTACCGGTATTATAAACTTACACTTCTTTTCTTCTAACATTGGGTTAAATTTGTAAAGATTGGGTAAACTAACTTTTTAACTGGTGTAAACTGTAATTTTATATTTTTAACAATCAATAGCAAACCAACCTTCATTGATAGTAAAGTATCTCCCATTTCAAGTAATTTCTTATAATAAATATTCTTCTGTAATTTAGGTTCGAATCGATTCCACAATTCAAAGATAGTGTCAGAGCTACAAAAAAGAAAATAGTGATAATCATGCAAAAAGAGTATAATGTTTTGAAGGCTTCTTTACTCAATCTCAAATTGTTTTGACTTCATTGATAAGCTCATCAAGTAGGCTAATTAGTTTAGAATAGTAGTGAATTTCATGTCTACAAACAGTTTTAGATTTTGTGAACTTGAACTTTAATGAGAGCTTTCAAAATCAAGTCACAGAAAATGGACACCTAGAATGGCTAGATTAGCCCATTGTTTTGTTAGTATCACACTGTCAAAATAGCTATCAGAGACTAGAGCCATTGGATTGGCAATGACATTATGTTTCGGACTAGCTCTGCTGGGATAAACAACAGTTAACATGGAAAATAGTTGCTTCAAAGAATGTCTTGTGAAAGTATTCTTACCATCTGGAACAGGATTCATTGTCAGGTTTAATATATTTAGGATCAGATCTTTTCTTGATGTGATTGTAGATTATTTTTATCTCACTGTTCAAAGCCTGAAAAACTGGATTGTTTTTATCTTTAGCAAGAGTCGCTCCATAATAAGCACTAGACTTCCCCTTGTTAGTTGTGGAGGCTGCTGCGCTGTTTAGAAATGCAGCCATTGTAGTTTGGCTTGGGGAGAAAAAACAACTTTACAAATAATTGGTGCTACTTGTTGAAAATTAAATCATAAAATGGCAATGTTGTGCATTTTGTCCGCCATATTACAACAAAGTGTCGCTAAGGATGGGAGATAACTCTGATATCAATTCTCTTGAATTCCCTCCCTTATAAAACAAGACCACAGCAAAACTATTTCTCCGCAGACAAGGTTTCATTAATTAAGTCTTTGATCTATTTCAGGTTTGAATAAATACACAACTGTTTTTTCAATAGATATTTAATTGTATGTAGATCAAGCATAACAGCAGAAAAATGCACTAAAATTAAAATTAACAAAAATAGGCACTACGAAAAATATTTTGTACCATTTCATGGTTAAAAAAAGAAATATCTTAAAATGTGTTCCCTTTTCCTATTTGATAACAAAGTCATAAAGTTAACATAACACTGACATTTATTTAATTAGTAATATATCAAAATAAATGAGTCAAAGTATAAAATATAAAAAATTTGACTTGGCAAGTAGGAAAGGAAATAATAAACTGCAGTAGTTGTATTATCAACAAATTTTACATTACAAAATTTTAAAAATATAGACATAATACAAAACTTAACCTTTTTTATGAAAGGTGGCTGAATTCAAAATTTTTATCACTTCACAAGCTAACTCTATGCTTAGTTTGACTATAAATTACCAAATTTCTCATGAATTTTAGTATTTTACCAAGGAAATGAGATCAAGAAGAAGGATAGATAGACAATAAAAATAGATCCTTTGTCATCATAATTTGAGAATAAGATTCCAATAAAACCCACAGGCATAAGTCTAGAAGCTAGAACTTTATATTTAATTTAAATATATTCCAAAGTTCTTATGAATAGTCTGTTGGTTATGACACAGTGAAAAGGCTTCTGTTTATTCAAACTATATAACAATAAGTAGTTACTACTTAGTAAAATATATGAGATGAAATGAGAACACTGTGTATGAACAGAAATGAAATATATACAGTAGTGTATAATAATGTGAATTTTTCAAAATGGCAGGAACATTGGTTGTTGTAGTTGAATCACACAATTTCTCAGTGTCCTGTGAATTGTGATGGCACTATTGGATCTGAAAAACAATGAGAAGGATAAATATTATAGGACAGTCCATCTCAAATCACCTTGCGGTTTCCAGGTCCCGCTTTCAATCACAGGTGCTCCCATACCAAAGTTATAAAAAAAAAAAACATATATTAGGTCTGTATCTCAAACTTTGTAAATAACACAGACCCTTGAAGTTTAATGCATTTATATTTAACTGATCTATGGGATCACTAATGCTATGAGCTTTCTGTTAACAAATTCATTTATAATTTTACAAACTCTTGTAGCCCTGAATGACCATTCTAAGCTATTTCAACTATCAAAAATGGTGTGATGGCTCCAAAAAACAGTGTAAAAGTTGCTCAAAATCAGCAGAATTACTTGGCAATATGAACTGTAAGTACCAGTACCTGGAATGTCTAGACAGAATAAAGAACAGGATGTTAAAAAATCTATCTGTATTTTTTCTTTTCTCTCTTTCCTCGCCTTGTCTGATCTCCACCATGTTTTGTATGAGCTGGAGTTTGATTCAGTTGTTGTTCTTCTTCTTCCTACAAAATTCAAAGATATAAGTTTGATTTGTTCCAAAATATCATCTTAAATTATCTCACATTATGGTACAATCTTGCATGGTTCATTTTGGGGAGGTAACTAGAGTATTGAATCATGTAATCATAAATGTCAGTGAAAAAACAGACAACGTTCTGTATGTATGGCCAACCAGTTTGACTTGCCACCAACAGTGAATAGATGACCACGCCCACCATAGTCATCATCATGTGAAATATTCCTCTCAATAGGATCAAAATATACAAGTAATTTTCTAAACTACCTTTTCAGTCTTACTCCCTGGTATGAAAACTACCGCCATGATGCACACAATTTGAAAAATTGCCCCTATAAAGAGGCCAATATGAAGAAATTGCTCAAAGGATGTCGGTTCTGGAACAAAGATTGCCATTTTCCTTGTTTACATTTGCAACAATCGACATAAAGTCTAAACTTATCCCAAAGGAAATGTGGATTGACGTTTCATTTATAATTTTTTTAAACGTATCCGAAAATATAATTTTTTTTTTAAAGTCAAGATTTCATTATTTTAAACTGAAATGTAACCTACGGGTAATCGTTGTCGTAAATGGTAAAGACTTTTTAGTGATATTAATAAAATTGCCCAATAAACTGTTTGTATTTGATCACGTGACGTTTAAACTCAAGAGCGAAATACGAATCAAGAAATCAGTCACCACGGCTTCAATTTTTTTTTAAATTCTGGTGAAAAGATTGTGGTGTGTTGTTTTGCCTCTATCAGTACATATCTTATTTATTTGTTTTAAAATGCACAGTCTGTAAGAAATCCAATTGCCAGTATCATCGAATAGACCACGTAGTCTAGATGTTTTTTATGGAACTGTTCAACTGGATGGAGCTGGAGTAGAATTATCTTTAATTTATCAATCATTTCATATAATTTCGTATATAATGTATATGAATGATGATATAAACATGGAATGAATAAATCTGAATATTGATAACATCACTTTGACTCTGCCTTGTCAACAAATATGTCACTGAAAGTGAACTGTCAACATCATCATCCTTTTAGGTCATAGGCATGATCGATGTCTATGGTAAAATTGCGAACTTATTGTGCGCTGAAATCAATTAAATTTGCATCTGTCATACCAGCAGGATTGGTTACAGATATTCAAGCTAATGTCACCGTCATTATTTTGTCTTCCAGTAGTTCCAGGTGAAGCTGTGACAATATTTTGGATGTGTTGATTTAACCTACTTGGCTTAACAGCATACTTGAAATTGAAGTATTTCATAATAAAGTATAAAAACAAGACCAAAATGACAGGTGTTTATACTTAAATTTTTAAAAAATGTTATTATTGACTAGAAATGACATATTTTCAAATGTTAACCTATAATATACAATAGAATGTCAATCACAATAATTACCTTTATATTAGATCTCTTCTGCTGATTTGCTAATGCTATTGTTAAGTAACCAACCACAAAATTTAAGAAGATTTTATTTTTTCATAAAAAGTTACTTCTTAGAAACATATAGTACCCGAAAGTAAAAAAAAAGTTGTTTTCATATTTCAGAGTGTCCGACTGCATGTTTATTAGATCTATCAGAACCTGTAGTTGAAGATCAAACTTCTCCAGAGAAAGACAGTCATCCTTCAATACCAGGTAAAATATTCGACTGGATGATAAGTACAGGCCTTCATATTACATAATGATCAGGATTTGTAAGATAACACAGACAGCTCCTGTCTCAAGGATTTTGGTCCCAGGACAGTTAATCATCTTTTTCTCTATGACTAGTGGAAAGTGCAAGAATGTACCAAATGACTTGAATAAACCCCCTTATGGCAAATGAGGAAGTCAGCTCAAATCTTTTTCACTTAATGTCTAGTTTCAGTATCCAGAAAGCCTCCAGGCTGGCTATTGAATATGTATATTATGTCTATATTGTAGATGATAGTGAATTATTATTTAATGGAGAAGAGGTTCTAATTCCTGATCTATCAGATAAATCTAATAGTAATAATAACAATAGCCTGGTTCCCTTATTTGATCCTGATAATCTTCCAGGTGAGAATTGAAAAATTCATGACATATTCTGTTAAGAAGCCTTTGTTATGTTTGGCTGCTGCCAAAGATTCCTCTTTTTTTTCAGTCTTGATTGGTTATTGATCTGCACTCATGTTTTAGACATATTCAGGTGAGAGACTTGCTCTATTTGCACTAAGGTACCTAGACAAGATTGGAAGTTAGCAACAGTACTGTAAATTCATTATCTAAAATTCTGTCGCTTGCAGTGCACGGATGTTATCTCAAAATTTTTTCCACATTTGAAGTACATGTAATTAAATTTTTGTTGATTTCAGTGGTGGAAGATACCTGGTTAGATAAAGAAACTTTTGATTTTGATGTTGTTCTTTCTCCTAGTGAAAAGTAAGTAACTTTGATTTCAAATTTTATTATTCATGATAAAGTCTGCTAGCTAAACCTGTGTTACATGTATTGGTAGGGAATCAGCCCAGTAACTGTAAGAATTAAGATTCAATATCCTGTTACCTTTTCATAGATGTATCGACGTGACAAAATGTCAAGGACATCAGGGAAAAACACTGGCTCTCCTTGACACAGTTGAAAATAAACAGATTAATGCTGTTGCCATGGCAATATGTCCTTTGTGCGTTTTATTGATGTATGGTATATTTTCTGAAGATTGCTCACCTTTAAATGCGTTTCAGGCTCTACAATTGATGTATTGAGCACTATTTTAACAGTGAAAATATTTCGTTATTGTATGGTATATTTTTAGTAAAAAGCCAGAAAATTATGATGAAGATGAAGAGATATTCTTTGGTCCGATGGGATTCACTGAGAAATGTGTTGCAGCAGTGGTAGCAGCACAAACACCAGTGAAACCAATGAGTCCACTAAACCCTCAACAACTTGCTGAAATGATTAAAGAAGCTCATGGAGTAGCTTGTTTATTTTCTAACATGAATTTCAAATCTGGTTCCAGTTCAGATGATGGTGTTTCACCTCAAAAACGAATTCTGAACACAAAGTTATTTGCCAAAAGTCCTAAACATAATAGAACTTTTACCAGGGAAAATGACAGTGAAAATATTAATCCAAACCCAATTGAAAATAATCATGTACGAACTGGAACATTTACAAAAGACATGGACGTGAAGTCTTTGAAAAATTCAACAAAGGAGCCGTTGAAAGAATCAAATGTAAATATTACTAAAGATGTCAAACCTGAAAGTAAATTAAGAAAAATCAGTGGTATTCAGAAGCCAGGGTTAAAACCAGCTTATTCTAAATTACCCAAATCTCGGAGTGCGTCAAATCTACCCAAGGTGAGCATTAAGAGTGTTTTTTGTATCGCAGTACTTTGATATTAACTATCCAATTATATCTGGATAATGTAATTAGTAAACAAGTCATGGCTGCATGCAAATTGGGAGAAACAGACCTATAGATAAGTTTCCTACAGTCATTAGATGATTGTATAACAGTAAAGCACCTGCATTTAATACAATTCAAAGTTATGCCTGTATCATGTACAAAAATATCTGACGAAATGAACAAACTTGTCTGGCTGATCACAATGCTAACAGAAGAGTATTTTGACATTTGTTTTCTTATGAATTGGAATATCAACTTTGAAATACTACTTAAAGTTCTTTAACAAAAAATTAGACTTCGAGAAAAAAACAGTCATTTCTGAGATTGTTATCATTGGTGATTAAGAACTTGTTTGTTTGATATTTTAGGCTATGAGTAGTGATAATTTATTAGATATAACAGGAGAGTCAGTAAGACAGAGATATAAGTCTGGTGACAGTGAGGCGTCAGAATGTAGTATACTCAGTGATACTAGTGAGGCTTCTGTAACCAAACTACCTGCTTCAAGAACTGGTCTTAATAAACTGAAGGTATAATATTCTATAATCGTTTATATACTCCAACAAGAGTTTGATATATTTTTCACATTATATCATTGAGATCTTCCCTCAGAGAAGTTACCTTTTGTTAGGATTGGTTCAAAACATAGGCATTATGATGACTTCTCTTTTCACACAACTTTGACCACATTTTTTTTACGTACAGTAAGATTTATACTTTCTTTCTTCAGGCTCCATTGACCACAGGAAAGAAACTACAAGCTCCAATGATAAAACCCAGCTTGACCAATCTGAAAAAGGGCACTAACAGCAAATTAACAGTCAAAAATATTTCAAGGCAAAAGGGACCAATGAAATCCAACCATACTAGAACTACCTCTAATTCAAGTCTGGATTCAGTTTCATCACAATCTTCCAGTATCTCCAATTCTTCTTTTATGTCTGCTAGTTCTAACATAGGACAACCAATAATCATGTCTAGAGTAGCCTCAGCTTCTAAGACAAATAAAGGACCATTGACTAAACTAGGTGGATTGATAAAACCAGCTCTACAGAAAGTTACCCAAAGTGATACCCGTAGATCCTTAAATGGACCAATGAAAGCTATGGCTGCTTCCAAACCAAGTGGATTTCAAAATAGATCTTTTCAAGAACGCAAACCAAGTAGGTTTAACATTTCAAATCCTTTAGAGCTCAGATTTATTTTGAGCTTAGTGGAATTTTGAATTTTTTCCACTAAGTTATCTTTTAATCTAACTAATTTATCTGTGAATTGATTAAGCAGAATATTTTCAACCTTATTTCCTTTTTGAGAGGGAATTGCCACATGCCAAAAATTGACAACTAGGCATTGTTATTCTTTTAAGTCTGTATCATTTTTGTAGAGTCTGATTCAGCTCCAGTGATCACACCTGTAAAACAAGATAAAGCTGTCAAACCAAAACGCTTGTCATCAACCATGGGCAGTATGGGTAAATCAAGGTAAGATTCATATTATTCTGGGTAAGTGCCGTATGGATGAAACCAAAAGATTCGAAGGTTGAGATATAATTTTGGATTTTTCAATCCAGTTTGTCTCTGTTGGCAATAATAAATGAATTATGTCATGTATTATAAATCTCATCCCATTGTCAAGCTATTACCTCCTTCTGCTTATACCCTGACTGTAATAGTTTACTTGTATTACAAAATTCAGCTATTTGATAGGAATGTACTCCAGCAAATACAACCAATGACAGCCCTTGAAAGAAAGACTGAAGAAGAACATTATGGCTTAGTGTTTACAAACTTTAAGTCTTGTCCTCTGATTGGCTGTATTTGTTTCCTTAAGGTTGTAATAGCTTGACATTGTGGCGGATACAGTGTACTTGAAACTGAAATGAAAAACATTTATGATAAGCTTATATAATTGTATGTGTTGTATTTTTATTTTAGCTCTCTTGGTTCAACAGGATCTTCTGGTTCTGTGACTGAAAGCACTCCAACATCAACTCGTAAACGTCACTCTTTACTTCCAACACCATCTAAATCTCGGCCTAGTTCAACTAGCTCTGTACCTCCCAGGTAGATAGACAATGTTTTCTTTTTAATACCAATGGTACAAAAATCAACTTAAATTGTTATTGCTCTATTCTAATTTTGAGCAACTGTTCATATTCTTATATGACTACTCAAAGTTTAGTATGTAGATACTGAAAATTGCAAGGAAAAGTATGTGCTTTTCAATCTACAAATGTTAGAAGTTTAGAAAAGGTATCAATCAAGAAAAGATAATCTCTTTCACATTGATTTTTAAAAATGTTATGTTTTTATTAAATAGAAGATCCATGTCATTTGTAGTAAGTATCAGAAATAAAGTATTGAGCATGTTATACTCAAATATACTCAAATATACTCATGCTTGATCCCTACAACAATGATGATATTCAACTGATGATGCACACAAAACGGAACATTGGATTTATTCATACTCCTCTGAATCCTATCTTTTGGTAGCTTTTATAATCAATTGTTTCAGAGATCTTTTATAATTATATTCTGATCTCTGCGCTCTTATTTCAAATATATTTCCATATGATAAATCTACAATAACTTGAGAAACCATAGATTTGAAGTTGAATATCATTATTGAGCTTGTACTATCTCTACTAGATTGATTGCTTGTCTCTCAGGCCTAATGCTTATATTACTCCTTCTTCAATATATCATAAGGATATAATTACTTTTCTTACGATTATTTTACATCGAGAAAAAACAAATTTGATCGTATGAATTTTTAAGGAACAAGGCCTAGCTTTAGTTTCAGACTGCTAATCTGCTTTACTAACCTATATTTCCAGCCCTCTATCTTGCCGTAGTAGTAATAGTAGTATTAATTCTAGTGTAACATCCTGGCTCGGTGCTTCCATTAGTGATACTAATGATTCACCAGTTTTTGAAACAGATACAATTAAAAAACTTCCAGTCAAAGGTTTAGTGGTTAGTTCTTTCAACTTTTAAAGAATTAAGATTTTCAATAAAGTTTCAAAAAATGCTTTGACAATGTAGTTAACATCATTTATGCATGAGATGCAATGGTGCATTTGTTTCATGATATAACAGTGGAATCACACTTGGTTTTTGGTTTATGAAATGAAATGTTCGAAGATATGTATTCTCAGATAAGATGCAATGTTGATAAAATTAAATATATTTCAATTTATTTGTTTTTTATTGTTTTTATTACAGAGAGAATCTCCTAGTGTGATGAAGGTAAGAATGTATTAAATATGACCAAACAGTCCAAAATTAATACATCTCAATCCTTAGTCCTGTCAATTTTGTGAAACAAATGTCAAAACTGACCAACAATTGAAGGTGTATGAATTACGGATAACGATGTCTTAATATTGGACTGTGTGGTCTTCCATACATCGCAAATTTTATATAAAACCTCCATTCTTTGGTAGAATTCCGTTTAGCTAATTTCATCCATAAATAATAACAGAATTTATTTTGCCTCAAAGATGCAGCTTCAACCCCCAGTACATTTGCATCTCAAAAAGATTTTCTATTGGTACCAACAGTATGAGATTACATTATTTTTATGTTTTTCAGCCAAGGAAGAAATTGGTACAGAATACACCAGATATTCCTGTTAAAAAGCCTTATAGATGGTCACCTTTAGTTCGTAAAAAAATGGACCCACAAGACCAAGCCTTACACTGCACTAAACGTGCGACAAAAAATTAATTTTCTTTCTTCATGGTTTTATCCTTAGTTTAATTTATAGATATCTTATAGTCATACATATTTTATTTTGTCCAACTTGTACTGTATTCATTTTCGCTGAACACTGTTTTTTTTCTTTTTCGAAAATGATGAAAATATCAGTGTTCTAAAATGTGCCAATTACACATACTTTATTATACCAGTCTTTGGTTGAAATGATATCATGTCCTGTTTCACTAAATCATCTTGTGATCAAAATGTAGTCTAATTCATACACTTGGATCAATTTTGATTGCACTCTTGGATCAATTTGTACACTTGGATCAATTTTGATTGTACTCTTGGATCAATTTGTACACTTGGATCAATTTTGATTGTAAGATGGAGAATACATTGGAAAGTCACAAAAGAAAAAAGTTTTTGCCTGGGTCATGCTAATCTTATAACTTGATTTCTTATGATTTGTACAAAGTAGAATACTAGAATTATATTGTATATATTATATATGGTGTGTGAAATATCTTAATCTTTGTAAACTGTACCAGAATATGATACTTAATTTGTATTCTTAGTCAAATACAAACATGTGCTAAAAACTGTGATTTTGTTAGATGGGATTTATTGAGCTTCAACAGTCTGCTTTACAGCATTATATTAAAGCTCAATTAATATTTTCAACATTGGACAAAATACCTTATTTGATGTAGAGTTTTAATAAAATGGGTTTATTAATTTTGGCAACATTCAAATGAGAAGAATTCTCGATGGTATTATGTGTGCAAAAATCTTTCTCTTCCTGTTTTAATTAATAAGTAAATTTTCACCATTAGTATATGGGGCAATAAGTCACATGAACAAGTATTTAAATTCAGTCCCACATATCCTAGTTATCCAAATTAAACCACTACAGTTTAATTTGATCTAGTCCCATTGTAATAACTGTCAATTTGTAAGTTCTCTTACAACCTGTATCAATGATGTTTAATGGACTTTCTGTTATATATTTTGTTTTTCTCTGGTGGTGTTGTTGTAGCTTTTGAACTTAGTTGCTCACATTTGATAAGTTTCTTCAGTTATTATTATTAGAATCTTTTCCTGACTACAATGTTGTATGTATATCATTTAAACATCCCTTACTGTGATTATTGTATACTCCTCAATAGAAAATATTTATCTATTTTGATGGCTTAATAAAAATCCATTAGAATTATTTGAATCTCTTATTTCATACTTTTCTTTCTACCACCAAGGCTTTCTGCTTTCAGTGGTGCAGTGCTGAAGTGGGCTAATATTGGAGAATGTTGAGCCGAATTGCTAATGAGACTATCTTAGCAAAACTTCCACTATGGGTCACTTCAGGGAATTGCCACTGTTATTCAATGAGCAGTCATTTAAAACTATATACAGTTAAATAAAATATATATTTCATATTCCCAATAATTAACAATTAAAATTAAATATATCACAGATATCAGAGCAGCAATAACAACTAATTTTACATTATAATACTTATATAACAGTCATAAATTATTAACAATTAGATACTAGGTCATGAGTACATGTTTTAATTTTGACTTACTCTTCATAATTTTGAGACTGAAAATATCTTTTCTGTGTTCTTCTACGAATAGATTCTGTTATCTCAACATAGTTAGAATCTGATGTTCCATGCTTCTCAGTTACATTTCTTGTTGGTGCTGAATACATACTTGGTTCCTGTCATAAATGTATATATATTTTATCATAGATTATTATATTTACAGTATCATCTGCTAACTAACTAATCCATCTGATCAGAGAAAAGCAGCGATTTGGCCTTACAGCTAAAGAAACCCTTCATACAGAGCCTTATTTCTTTCCTCCAAGCTTATAGATTGTATCTTATCTACAAACCAAACCTTTCTGTACCTACCACTGTTTCATCCTGTAGATCTCGAGATGGTTTAGAAAATATATCTAAAGTAGGACTGGAGCCTAAAATATCTCTTCTACTAATCTGTGAGCATTGTTCTAAAAGAGACCAAATAAATGCTCATCATGTCAAAATACACCTATATACCAAGAATTGTGAAAATCATTCATAGCATATTCTTTATTCCATAAAACAGGGGTTAGAACTCGATTTGCCTATCTTTTAAGAATAGGTGCTGACAATAAAATTAATAAAAAGAGATGTGAGCAAATAAAAAATTTAACATAGTAGTACTCTTTAGGAACACATGGTAATATTTTAACCTGATATCATAGAGTTTCAAATTGTTTAATTGGTTAACATTAATGGCCTGAATACCCTATCTGAAGATCTATAGAACTAGTTAATATAATATTCAAAATAATATCAAACTGTTTACCATAATTATAAGTTTGTGCATGATTAAAATTACGTAAATCAGGTGTTTTCTTGTTATCACATTTAATTTTTCTCTTAATAACTACTTCCGTTAGAGACATGGATGGTGATGATTCTCTACTGGTTCCATAAGTACATATACTCTACAAAATACAACAGACATTTTAAGATTTTTACAATGATAAAAGTTTATCAAACAAAAAATAGGCCCAACGACTCCTCTATATACATTAATTATATTTGGATAAAGAATATCATACTTACCCGTCTAGTAGGAGAGTTATAGACAGCCTCTCTGTTATTCTCATTACTGGAACATACAAATTTGATAAGCATTCAAAGAAATGAAGTTCTGAATTGACACAACCCTTGTCAACCAACAAATATGCTGAAACTCATTAAGGCCCTATAATCATGATTCCAAAATTGGATTTATATGTATACAATTCAAGTTTTACAATTTAATGAAACCCAAAGGGACTTTGACAATATTCAAAGCGTTACAAAGTGGGAGTGATTAGAATTTGACTTACAATTGTTTCGGTTTGTCGTTATTTAGTAACCTTCGGTCATATGTAATTGGTTGGGGATTTCTGAAACTAAATGATGATGGTTGGCACTCATCTTCAAAATCATACACTGAGTTATTCTGATTATATATTGGTTTGATCTGACTCACTATAGCTTGGTTCTGTTCAGGAAGAGATTTTGGTCCATTGATTGTGTGCTTGGTTTGATGACTGTTAGGTTTGTTCTGATTGGAACTTGAACTGCTGATGGCTGCTGCAGTAGTGTTAACCATTAAATTTGATTGAAGTTTTGAACCATCTCTTATGTGCAGTTCTGTCATTTGACCACCTTTAGAAGGTTCATTTGTCTTTATGGTTGAACTTCTTAACGTTCTTGGTTTCTGCCACTCTTCACTCACTTCTGTTATTCCAAGTTCTCTTTCTATCATAGATTTTCTGGTGGCACAATTCTTTGTTGTGGTTTTGGCCTTTTTTCGACTGAATGTACCTTTCCTTTTCTTTCGTTTCTTTCCTTTCTTAGCTTGAGGTTTGTTTTCCACTGGTTTTATTAATTCTTCAATAGGTTTCTCTTCTTCTTCAGTTTCAACAAAATCTTCAAAAAGTTCAGCTTGTGATTCTTCATCTTCAGATGGTATATCATGAAGTGGCTCAGGATTGGAAGGTACAGCAACACTTCTAGTCAATGAAAAATTACCTACTTCCTTTCGCTGAGGAAGAACAGCAGCTATTGGTGAAGGATGAGATTTGGAGAAGAGGGTTCGAGAATTCAAGGGACCGTAAGATGAGAATGGGGAATGTTTTGTTGGAGGTAGAGTATAACCACTTGGTTTTGGATACTGTCTTGGTGGTGGGTTAATAGTCTTGGCTCTATCAAATGCAGAACTAGACGTTTGTTTAGATCCAGCTAAATATTTATTTAATGTCTGTAAACTTGGAACTACTTGTAAACTTGTTGATTTGTGAGTTTCTTCTTTTTCTTTGGCCAATCTTTGCTGTTTTAGCTCTTCTTCAATTCTAAGTATTTCTGATTGATGTTTCTGGTGTAAATCTTCAATTTGTTTCTTAACATCAGAATGATATTTACTGAAATGTTCTTCAAAATAAGGCAATGATAGTCGATAATCTGGTTCTTTCTGAGCTAAATCAACAGATTTTTCTTGAGTTTCAGTAAATTTATCCAGTAATCTATCTAACTGTTGCTCTTGAATGTCAATTTGTCTGTTAAATTGACTTTCTAAGAATATTTCTACACTTTGCCACTGACTTTTAAAAATTTCTTCAATTACTTCAGCCTGCAGATTGGTATTAGCACTGTTACCATTTCCAGTGCCTTTATTCCTGTTTTTCTCCATAACATTCACCAACTGTTTCTGCAGATTTCGAAACTGTCCCTCCTGAACATGATGAAGTTGAGCTATACATTGTTTCTGCCAATTTTCTTCACGGTATTTTAAATCCCGTTTCATAACATTCAATTCTTCTAATATTCTGAAATAAAGATAACAGATGAAATATTGCAGACATCCACTTGTCCATATTTTAATGAGCTCAAAGTAAGCTTCATTCTTAATAGTCAGCAAACTCCCAGTTAATCTAGAATTCCAAACTTTGAATTGAATTGTAAGATTTCATGGAACGGGATGAACCATAATTAGATGTTAATAATAATAGCAGTAATCCTAATTCTATTCTCCAATTTTTCTTTTCTGGCAGCACCATTGATCTGAATGTTGGTCAAAGTTTTTTCAGTATATTATCATCATAAGAATGTACTCTGTATTTGTGATCATGCCCAGCACTTATATAGAAATGTTCATCTATTCATTTACTTCTCATATTAGTAATATATAAGCTTAAATATTAATAAATTGAACTTTTAAGACAGAAAAAAATGTACCTAAATTCTGTGTCTTTGATATTTTTCTGTTGTTTTTGTCGAGATTCTATATTTAATTTTTTCTGAATTTCAGTTTGTTGTTTATATTCCATTATTTGTTGATTTGAAGTTTCTGTGTCTTCATTCATCCATTCTATAACTTGATCAACTTTCTTATCTAGAGCCAGGGTTGGTTCTTTTATTTCTTTCTTTAATGTTTTAATCATATTTTCATTGTTATTTTCTATTCTGTCCTCTAGTTGTTTCTCTAGTTGTGTTATTGTAGCATCTTTCTGTTATGATAATATCAAATTTCAATTTAAACAGTTTATCCTAGATATTCTTAACAAATTTGACCCTACCTGTTCCTCGGATGTGATCGGGATATGAGTTATCAGCACTATTAGGGCCAGAGATAAAAATGTCACTTTTTCTAAGGACAAAGATTCCTATGATATAATAGACTTACTGCTGCAATTTCTTTCTCTAACTGATTTAATCTTAACATTCTATTTTCCTTTTCTTTAACAGCTGCTAATATTCTATCTTGTTGCTGACATAGTTCAGATAGAACTGGAAAATAATAGTTATACACAAAAAAAGTATTTTCATTAATATTCTTATATAAAGAAATAAATTTCTAAATTTAATTAATTAAATCTAATTAAATGTCAATATTTATCCCTAATAGTTTATGATTAAAATAATAATACTCACAAGAAGAAATAGTATCTTGTATCTTATCACTGGAGAGATCATTAGTATGTTGTATCTTGTCTTTCATAGTGTTCACACTAGATTTTATCTAAAATTCAAAAATAATCAAATCAGACTATTTGAACTGTAAAGAAATTGGCAGCAGAAATAAAAGCATGATTGATTTAGAAATCATAGTAATTATTTTCGTATTTTGATAAACACAACCAATTATCTAAAACAAACCAATTGATAAAAAAGGAAAAAAAACACAAAGATGCTCATAGACCTGATTGCAAACAAATCATATCATTATTAAAAATAAATTAAACGTGAGAACGTCATTTTACTTTTCCCTACATACATTTTGTAACAGTCCGACCCGTTGTGAAATATACTAATATTTACCTCTTTAGTACAGTCTTGAACAACTGTGGCTACTTGTTGCAGCAAATCTCTGAAATTGAAATAATGTAGCAGGGTTATTTCCCTTGACACATGAAATTTTTGCAACAAGCCAGTTTTTAGCAATATCTAATGTCTAATCCAATAACTAAGCACAAATTTATTTCAGTAATAGTGTTCATTGCTCACTATAGAAATTTGAGAAAAAGGGAATGAAATCCCTAGTTGGAGATATTATTTGAACGAATTTTGCAATTTGTGTACATTTCTAGTACTTCTGAAGACTATTTACATTATATTCAGACTAAAATCAACCCTCCAAAATGGCGCACCTGTCCTTTCATTTAGATTAATATTTCAACCAACCTCTCATCTCTTTCTTTAGCTTTGTTCTTATTAAGTTGAAATTGTTGAGGGTTGAGATCAGGTTTAGAGGGAACTGAGTGGGGTTTAGAAGGGTATGAATTAGGTTTAGAGTCAGCAGGACCTTGAGGACCTTTATATAGAGATCCTGATGGTCCTTTACTCATCCATTTATCATACATAGATGGTCTTCTGTTAGGTAAGCTCATTGCTGGCATGGAGACCTGAAATGGTTACAAATACAAAGTGCTATTATTTATTTGTTTTATTTGTAATTTAGCCACTTCAGTTGGAGCCTTAAGACAGCCCTCTTAATACATTCATCTGTTTGATGACACTGCTAGCCAGTCACTTTTTGTTTGAATCACAAAATCCAAGAGTTTTTCTTGCAATGGACATTTAGGGTGATATTTTGATAAATCAAGATTCCAGAGCATAATGGAATATTAGTTTCAGAATCATGACCCTACTTACCTCTGATTGAGAACCACTGGAATATTGTTGTGTGAAAAGATCCTGAGAATTAATCTGAGAAAATTCATATTGAGAATTATTCATCTGAGAATTCATTTGTTGTGTTGATTCAAAAGCTGAGTCATGGCCATCTCGTCTAAAAAGTATCAGTACAAATTTTTAGACAAAAGAGGATCAAATTGAAGATGGAAATAACAAGGGAACCTGTAAGAAAATCATCTTCCCTTCGTATATTATACATATATTTCTGAAAAAAAATTTATGAATCTGAATACGAAGGGAACTTGAAAAATTTACTTACAAATAACTATCTGAGGATGTTAAATCTTTACCAGGTACCACATTTCTCATTAGATCATTTAATTTCCTAAACATCTGATTACCACTCAGCTGAGACATCTTGATGCAAGCTTATTCTTCTTCTCACTTCTAAAAATATATAATTGTTGTCTGGTAATTCTATAGAAGAGTTGATATTGTTCCCATTACCTTACTCATATGGTCTTCATAATGTGCTTTGGCAATAAAATCTGTATATCATAAATGGCTTAAAGGGATTGTAAAGAGGTTTTCTAAAAAAAATTATATGTATCTGGGACATCGATAGAATCAATTTGTACCATTCTAATTTTCTGTGTCTGTGGTTCCTGTGATTCCACAAAATAATAAATGTTTGATGAAGTCACTTGCTTGTTTGGTATCACATAAGCCAAGGTCCTTCACTATCATTAAGTGACCTCATCAAATACCTGAACTTGGCATATCTGCATTAGGCTAATAATAGCAGTGGAAAGTGGAAACACTGCAAACCAAGCAGAAGCCTGTGAGATATGCCGGAACAGACAAGTCACAAGCCACAGGGACAAGGCGGCACACATTCTGATCTAGGCTACACAGCTTATTTATAGCTCAGTAAAGTCAGTCAAGGCATTAACATGCCAGTTTTATTTCTGAAGTCGTGAAGAAGAAAGAAGTTCTGTCAGGTCTCTGACTCTGCTCGGGAGCCTCTGCTGGCTGGTGTAGTCCGGTTACTCTTACTGCCATTGGTGACTGATTCTGAATTCTGAATGGCCAAATTGGCTAGAAATGCTAGAATTAGACATAGAAGTCATACAAATGCAACACCTGGGATAAAAAGGTAAAATATGGTGAATATGAACTTGTTTGCATAGAATCTATGCTTCTCTCATCTGAAGAATTATATTTCCATTGATGTTTTCATCTTTACTTCCATCAGTTTGTTAGCTTTACGTTTCGGTTTTTAGCAGACGATATTTTGGGGATGCCGGAAATTACGTCTATAATCATGTGACTGCTGAGATGTGATTTGAGATTCTCGAGTTGATTGGTTAGATCATTCTATTTTTAGTACGTAGCCACGTGAGTGCTTCACCATAATATCTGACTAGCTACCAATCAACAAATTAGTTTTTTGTTTATCACCCAATTTCTACAGGTGTCTTAGTTACCTGAGCCGACAGGTTTTCATCTTCCTGTAAAGTTTCAACACTTTCAACATCTAAAGTACGCAAGGATAAGTGTTAATATTTCAAAATGCAAGGCCAACTTTGCTTAATTTGACGGGAGTTCCGTTTATCGCCATGGTAATTATGACAACAATGGAGTGAATTTACTGTTAGTTTTCTGTTAGGCCACTTCAAGGATCATTGACTATCTAATTGCTTATTGATTATTGTTAAAAACCGATCATTTCACTGGTGAAGAGGAGAATGCCGAGCCAAATAGTTGGAAGTTGGGTAAGATTTTATATCATTATAATCACATATTAAAGTTTGTATCACAATATTTGTATGATTGAAAATGGAAATATTGATAGCCTAGCTACATAATGTTACTGTTAGGCTTAGCTACCTAGGCAATGAAGAATATGGTACTCAGTGGTACCCTAGGAAGTAGGCTGTGATACATGTATTCTTCATTGTCTTTAAAAAATTTGGTTGTGTAACAAAAAACTTTCGTCTCTCTTTTTACCAGTACTTCTTTTTCAGTCAAGCTTTTCAGTAACCTACAATTACAAACATCTCTGAGATAGAAGAAACAATCCTTTATTTTTAGCTCTATATAGTAGTGACCATGATCAGATTGACTTAATTGTTTATTTAATTTAATGCTAATTAGCATCGAAACTAGATGATTTGAAATAAATTATTTATGATACACATGATGAAGATCTACTTCAAGATCTACGTACCCATTATTTATTTTCTTTCAGTTTCCATCAGGCTACCATGGACATTTCCGAAATAAATCAAGAAATGATTTTGTGTGTGAATATAGAATTTTGGCCAAACCTCAACCTCCAGAAAAATTCCTGAGGAGATCAATGGTAGGATTCTTAATTCAAATGTTTTTAATCATTTGACCTCTGTTAAAAATATCATTTTAAGAGGCCAAAAAGAATATAACAACGTTTTATATAACAGTGCTTTTTCCCTGCTGGCTATGGTTTATAGTACCAGTACCCAGTTATTGAGAAATTTGAGGATAATGTACAAATGTAGAACCTGTGGCGTTATGTTATGTTACGTTAGTTTCGACCATGGAATTTTATGATGAAAGTTAAAAGAAGTATATAGGCCTATTCAGTCTTCAGCTTTTAGAATTACATAACATAAGCTTACAGCATGAGAACGCAGGCTAAAATTAGTCAGTTGTCTGAAGATCGCAAAGCTTGATACTCTGACCTAAAAGTTCTGTTTTAATATTGCTAACATACACCATGATATAGATTATAAAGGAGTTACCTATATAATATAGATAACAAGTTGTCTTTGATATATCGACAGGCTCTCTTCATAACATTTACTCTACATTTCAATAGCCCATAAAACTCAATTCAAACCTATGTTTAGAATTGTCTAGAAGAATACAGTTATGAACTGGGGTCTATGTATTGAAGTTTATGTCTTTTATAAAGTGACTTTATCAAAGGACATGAAAATATTACTTACAAGGACTGTTTTTTAAGTGTTTCTCAATAGGGTAAAGAATCCAATGAAGTTTTAATTTTCTTTGACCTGGCAAACACCCAAAATATAATTGTTATAAAAAAAAAGAATTAAAAGTATGTTTGTATATTTTGACAACGTTTAATGTGTATTTTGAAAGGTGAAAGGTTATTGTGTGGTCTTATTTATTCCCATATAGGTAGGCCTATAAATTTTAAAAGTGCAATGATTAACAATCATTGATAAGCATTTTCTCAAAATATTGCTATCGTATTTTGGAAATTAGCTCCTCTGAGCTCATCAAATCATCAATTGTCCCAAGTTAATATAAGCTCCTAAAACCTAGAATTCTTTAATATACACATAGAGATTTATATTACAAGAAATACTATTGAATATAAAGTTAGAAAATTTGGTAAAATATATTTGTGGGTATTTGAAAAATCCCTATGACCTTTCCTTTAATCTCACGATGTAATCCTAATCCTGTGTGTCACGGGTATTAATCAAGCAAGATTAAATGATTATCTATAATCCTTTTATGTCAGATAGACCCTTTAATTAGAGGGAGAGAAATGATATATAATAATTTTAATAGATTTTAAGAATTTGTTAGAAAAAAAACTCAATAATGATATATTCAAATTGTAAATAAATATTATAATTTTGACATCATAACCTAATAGCTAACATTATGACAATATTATTGTTCACCTTTATTGAGAGTTGATTTTGGTCTTGATATGTAAATAGTCTTCAGAAGTACTAGAAATGTACAAAAATCACATAATTCATTCAAAAATATCTCAAATTTCACTTGCAACTCAAGAAAAGTCAAGTCATCAATCAGATAATACTGGACACACATGGAATTGACTGTGAGCTGTGAACACTATTACTGATTAGCTAAAATTCCTGTTTCTGAGACTTAAATATCATTGGTAAAATGGATGGCAAACATGCCCCTCTTTAAAGAGATTCAGAAGAGGTATTCTATCCTCTATATATGTAACAGGGTGATCTTTAGCTTTTGATAGATTAATTCTGATTCGTGTCTGATGTGTGTGCTTCAAGAAAAACATTACTAGATTATAATATCACTATGGTAAAAGGAAACTAAATGTGAATCCCTTTAAACTACCTAAGCCTATTGTTTGTTATCTTATCAAAAAAACATTTCACAAGTTGAAAAGATCAGCTGGATAGATTTGATTACTCTAGATCAATAAATCAATTGTATATAGGGTAATTTTAGATCAATTTATTCCCTTACTTTCTATTATTCAAGCTTATTCTTATTCAGTGTGGTTTACTATTGGTTTTCAATAAAATTTGATTGGTAAACTGATTATACTTAAAGGGACATTCTGATTTTTTTTGTAGGTTGAACAATTTTTTGGCTCAAATTTGCGAAAACTATACACGAAGATCTTGAGAAATGTGTCCCTAAGGTATCTGAAAGTCGTACCTAAAAAAATCCAGCCGTTAATATTTCAACACCAAAAATATTTAAAAAGTTTATGTAAACTTTTGAAGATCGTTATGCTTTTTGGAAACTATAAGTAAACTCCTGTTTGGATTTATGTAAAATGAAAGCCTAATTGTAGAGAAATATGTCTCATACGTTTTCTAAAAGTTTCAACTAATAATATCGAGCCATTATAAAGCCAAACACCAAAACTAGGTCAAACTGCTTAATTACTAATTAATAACTCTCAGTTTTTTTTTGATAAGGAAATTGTTTTACAAAAAATCGGAATGCCCCTTTAACATAGATACTTAAGCTGGGACCTGGAATAAAAAGGCCTTTGATGTGAAATTACTCAGAGCAAAACACATTGTCTCTTCAACACATCCAACACTTAGTGTACACATGTACATATTTCAACCATGTTTCACTTCAGTAGGTATTCATGTTATTTTGAAATGGCAAAACAACACACTTCTACATAAATTTTTTTTTTGGAAAAATGAACACACACATACTTGTGAATACTATATAACTATGAACATGGTTGAATTCAACATCTCATTTGAGGCTACTGGTTTAAAGTGAACCAGGATCCCATCTATTTACTGATAAGGGTTTGTGGTCAAACAATGATGAGAAAAACATGGAATGACAACTAGATGTGCATTTTAGTCAGATTATTATTGATTTACAATTTTTTTTTTGTTATTTTGGTAAATGGATTTTTTTTGTAATATTTTGTAGGTACCAAGAAGTAATAATGTGTTCTCCCACCATGATAACAGACATTCCTTTATGAATGATGCTATGATATTTGAACAGGTAAATATAGATGACTATAGATGTCGAGGTCACCAAAATTTCAATGATTTATTTGATCATTCTTTATGAGCTCTTGAGAAAGTATTCACCTGAAGAATTATGGTCAAAATCTTTGCATGTTCTTTTCCAGTTCTATACAAAGAAGTTCTAATAAGTTTCTGAACACTTCTATCTTTACACATTGTCCTGTTTTGCAACTTGGCTTTTTGAAAGAACATGTTTCTTGGCTATTAATGCTGTAGATACACGTACTTGAAATTAGAAAAACAAACTTTAATAGGTATTGATTGTTAGTTATTAAGACATTCCATCACAATTCTTTCTATTTTATCAAATCAGACATCTGTAAGTAAATACATGTTTGTAGAGAACAGCTTTTTTTTTTTTTTTTTTATCAAGCACAGCATATTTGTACAAATGTTTCACAGATTCCTATTTATATATATATATTGCACATTTTCATGTTTAGCTTACAATGGTTGTTGTATGTATATGGCCTACAGTTATATATGTTACACAGCTTGTGATAATGTTGTTGGATTATTCAAAGAATTATTGCTGCATTTCTGAGGAGTGTGAATATAATACACTACAATCCTTACCTTCTGAAATCCTGAAAAAATCTCTGTCACTGTAAATATTAAATATGAAGGCTGCCCTGTCCAGACGAAAAAAAATTAAGCACTTGGCATAACAAAGACAGTTAACATTGAGTAAGCTTATTCAAATTTGAAAAAGAAATGTAGATAATAAGTACTGTAGTGACATAAGACATTGCATTTAGTTGTAACAGATATTTGCACCTAAGGCAGGCTTATGCTGATTTAAAACAATAGGAAACTTGAAATTATTTAACAAGATATGTTGCTATGCCCTGATAAACTAAATATTTATAGGCCTAACCATTTGCCACTTGAGATATCATTAAGGTAATAAAAACAGACGGCTTGGCCTGTGGGTCTGTTAGGTATTTATGATGTCAAACTACTAACAGTCTGTTAGGTATTTATGATGTCAAACTACTAACAGTCTGTTAGGTATTTATGATGTCAAACTACTAACAGTCTGTTAGGTTTTTTCTGATGTCAAACTACTAACAGTCTGTTAGGTATTTATGATGTCAAACTACTAACAGTCTGTTGGGTATTTATGATGTCAAACTACTAACAGTCTGTTAGGTATTTATGATGTCAAACTACTAACAGTCTGTTGGGTATTTATGATGTCAAACTACTAACAGTCTGTTAGGTATTTATGATGTCAAACTACTAACAGTCTGTTAGGTATTTATGATGTCAAACTACTAACAAGTAATATGAGTTGAATAAAATATCCAGATTATTATTGTGACAGCTGACAAAGAGGACAGACTTGAGCACATTTGTTTAAAGCGTTGGACTCTGACATCATTTGCTTAATCATTACCTGGATTGGATGAATGGGGGTTGTTGGCTCTAATCTTGGTCATCATGTGTCTGGTGAACATGAATAAGTTATCCTAAATTCTCCAGTCGACCCAGCTGTAAATCTGGGAAAGACCAATGCCAGACAGTATGGCAAAGGACCAGCTGGTAGCCAGAACCTAAGTTTTCCTTGTAATTAATACCAATGCTCAACAAAGTTTCATCAAAATCCATTTAAAATTGTATGTTGTATTGTGCTCAAAACACATTTTGACATGATTTAAACAAGTTAAACTTGACTGAGATCTTATTCATTCGCTTGCTCACACCAAGTTTCATCAAAATCCGATGAAAACTTTAGTCTCTATTGTGCCACAAGTCTGGGCCGAACGGACATATAAAAAACAAATGCAGAAATGATTTGAAATATGATATGAGATCGAATATATGTAAGAAGATTAGTGTATGGTTAGGGTTTAATGTCTAATGACTGACAAGATTGATAATAATCTTGATGGAGTTATAATAGACCTAGGTAATATCACAATATAACACTATAATATACTTCAGACTATTTAAAAACAGTTGATTTATATTCTCCAAGCAACATATTGTTTTTTGTAAGAATCCCTAGAAGAAAAGCCTTGTTAAGCACACAAGGGCTCTGAACTGAAAAAGGATTGTAAAGAGGTTACCTAAATTTTATGTGTATCGGGGATACTGATAGTAGGCCCTGTTGATTGGTACCATTCCATTTTTTAGTGAGATGTCTGTGATTCTTGCATTTTCACAGAATATAAGCATTTTTAGACATATCTATTGCAAAGGCCCTTAAATATTATTATCAGCTTTTGTGATAGTGATGTCAAAAGTATTAAGCCTCTAACATAATTGGCATCGTTCTAGTCCAGGAAAATATTCAACATAGTAAATTTTCTTGACATAATAACTTATAAATAATAGTAACGAGCACTATTTTAGGTAGAATGAATGTATGGTATGGACATTTTTCAAATTTTCTGAACTTTATCTTGACATCTTTACTTTATTTACAAGTAGTCGAAGAAATGCAAGAAGCATGCCAACAGAGCATGAGTAGGCTTGTTATACTCTAGATTTATCATTGATAACAGAGATCAAATTTATACTCTATATGAATAGTGCATCAACAATCTAGATAAATTCTCAAGATAACAGTGGAAATGGGCTGTATTTAAGAATGATAAGAGAAACTGTATCTGTCTATTTCACCATGCCTGTTATTATTGTATTAGTTATTGTAGTGGTGTTTACGTGTTTTCTTTACCTCTACAATATTAAACAGATCTCTAGATGGTCTGCTCACGAGCTACACAGAAGAGGATTTGACAATTATTCCACCTAACTGTGTAGTTGTTGAGTTTTTTAGACAGCAGGTTCTCTTTTAAAACCTTTATAAACACCACAATCCCTCTTACCTTTTTACAACCTTTAAACCCCTTTAAATCTTAAGTATATAACACAAACCCTTCTAACCCTTTTTTCCAGTGAAAACAATTCCATCTGAAACCCATGATTAGACAACACAAATTCCTTTAAATTATTTATTACACAACACAGATCATATTAAACATTATTAGAGAACACAGCCCCTTTTTAAACATTTATTAGAGAACACAGCCCCTTTTTAAACATTATTAGAGAACACAGCCCCTTTTTAAACATTATTAGAAAACACAGCCCCTTTTTAAACATTATTAGAAAACACAGCCCCTTTTTAAACATTTATTAGAGAACACAGCCCCTTTTTAAACATTATTAGAGAACACAGCCCCTTTTTAAACATTATTAGAGAACACAGCCCCTTTTAAAACATTATTAGAGAACACAGCCCCTTTTAAAACAGCCCCTTTTTAAACATTTATTAGAGAACACAGCCCCTTGTAAAACAGCCCCTTTTTAAACATTATTAGAGAACACAGCCCCTTTTTAAACATTTATTAGAGAACACAGCCCCTTTTTAAACATTATTAGAAAACACAGCCCCTTTTTAAACATTATTAGAGAACACAGCCCCTTTTAAAACAGCCCCTTTTTAAACATTTATTAGAGAACACAGCCCCTTTTAAAACAGCCCCTTTTTAAACATTTATTAGAGAACACAGCCCCTTTTAAAACAGCCCCTTTTTAAACATTATTAGAGAACACAGCCCCTTTTTAAACATTATTAGAGAACACAGCCCCTTTTAAAACAGCCCCTTTTTAAACATTTATTAGAGAACACAGCCCCTTTTTAAACGTTTTTTAGAGCACACAGTCCTTTTTTAAACATTATTAGAGAACACAGCCCCTTTTAAAACAGCCCCTTTTTAAACATTATTAGAGAACACAGTCCCTTTTTAAACATTTATTAGAGAACACAGCCCCTTTTTAAACATTATTAGAGAACACAGCCCCTTTTTAAACATTATTAGATAACACAGCCCCTTTTTAAACATTATTAGAAAACACAGCCCCTTTTTCAACAGTCCCTTTTTAAACATTTATTAGAGAACACAGTCCCTTTTTAAACATTTATTAGAGAGCACAGCCCCTTTTTAAACATTTATTAGAGAACACAGTCCCTTTTTAAACAGACCCTTTTTAAACATTATTAGATATTATAATTCCTTTTAAAACCTTTATTATATATTATAATTCCTTTTAAAACCTTTAGTAGACATTATATTAGACATTATAATTCCTTTTAAAACCTTTATTAGACATTATATTAGACATTATAATTCCTTTTAAAACCTTTATTAGACATTATATTAGACATTATAATTCATTTTAAAACCTTTATTAGATATTATAATTCCTTTTAAAACCTTTATTAGACATTATATTAAACATTATAATTCCTTTTAAAACCTTTATTAGATATTATAATTCCTTTTAAAACCTTTATTAGACAACACATCCCTTTTTAAATAAACCCTTATAAGACATAAAGAATTTCTTTTAAAACCTTTATTCGACAACACAATTCATTCTAAAAACAACAATATCACTTTTTTACACCAAAATTCCCTTTTAAAACCCTCATTAAACAACAAAACACCATTTAAAAACCGTTATCTAAATTCACTTGTTGGATCACTTTTTCTGGTAGGCTATTACTAATGCAGTATTATGTTTCCCCCAATAAAAATTATTCCCAGTGCCCAATATCTAAGTTTGTCTGTCTTCATAAGCCCAATTAGTTTTCAATTTCATTTCATTTCCTGTACCTTATAACTAATTGACTTTGTATATTTTCAGGGTTTGGGAAGAAAACGTATTAAGAATTCAACCTATGCCTTTAAAGAAAATTTTATAACATGGATGCCAGAAAAACAATATGTTGAAAGAATGAGGCCATTGTTGTCAACATACACGAATGATTTTGAACATGTTTATAATCCAGTCTACAAGCAACAACAAATAGTGGATCGGCCAAAAACATCATTTGATGGAACACCAACCACAACATATCGTTATAGTCACTGTAATGGCTCACCCAATCAAAACACGATCAATGCTATGAATAACGAGGCTTTAAAATTATCAACATACACCCGAACTAGGGAACGTGTTAAATCAGCACCAAGAGTTCGGGAAACAGTGGCCAGTTGTTTAAGTTGGTACCGACCAAAACCTCCGTCATCACTAAAACCACAAATAAACTCTAATGAGACAGATGTTCCCAATGATGTACCATCACTTAATTTACCTTCACCTGAGCAATCTCCTGTCAGTGAAACACAGGTTGTTGCTTCTTCTGAGTAACCTCCCTTTCACTACATTCCTTCCTCTTCATTTGTAAATAATGTCAAATTCTGTAAAAATTGTTAAAGTTCTTGTTAAATATCCAATGAATGATTAGGTTTATGATAAGATAGGTGTTAATCATTGAATTGATTCTTTTTATTGCAAATTACTGGCAGACATTTTGATTTTTGTTGTTATAGTGATATCTTTTGTTTTAATCGTATGAAAAAAGCAAATGATTGTTCTAGATGCTCTGAGGCTTGTTGACCCAGATAGTTCAAAGCGATGATGATCTAGATTATTTTCAAGCTCATTGTAGAGAGTTCCAAGAGTTGTTGCAAATAGGTCTGAGGGATGTTGACACAGATAGTTTTTTTGACCTCTTGATCTAGATGCAGATAGTTCTGAGGCTTTGACACAGAAAGTCCAAAGAATTATTGGCCAGATAGATCACCGGATTTTGATCTAGATATTATACAGGCTTATTGTGTTTACATTGTTTACAGGCTTATTGTAGAGAATTCAAAGGCTTGTTGTATATAGGTCAAGAGTGTTTACATTGTTTACAGGCTTATTGTAGAGAATTCAAAAGCTTGTTGTTTATAGGTCAAGAGTGTTTACATTGTTTACAGGCTTATTGTAGAGAATTCAAAAGCTTGTTGTTTATAAGTCAAGAGTGTTTACATTGTTTACAGGCTTATTGTAGAGAAACAGAGGCTTGTTTACTCAAATAGTTTTTTGACCTCTTGATATAGATGCAGATAGTTCTGAGGCTTTTTGATACAGATAGTCCAAAAGGTTTTTTGGCCAGAAAATTCAAATTTGATCTAGATTGTTTACAGGCTTATTGCAGAGAGTTAAAATGGATGTTGCCGACAAGCCAGGTTTACCTATTCAGTTTTTGAGACTTTTGACCCAGGTTGTTAAGAGGTTTGTTGACTGAAAAAGTCGAGACTTATGGAATTATGATGATGTTAGATTAGTATACTGCCAACATCTGTGATATTTTTAATGTTTTATGTTATATATTTTATCAGTGCTTCGTAATTGTTTGTACATCTATCACTAAATATGTTTTCTTTATACTGTAGCATTAAGGAGTCTTCATGTGAAATTTTTAAAATAAGAAATGGCCTGCTGACATTAATGATTGAAATCAATCAGTATTGAAAGTGCTAATGGTTCATTCTGTTACATATATATATAATAAATCAATCTACAAGTAATTAAAATTAGACAAAACTTTGGTTCAGGTTTTTATTAGCTATTATTTTTAATCTGACCTCTTCAGTTTAAGTCTTAAGACGGGTCTCGTGAACATTTGTCTGTTTGATGACACTGCCAGCCAATCAAATTTCTGCCCTCTGCAACGCTGTGCTTAAGCAAAATAAAAGCTGATAAAATAACGGAATGAAAGTTCAGTCTAACTTCAAATAGACTGATCACAATATTAAATGTCTGCTTGTAAATATTTACTTTTTCAATTAAATTCAGCATTTTTACCACATAGCATTATGTGTTGCAACTACTTATAAACAATTGGTTTTTAAATTAGTACCCTTAGTTGTAACTTTTTAAATTTTAGTGTCATTTTCGTTAAAGAGCAATACAAAATGGGGTATGTATACATGAAATTCTGGGGTATATATGTATAATATTATTATCACAAAAAAGATACAAATTATGTATGCTGAAGCATTGTTTAATTTCATTTGATCAGCATTATTGTGTTCCAACTTTTATATAACATGATATATAGAGGCCAGAGAATCAGTCTATTATAAAACATTTTAACGTCTTCTCTTTGACTCTTTTAAAGAATATGTGAATCGATTCACATAAGCATACTTTTTACTCTAATAAATCGTCGTCAATATCAGCAGACACATGAGCAAATTTTTTGATAGATTTTAAAATTTGTCTCAATTAGCTGATGAATTAAGCTCATCTGCCCCCAGCATAAAGAATAACAGAAAACTAGCATGCTCAGAAAATTGATATGACATCATGTGATCTATGAATCAGTCTCTATGTACCCTACTGGTATCTTCACAAATCAGGCAGTTCAACAGACGCGATATATGAATATGAGATATTTATGGGTTGGGCCAGCCATGTTATGTCACTTCTTATGTAAGTTTGATCTGATCCAGTTTTGGGTCACTAATTTTTGCCAATTTTCACCATGACAAAATCCACATTTGTCATAACTTTTGTCTCTGTAGAAAGCTGAGTCTATCAAGACAAAGCAGCAATTGATTGATTGGACATTGATTCAGCCTAATCAGAGTACAGGTTATTTTAGTAATGTTGTCACAATAACACCAATAAAATATTTCTATAACCGGCGTTTCTACTTTCTGATATTTTAACAGAATTACTCTGACTTTGAAAGTTTTTACTTCAACATCTGAAGGAACTAGAATTTGGACAACTATAAAGCTACTAAATTGAGTTCTTTCAGTTGGTAAAATAAATATTTAGAGGACTTTATTCCTCTTAGTCATTGATCCCTAACCTTATCTACACTGTACCCCTATCCTGTGTTTACCTGTCCATTGTGCTCAAATTGAAAAGGGAGAACACTTGTACCCTTTAGATGTGCATTGTGCTGGCACCTGGTGTAGGAACCTGGCCATATATTCTAAAAAAGATCTCAGCGATTAGACATCCTAGAAACAGTGTTAGAATTGAAGACCCTTGGACACCCTAGCGCTAAGATCATTTCAAGAATATATGGTCAGAGCTCTTCCAAGCATGCAGATTAAAAAGAGGTGATCTGAATAACAAAATCCAAAAGAATTTGATACTAATGTTAACTAATGTTGAATATTTACATCAATATTATGAGGTTTATTTACACAAAACACACAGTAACTACTACTCTTCTATAAACTATCTCTATCTTTTGGTGGGTTGACTTTACGATACTTCTTACCTGGTCTAAAATAATATAATAAAAGTTATGTTTTAGCAATAACTCCATTTTCCAATAATTGTCCATTGACAGTGGTATAGATAAAAGAGATTAACAAAAGTCTTGCTATTTGAATTGTAAACAAAAAATTACGCTGTGTACTGGTATTATATACTTTGCACCCTTAAAAAAACATTTAAAAATGCAATGAAATCGCCATTAAACACCATCACATTTTCAATCAACAAAGAATTTGAGACACTTACTTAGGGAAAAACCTATGTTTAGTCTCATATAAAATATTGGCCAATTCTACATCATTAGGTCCTTCAGGTCGTTTGTTGATCATCTGAGCATCTCTGACATACTGAATCTTTAATACTGTTTCTCCCTGAAACACAGATAGGAACAAAGTTGTTCAATGTGCAATAATATTGGGTTCCTTAAAAAATGACAACCTTTTTCATTTCAATATTATTCAAAAAGAGATATGAATAATCCTAAATTGAAAAATGTTCTTGTTTTTCTAAATAAAAAATGAAGACATAATAATTAAAATTTATCAATATAAATAAGTGCCAAGACAAGAATACCTCAATGAACCTTGACAATATTTTAGCATAGATGAGAATACATTGTGATAGCAAGATCTTTGAATAGGGCAACAATAAACCTCTTCAAGATGATGTATGTTCAAGATAATAATTCTATGTTGTTGATTTTTCATTAAGAACTTGTATCTTTACCTGTGCTAATTCAATCGGATTTCTCGGGACTGGCTACAAAATAAACAAAAACTTTAATTGAAGATTTGATTATATGTACACTTCCATTAATTTACTGCATTCATTACAACAACTTATCAACTGGAGTCATCTTTTCTCTAAAGCTATCATTGTGGCTAAAACTTATGCTGACACAATATGTCTGTGAATCAATACATAGCAATACAGTATGTAAAACTTTACACTATCTAATTTTATGAATATAATTTGTTAATACTAACCCGTGTATGTTCATAAGGAAATTCTTGTTCAGGATGCCAACATAAAATGGCACTTTTATCAGGTGACAAACAGGAATGAGTCACTGGCCTGAAATTTAATACTCAAAATGATAATTATATCCTTAATTGAAGTTACCCTGGTTACATAGACTGTTAACACCAAATTAAGCAAAAACAAATATCTTAACTTTAGGGCTAGTGATTCTGATGTACTTATTTACATAACCTTCTGCTTAGCTCAAATGTTCAACCATCACAGTCATGTTCGGATAGGAAATTGTTTTAAAGTGTACCTGCTTGTTTTATCAACTTACTTTTTCTTACTTTTGGAAGAACTATCATCTGAATAATTAGTTAACGATGAATTTGATGATAAAACAGAACCTGAAATGAATAAAAAAATAGAAGTCAGATCTAGACTATTTACAAAAAGATTAAAGCCAATGAAAGTTTTACAGTGTAACCTATTTTCGTGCATATAAGGATTCAACACCGAATTTCGTCAAAATAAAAAAATGCTATTTTTTTTTTACATCTTAAAAGTTTCCTCAGATATTCTACAAAATAGTTAAAATTAGTTTGTTTCGATTTTATTTATGAATCTCTCATTTTGACCCATATTTCATGAGTAACCAACTCGACGACGGCGGCAAAATGCGTCATCTATTTACGTGTACAATGTATGGATACCAGGTGGTATAATTAACTTCTCTTAGTATTTATCTTTCATATCAATTTATTATAAGCAGTGACAATTCCTTCAAAGAACCACGATTTAAAAAAATAGTGACTGACAAATTAAGAGAGGAAGATAGGCCATTTGGTACTTGTCAAAGTATACATTAATATATTTTACCTTGCTTGAAAGTACTGGATTCATTCTACTAACTGACATTGTACAAATAACCCATGTTTATCGCACATGTACATTATTAATCATTTCCGGAGATGCATGAAAAATAGGTTAGCACGAAATTAGATTACTTTACTGTACAAGCTTTATTTGGTCACATAATAAGGATACCCCCTAGGCCTAGTAGTTTTTGAGAATTTGGGAAAGCTTTGACTATATAATTCATTGAAGTGAAATAATGAAATGTGGATATGCTGTAAAACTTTAACTTTAATATTTACATACGTACATTGCGAATCATTACCTTTGCTCAAATTCAACCGTGAAAGGACACAAAATGATCTTCTGATGGGCGCAGCCATTTTGTCGACCTTGACCTGACTAAAATAGTCGAGATCAAAGAGACCTGTTGAAAGAAACCGAATTTCTGAAGACTGGATAACGTAAAAAAAAAACTCGACCCTCAATCATCATCATCATCATCTTCTAATCATCTAGAGATAGGACAAAAAAGCGTCAGGTTTTATATTAGAAGCAATGTCAACTATGAAGGTAAGTGATTCTTGCTCGATCAACCTGTTTTTGACTCTATATTGTTCAAAAGATTTTGGTTATTTTGTTTCATTTTGAGACAGAGGAAGAGAAAGATAGCCTAGCTTGTAAGTTGTAAGCTTGCACTCTTTATTGACTTACTGTCTAATGCCCTTGCTTGCAGTTTACACTGAGCTGAAGAAGGTAGTAACAGTTAATTTGAAATTAGCACACAAGTACTTAGTTAGTTTGAATTATTGAAGATCTTTAAGATGTTATAGAGCCCAAAGCATAAAAAAGCCACACCAGCCAACAATTGTTCAATACCTACTACTACTACTACTATAACTCATTATTTATAAGACAAACAATGTGCACTCCTAAGTCCTAAGTAAACTTTATACGTAATTTTTATGTTGTTTAACTCATACCTACCATTGAAGGCGAAAACTAAGAAAAAAATAAAGGCGGTCAAGTAGCTATCAAGCTAATTATTAGACCGATATACAGTAAGATACAGTAAGAATACAAGTTGATTTTGACGAATCATCATCCTTCTCCATGGAGTTGTCCTGTCTTTATTAGCATTAGCCAAGTTTAATCCATGTGCAGAAAAGTAGGATTTGAAATAATATTTTAGTATTTATCATGCCAGGTAGAAGAGATTGTTGGAGTTTATCGAGATTTAGCTTCAATTAGTTTACCAACCTCTGCACAAGTTCGATCTGTTGATGACCAGTTTCTTGCTGTAACAACACAATGGAGTCAGCGAGATCTAGAAAAGTCAGAGAAAACAAATTTTACTGTGAATTATATTTTGAATGCCCAGGATTATTCTGTTCTGATCAAAACACCAAGTCAAGAAGTAAAAAATGAGTAAGTAAATAATACATAGGTCATTTTTTTTTTTTATTTTAAAGTGTTAGTTTATAAGCTTATTGCTACTCTTTTAAAAGATTAATTTTTTTTTCCATGTTAATTCCTTTAAATATTTTTTGCCTCTGGTTAAAGGAACAATTTGTTTTTTTAAATAGGTTGGAAAAGTTGGTGCTCAAATTAACAAAAAAACTAGACTTTTAGGTTGCATTTTTTATTTATATTTTATTTTAAAGATCACATTATTACTAAATATTAGCCTTACTAACATAACATAACTGTTGCCCTCCCTTAACTTTACAGTAGAACACCAAAATCTAGAGAAATATTGCCCTTAAATTATTTATAAGTTTTAACTAAAAATATCTTACTGTTAATTATTAAAAAGCCATAATGGTTTATGTAAACATTGTCTTTAATTAGCACCTTTAGTTAAACTAATAGTAGCATTATGTAGACCAATTTACATAAAATAATCTGCATTCAGGAAAATGTTGGAACTGTAGAAAAGGTTTGCAAATATGTTTTTGCTATGAAAATACCTTGAAAGGTTATAGATAGATTAAGGTTGAGCTGACGATATTTGTGTTACAGAATCTGGAAAAAAGAATCCCCTTCAGGAAAATATCATGCTGTTGTTACATCCTGGAAAAATAAAAAAGGAGAGGAGAAACAATTTATTGAGGTAATTTTTAAGTTCATTATAGGCTACAGATTATTATACTTTTTATTTTATTTTGAGGGTTCTTCTAGTAAGCAATAAGAACAGGTGTTGAAAATCTCTGAGGCAATGTCCGTATTTAAGAAATTATTGGGTTGGAATTTTGCAAACTCAGCATTCATTTCGATTTCCTTTTGGTTTATTTTTATAACTTGTATCTTTTCTCCCTTTGTAGATTTGGAATAGCCAAGGGAAGATAAAAAATTACGATGTTTGTTCACAAGAGAAACATGGCAAAGTAAACAACAAAGATGGTAGGAAGCAATTTGTTATCAGAATATAAAGACTGAATGTTATTCACTGATTTCTATTCTATATTTCAAACAAATCAACTTAATATCTGGAGAAGTGCTTTCAATAACTTTGGCTGGAAATTCAAATTTTAAACTTTAGTCCAACTGATTTCCAAATTTTCTTCCTAATATTCAAGACATATTAATACTGTACATAATTAATACAGTGAACAGTAATAGTATGATATGCATTCGTATCTACGACAGTCATTCTGGCTACGCCTGACAATAATCTTGTATGTAGCTGGCAGATAAATTGGACTACTTTTGTCTCCATTGTTGACATCTGACTAGTCTCTGACACCTAGACTTCTCTTGTCTACGAGGATAGAGTCTTCAAGGGAGATAACAAATATCTAACAGACTATATTTTGAAACACAGAGATAACATCCCGCTTAACAATTAAAGAAGATTTTCTTCCACCTGTATACAAGGTAATTGTCAGACAATGGCTGCCGTAGATACAAATGAATAATATGGTGTCATTTGGATATGACAATCATGCAACATGCTGTACACCAGAATTAGAAATGATAAAAGACTAATGCTGCTGTCCTGACACCTCACTGCATGTTGTCTTCAATTGTCCAATTAAGAGGAGAAACTTATTTCACTAAATTTAATTGGTAGATACTTTTGGTTGTTTGCAATGGTCTAATAATGAAGAGAAGCTTCTATATACATCTGAAAGAAAACTTCCTAAAACTAAAAGTTTTTTTGGAACTACAAATGGAAATGATGACAAAAAGGAAGAAAAGGACATTGTTTTGGTAAAGGTTGATTTTGTAATTTTTTTTGTCAATATTTCTATTATAAAAACTCTTGAAATTTCCAATTTCTGAAATGAACTGAAAGACAAGATACTGAAGAACTTTGTTTTGTTATCTTTTATGGTTTTATGGTATTTTATGGTTGTTGTTTCTTCATAGTCTAAAATTGATACTGGTTATTTTTTAGGGTAAGGAACATTATACAGTAGAAGATTGGGGTGAACAGTTAGTAAAGAAATCATGTTCTGTAATATGTATACTAGATATTAAGTCAGGAACAATAGAAGTATTAGATACACCTGCTGATCTCTCTTGTGGACAGGTAGGTTTTCACAGGTTTATTTTTAAATATTGATAGCCATGTTGTTCTTAATTTCATAGCAGTGCTGTCGATTTTAGGGCACTGATAGCATCAATTTGCACCATTGCAATTTTCAGTTAGACATTTGTGGTTCTTCAATTGAAATAAAACTAAACATTTTATGAAGTAGGTTTAAAGAATCTGCTAGTAATATGATCTAAGTTTCAGGGGAATTGAAGGAAAGCATAGGCATCTGATAAGTGAAGTGGAGTGGCGTGGAAGTCGATGCTATCTGTGTCCTAGATTCACATCAAAGTTCTTAAAGTTCTTTAATAAAGATTTAGATTTATGTTCTTGAAGCTGATGACATTTTTAAAGTGATCTTGATTAAACTTGTCAATAATATCTCATAATATTTCAATTTATTGTATACATGTACATCATTTTTTTGAGATTCATAGTTGTTAATAAAGAAACAGTTATATTATGTTTTATCATTATTTGGTAGGCATGTTGGGGTCCAGAAGATAATACAGTAGTATTTACAGGCTGGAATAATGATCCTTTTAGATTGGGATTGAAATATTGTACACAACGACAGTAAGTTTCTTTTATTATGAGAAAATTTTGTTTATTTTATAATTGACGACTCTGTTTATCATCTTCAGCCCGAAAGGGTCTTGAATTGAACAACTAGACACTTATCCATGTCAGCCCCTCTTACAATTATCACTGACAAGGTGAAACCTGGTTGAAAAACCTGTGCTGGGATTGAACCCTTGATTTTCAGGATAGCAAGCTCACTGAAGCGCCATTTTTTGTAAAGGGCATCAACCAATCTTCATTTATTTTTTTCAGGAGCGCTGTGTACACTTATGATTTGAAAACACAGAAAATAACATCAATAAGTGATAAAACACAATCTTCTAGATCTCCAAATATTAGTCCTGACCAATCAAAACTGGTTTATTTTGATCAGCCAATAGGAGGAGCTCATAAACAATGTTCTAGATTGAAAATGGTAGGTGATTAAGGATAAAAACTTCAAATCTGACCGGAGAGCTTGAGAAAGATCCTATTTAACAATTTTTATTTAAGATATTCAAATTTGACATACTATTAGACATTATAAGATGGGGTACAAGGTATTGCCTGGAGTACCAAATCCTAACATAATTGTTGCTTAGGAATATCTATTAAAGGGATTGTAAAGAGGTCATCTGCAGGCTTACATTGAGTCATCACAAGATATAAGGCAAAAAGAATGAATTTTTTCAATTAAAAACTGATGGTTATCAAACGAAAAATCGATTGTGTGACTATCTTAGTACCCTATATGGAGACAACAATCACTGGTTAAAGTTTTACCTGTTCTATAAAGTTGTCTTTATAAATTGTTTCTACATTTGCTAAATGCCAATCAAGGAATTTCTAATTGTACTTTAGTGTCAAAAAAGGAAATTATTTGATTCATTGCTGTTTCTAATGAATTATCATGTATTCTTAATCATATCATTTCTTGATTGGTCACTCATTGGAACTCTGCTGGTAATTCTCTTCTAATTTAGCTAATTATGAATTAATTATGGATGTGTGAGACAAACTGGTATTTTTCCAAGTCATTAGAACACCTCTACTTTTTATTCATATAGGTATTAGCATTTTCATATTTCATGAAAATAAGGGAACCCATCTTTAAGTATAAATTGATATTCTATATTTTCAGTATGATTTTAAAACTCAGACTAATCAAGTTATATTAGATATTGTACATAGACCAAAAGGTAACATGTTTATGTTGAAACCCTTTCGTAATAGATTAATAGAATAATAGTTCTAGTTTGTCAAATAACTTAACAAATTTGCTTAATTTTACAATGTCATGTGGTTCCACAAATATTTTTCGCTGAAATATAGGATGGTCTTTCATATTTATTTACTGGTGTGATGATAAGAAGTTATTTGACTGAATACTAAATGGTTTCTTTGTAATATATTTGATTGTAATTCAGATGAAGTATGTAATGGTATATATGAAGATGTGTTGATGTCAAGATGTTGGAGTCATGATAGTAAACAGATTATATTGTCAACAAGTTACAGGAGTAGAACTGTGAGTCAATATATCTTTACATTATTTCTAAATCTTACTTCTGCTTGACTATTCTAAAATGACAGGGCTAATGTGTAATTTATATGAATTTTGGCCATATTCTTGAGTAGTTTTGTGCATTGTGGAAGAAATAAGTCTACAGCATGAAAAGGACTTTTAGTTATTGAAAATTATCTGACTCAATGTATTATGTTAAAACATTTGAAAATTTGTTCTTTGATGTTGTTTAAATAACTTTGCTTGATATTTCAGGTTTTATACTGTATAAATGTGGAAACTAAAACAGTTCGTCAGCTGAATGGAGGTTAGCCTTTTTACTTATATCATTATTCCATTGGCTTAAGACCAATTTTTGGTGTAGGATGTAAAACTCCATTCATTTCATTGATTTCATTTCAATATTTGGTGACTTTAAGATAGTTTTGTTCAGAAAATGAACGTATGTAATTGCCGTGCAAGTTACTTTGATATCTTGTTAACCCTTTAAAAAAAATGAAATGTAGGGAAATATGAAGGTAGTTTAAGTGAGAAAAATTATGCTAGTAATTGTTTCCTAATATTTTTAGTATAGTTTGTTAAGTGGGATACGATTATTCCAATTGAAAGATCAAATTCTGAAATTCCAGGAATAAAAGATGGTTCAAGCAGTATTGTTGATATTTATAAGGATATTATCATTATTTCTTGTACCTCACCAAACACACCACAACATCTAGTGAGTTATTTCCCTTTTTTTCTTGATTCGCTTGATTTTTTCAACTGACAAAGACTTGCAGATATCATCTAAGGATCACCAGATAAAAATATTCCTGGAATCCAAAATTAATCCATGTGAAATTTACTTGCCCCTATCTTGTAAATTCCAAGGAGATTTTTCAACCTTTGATTCCATTGTAAAACATGACTGGTGGTATTCTTAAACCATTGAACAATTTGAATTCATACATTTTACACATGTCCTTCTAGATGGTAGGAAAGTTGCTGTCCAACCCCGGTGAAGAAATAAAATGGCATTATCTTAACCAACCTGAGATAGATAATAACATATCATTCCACCTATCTTCCCATCAACCTACTACTGACAGAAAACATTCCAAATATGGTGGGTAGATCCTAAATATAGTTTTTATTTTTCAAAGTCAGCTGTTACCAGAATGTTAATGTTCTTTGAAACTTATGTGGAGTCATAGTGGCTCAGTGAGTTAATTACTTAATTTATTTGATTTTCAGGTTATTTAGATTATGAGACTATATTAGTTCTTCCAAAGACAACTGATGATAAAAAACCACCATTGATTCTCTTTCCTCATGGTGAGTTATTATTCCCTTATATTTCTCATATTACAGTCATATTAAGAGTTATTATTGCCATCCTGCTATTATTTAGTTATCTAGTTATTTTTCTCTCATTGTGAGTCATTATTCTCTCACTGTGAGTCATTTTTATTATCCATGGTGAGTCATTATTGTCTTCCATGGTGAGTCATTATTGTCTTCTATTATTGCCATCCTGCTGAGTTATTTTTCTCTGACTGTGAGTCATTATTGTTATCCATGGTGAGTCATTATTGTCTTCCATGGAGTCATTATTGTCTTCCATGGTGAGTCATTATTTTTATCCATGGTGAGTCATTATTGTCTTCCATGGTGAGTCATTATTGTCTTCCATGGTGAGTCATTATTGTTATCCATGGTGAGTCGTTATTGTCTTCCATGGTGACTCATTATTGTCTTCCATGGTGAGTCATTATTGTCTTCCGAATGAGCTGTTATGATCCATGCTGAGTCATTATTGTCTTCCATGCTGAGTCATTATTGTCTTCTGGATGAGCTATTGTGATCATTGGTCACAATTTACCATATGATTAGTCAAAGATCCTTTCTGATGACTTTTTATCCCCTTTATTGGAGTGATTATTCCAATTGACATTGTAAATCATTATTACAATCCAGGTGAGTCATTACTTAGTCAGAATTCTGCCATGGTGAGTTATTATTTCCCTCTGGTGAGTTGTTATTTCCCCATGGTCAGCCCACCATTCCTCCATTGTTAGACATGATTTACCACATGCTAAGTTATAAATCCAACTTGGTAATTAAATAGTACTATATGAAGCATCCCAGTCTTTTGTTAAATTAAATATGAAGTTATCATTAGAACCAATACATTAGTTTACCATATATGATATGATTTTAGGAGGTCCACATACAACATTTGATACTTTATATATGATGTACGTAGCTGGCTTCTGTAAATGTGGTTTTGCTGTTTTGATGGGTAAGAACATAACTATTATAATTATGTGTTAGACTCATTTCTGACTTCTTTTGTGAATTAAGTTGTCTTAGTTGAACACAGTATGTGGTTAATGCTTTTATTTGCTCTATAAGATGCTGACAAGTTTGAATATTCATTCATTTCATTATGCATTGTGTGTTTTGATGCATTTGAACAATAACCTTTATTGTAATTTTTTAGAACATATAATGAAACTATAGTTATTGAAATGTATTTGGCAGAAGTATAATTCAGATTATTAAATGTTATAGCACTCTATTTCTCAATCTGTCTTTACTGTAGTAAATTATCGAGGATCTCTCGGTTTTGGACAAGATAGTGTTGAGTCAATACTAGGGAATATTGGTGATCAAGATGTCAAGGATTGCAAGGTAATAATAATTATATTCTTATCAAGATAGCTTAATTGTTTGAGTTCTTCTTCTGTTATTTGATTTGATTTTCATTTAATCATAAATAAAAACTCCACTGACTGTTGATGTGACAGATTTTGGCCATAATTATCAAAAACACTTGTTTTTTTTTTATTTTTTATTTTGTTCATTTTTAATATTGTTACATAAAATGAGTTAAGTAGCCCACAGTATTCAAAGCAAAATATCAAAAGTTGTATTGGAATCAAAGGATAGAGGTCCATGTGAGTAACTTTAGTGTTCAAACCTGATTTCTAAGGCTGTAAAAAGTTTCAGAAATGGCTTTCTAAGTAACTAGTAAAAGCATGAGTTAAAGTGTTATCTTTATCATGTCCATTAACAGGCAGCAGCAGATGAAATAATTTCAAAAGGACTTGTTGATGGTCAGAAAGTTTTTATGTTTGGTGGCAGCCATGGTGGTTTTCTTACAACACATCTCATTGGTCAATATCCTGTAAGTTGATACCATTATTTTATTGGTCTATGTGGAGAGCAAGAAATGCTGTTTGAAACATCTGCGACAAACAGCTGATCAATTTATTGTGAGATGTGGTTTATATGACAGAATGAGAGAGGGGATGTGTGTTGATATTTATGGATGCAGATCTGGATGGGACACAGGGACTTGGTGTGGACACGATTTTCTTGATCCCCACCACTTGTTGTGGCTTATATGATTATCAAAGTGCATAGTGATATGGCAGTGATATGGAAAAGGGACACCTCCTCTAAACAGCTAAATATGTAAGCTAAAAATATTATGAATAGGAATAGATTTCATATTAGTTCTGTGTTAACTTAATTGTATTATGTTTTTTTCAGGATTTTTTCCAAGCTGGATGTTGTCGTAATCCAGTAACTAATCTAACTGTAATGACAGGAGTAACAGATATTCCAGATTGGTATGTTTTATTCTTAATATATCCCTAGAATCCTGGATGCTAAGATATTTCTTCTATACTAATCGCCATTTTCTCACAAAGCTCCTCATTTGTAGATTTCAAGACTTGGTTGGAACTTAATCACTACAAAAAGAAGTTTAATGTCACAAATAAGCCAAATACTAGAAGTTTTCAATTAAGTGTAGCCATTGTGTTTGACTCTTTAAATCAAACTTTGATGTTTAGTTTACAAACTCTTCAAAGCACTTATGATGATGATTTTGCTGAAAATGATGATTATATTGCTGATTATGATGATGATTATAATGATTATATTTCAGGGTGTATGTAGAATCAGGGTTTGATTATAATCATTCATGTTTATTAAATCCTAGCTATAGTGAAGAAATGTGGAAACGTTCCCCTATTAGATATGTAGATCAGGTATTGTCTGTTTTTACTACTCAACCATATAACTAAAGTTTTGTGTTTTTCAAACATTTGCAAAAAAAACAGAAATTTGCCTGTTGTCTGACAATCACACAACTCAAGTTTAATCCTTTTAATGAAAAGACTGATTTCGTGAATTTGGAAATCTTAAAGTAAGTTAACCCCTGTGATTAAATATTGAAAATGTCATAGTTCCATAAGTGACCTTGCCTGGAAAGCTATTTTCATGAATTTAAATTCCTATTTGCTGAAATTGGGTATATTTTGACATGTTCCACTACCCTTTTTTTCCCTCAATGTCAAATCTCAGGCAAAACTGTGACCCACCTTTTTCTGTATAAATTGACATTAAAACTTCTTTAACTATCCATCCAACATAGACCTTGATTTGTAATGATTGATTTGATGTGTGTTTTTTTTTTCAGGTGAAAGCTCCATTATTGTTAATGATTGGTAAAGATGATCTACGTGTTCCACCTTCACAAGCTAAAGAATATTACAGAGCTCTAAAAACTAGAAATATTAAAACAAGGTACAGATACTTCTGCTATGAAGACAAAATGCTACCTCAACTGCACTTCACAATGTGATGCTAAGATGAACTCTGTCTTATACCTTGACTTCACTAGGCTCTTTTGTTGTGTCATGGTAGTTTGTAAATGCAGTGATTCGACTGAATTGAATGTTATTAAATTCAAATCAGACTTCTCGACAGAAAGTTTGTAAACAATAAGCCAATATGTTTTTTCTTTTGAAAGCTCTGATTGGCTGTATTTACTATCTTACAATCCAATCAAATTGCTACATTCTGTGAAATAAGAAAAGTGTCTGATGATGTCAAGGTATTACATGCAGTTGGTAATAGCTTCAAATTGTGAAGATGGTAAAATGATGGTTAAAAATCTCTGAAATTTGTTTCAACATTGATTAAATTGGATCATTGATTGATGATTTTTCTGCCATAAAGACAGAATGTCTCTTAGTTGCTGCTGTGGGCATATGTCACCATGTCTTACAGCTATCTTTCTGTTCTAGGTTGATTGAATATGAAGATAATTGTCATCCTATAGTAAAAGTGGATTCAGAAGCCGATGCTTTTGTGAATATTATGTTATGGTATAAAGAACATTCCTGATTACTGAAAAATAAACAGGATCAAAGAATCTATTTTAAAAGATTGATCTAGAAATCCGTCTTGCTCCCAAGTCTGATATGCTTTTCAATAATAAATCAATAAGATCATAATAGACAATATAATACTAATAATTCAAGGTTTGATACCTATCAGATCTTTAAACATTTGAGTTCTTTCACTTATATAATCTTATTTATCATTATACTGAAAAGAAAGGGTTAACCTTAAAAAAGAAACAAAAATCAACAATGGTTCAAACTTGTTTAACTCCATATTGAAAATTATTTTTAAAATGGCGTGTGTAAAAACTTTCAACAAAAGATCTTGATGCAGAAATATAATTATATTGGGACTTTATTTTTATACATTCTACTCAAAAAGTGCCTTTAATTGATGTTTTTTTTTAGTTGAATACAAATCGATATCAACATAATATTTAAGATTCAAAGCAGCATCTATATTTGTATGGATGTAATTAAAAATTTTTTTTTTTAAATGAAATGTATTGATTTGTACAATAGAATGTTAGTGTTATTTGTAACTGAGATTGATTATGCTTGTTTAAATAAATAATGTTAGGTCATTACTGGATGTCATGAGTGGGTATTTAATGGAAAAATAGACAAAATTGGTAACTACAGTCATATATCAAAGTAAGTTCTAAGAACCCCAACTTAAACCAGGTTAACAAAAATCATACTGAAATCAGGGTTACTATATAACCATCCTACTGAAATCAGGATTGCCATTCAATATCCTACTGAAATCAGGATTGCCATTCAATATCCTACTGAAATCAGGATTACCATTCAATATCCTACTGAAATCAGGATTGCCATTCAATATCCTACTGAAATCAGGATTGCCATTCAATATCCTACTGAAATCAGGATTGCCATTCAATATCCTACTGAAATCAGGGTTATTGCGGTTGCCTTACAATAATCCAAGGTAACTACAAAGCCACCCCATGAATGAGGGGAACCATACAGCAATCCTACTGAAAAAAGGGTTACCTTACAACAATCTTATTGAAATCATATTTACTCTACAACCACCCTCATACAATCAGGGTAACCATACAGCTATCCTGCTGAAATCATATTAACTATACAACTATCCTACTGATATGAGGCTTACCGTACAACTGAAATCATTTTTACCAAACAACAATCTTATTTATATCTGGGTTACTATGAAACCATCCTACAGAAATCAGGTAACTATACAACCATTTCGCTGAAATCAGGGTTACCATACATCTTATTGTGCCAAATGTGCTATGCAAAGGTAATCCAAAGTAACTACATAGCTAACCGACTGAAATCGGGGTAGCCATAAAACATTCCTACTAAAATCATATTTACCATACAACCATCTTACTGAAATCAGGGTTACCACATAACCATCCTACTTAAATCAGGGTTACCATACAACAACCGTGTGGAAATCACGGTTGCTATACACAAATTTTATTGAAATCAAGTGTACCGTACAACAAATCTACTAAAATCAGGGTTGCCATACAATAATCCAAGGTAACTACGCAGCAACCTCACTGAAATCAGGGTAAACAGTCCATACAGTAATTCTACTGAAATCATATTTACAATACAACCATCGTACTGAAACCATATTCAGGATACAACCATCATACTGAAACAATATTCAACATACAACCATGTTACAGAAATCAAGGCTACAATACAACCATATTATACTGACATAAAGGTTACCATACAACCACTCTACTGAAATTATATTCACCATGCTGCCATCTTACAGAAATCAAGGCTACCAAACAACCATATAATGACATAAGGGTCACCATACAACAATCCTATTGAAATCAGGGTTACAATACAACCAACTTACTGATATCAGGGAAACCAAACAATAATCTTATTAAAACAGGTTTACTATACAACCATCCTACTGAAATTAAGGTAAACATACAACAATGTAACCGAAACCGCTTTTATTATACAACAATTTTGCTTGAATTCGGGTTTACCACACAACCATCCAGTCGAAATCATGGTTACTATACACAAATCTTGCTAAAATCAGATTTGAAATACAATGTTTTACCATATCATAATTATTAAAACCAGGGTTACCGTACAGAAATTCAAATGAAATCAGGGCAACCAAACCATCTGATTGAAGTCAGGGTCACCATACAACCATCCAACTGAAATCGGGGTTATCATACAGCAATTCAACTGAAATCATACACCCATCTTACTTACATCAAATTTACTATACATCAATCCTATTAAAACCAAGGTTACCGTACAACAATCTTTCTAAAATTAGATTCACCACACAGAAATCATATTAAAATCAGAATCACAATACAACACGAATCATGCTGTTATACCACAGTCGTACTGACTTCATGATCTTAATGCTTTATTTCCGTTGTTTACGTTCATTGATTATCAAGGCATTAAGTTAATGATTAAAACACAAACTTTTGATTTCTGCTTTGGTTTCTTCATAATATATTGATTCCACCCATCCTCGAGACGCCTTTGTTATAATTTGATTGATTATTGGTTATTGATATTAACTAAGCTAATTCCAGAACATGGGGTTTAATACTATTGAGAATAAGTTTTAGCTTAACTTCATTTCCAAAGTGAAAAATACAGAAAGGGCTTGTGAATGCAGACGAATTTTTCGAGAAAGAAAGGTTTACAGCAAAAATTCTAAACCGGGTGAGAATTTGTGGTTTTTGAAATTAATCAATTTTTTTTTCTTGATTTCAGTAATATAGGTAAAGTAGAATGAAATATTAATCATCAATAAGTTCAGAATAAAATAAGAAAAGTTCAGAATTGCATATTTGCAAATAAATAAACCAAGTACACCGCAAAACGAAACCCGAAATACAAAACAAAATTTTGGCGAAACATTGGTAGTCGCTAATGAACTGTTCAGAATGAAATAATGTGAAGTAAAAAATGAAATACATGTATTAAGGGTTCGAAATGAAATGTTCACAATTTTAAAGGGAAATATAGAAAAGTTCAAAATGAAATATCAGTAAAATCAAAATGAAATATCAAGATGTTCAGAATACAATATAAAGTTCATGATGAAATGTGGAGTAGGCCATAATGAAAGTTACAAAATATGAGAAATTCAGCATAAAAGAATGAAATATTGAGAATTTCAGAATAAAATTGTGAGAAATTCAGAATAAAGATATTGAGAATTTCAGAGTAAAATATTGGAAAAGATATTAAGAAGTTCAGAATTAAACACAAAATAAACACAGAATGAAATATTGAGAAGTTCTGAATTAAATATTGAGAAGTTCAAATTATTAATCAAATGACAAGTAATATTGAGAAGTTCTGAATAAAATATTGAGAAGTTCAAATTATTAATTAAATGAGAAGTAATATTGAGAAGTTCTGAATAAAATATTGAGAAGTTCAAATTATTAATTAAATGACAAGTAATATTGAGAAGTTCTGAATAAAATATTGAGAAGTTCAAATTATTAATCAAATGACAAGTAATATTGAGAAGTTCTGAATAAAATATTGAGAAGTTCAAATTATTAATTAAATGAGAAGTAATATTGAGAAGTTCAGGATTAATTAATTGAGTTCAGATTATTAACTAATTGAGAAGTTATATTGAGAAGTTCAGAATTAAATATTGAGAAGGTCAGAATTAAATATTGAGAAGTTTAGAATTAAATATTGAGAAGTTCAGAATACAAGATTGAAAAGGTGAGATTATTAATCAATTGAGAAGTAATATTGAGAAGTTCAGAATTAAATATAGAGAAGGTCAGAATTAAATATTGAGAAGTTTAGAATTAAATATTGAGAAGTTCAGAATACAAGATTGAAAAGGTGAGATTATTAATCAATTGAGAAGTAATATTGAGAAGTTCAGAATTAAATATAGAGAAGGTCAGAATTAAATATTGAGAAGGTCAGAATTAAATATTGAGAAGGTCAGATTATTAAATAATTGAGAAGTTATATTGAGAAGGTCAGAATTAAATATTGAGAAGGTCAGAATTAAATATTGAGAAGTTCAAATTATTAATTAAATGAGAAGTAATATTGAGAAGTTCAGGATTAATTAATTGAGTTCAGATTATTAACTAATTGAGAAGTTATATTGAAAAGTTCAGAATTAAATATTGAGAAGGTCAGAATTAAATATTGAGAAGTTTAGAATTAAATATTGAGAAGTTCAGAATACAAGATTGAAAAGGTGAGATTATTAATCAATTGAGAAGTAATATTGAGAAGTTCAGAATTAAATATAGAGAAGGTCAGAATTAAATATTGAGAAGTTTAGAATTAAATATTGAGAAGTTCAGAATACAAGATTGAAAAGGTGAGATTATTAATCAATTGAGAAGTAATATTGAGAAGTTCAGAATTAAATATAGAGAAGGTCAGAATTAAATATTGAGAAGGTCAGAATTAAATATTGAGAAGGTCAGATTATTAAATAATTGAGAAGTTATATTGAGAAGGTCAGAATTAAATATTGAGAAGGTCAGAATTAAATATTGAGAAGTTCAGAATTAAATATTGAGAAGGTCAGATTATTAAATAATTGAGAAGTTATATTGAGAAGGTCAGAATTAAATATTGAGAAGATCAGAATTAAATATTGAGAAGGTCAGATTATTAAATAATTGAGAAGTTATATTGAGAAGGTCAGAATTAAATATTGAGAAGGTCAGATTATTGAATAATTGAGAAGTTATATTGAGAAGGTCAGAATTAAATATTGAGAAGGTCAGATTATTAAATAATTGAGAAGTTATATTGAGAAGTTCAGACTGAAATATTTTCAATCTTAAATAGTATGATTAAAATATGTCGCAAAATTCAGTATCGCTGGAAGTAAAAACAGAACAAAAGCTTAGCATAAGTTAATTTACAATCTAATACCTTCTCTGCAACTTTCTGTAGACTTTTTTGTTAACACGAAAGAATTTAAATGGATATTTTGTAACCATTGTATTGTTTTCAAATTTGCGGCCTATTGCCTGTGGCTCTTTTTCATTACTTTACTTCATGGTATATAAGTGGTAGATCTTAACTTGTTGTTTGTAAGTATTGCAATGTTTTTACCTTGGAGATGGCTAATCGTTTAAACACGCCTCTCATCGGCCTTTATATTGACGTGATTGATTTTCTCCGTTTATATTTCAGATAATGGTTCCGACAATATTAGGAAGTGTATTTTTGGCTGTTTTTTTATATCATTTACCTAAAACATTAGGTAAGAATCTGTTTTATAAAACTCAATATCATCTTAAAAGGACCTCTTAGAATGGGCATAAAAACTAAAGTCTCAAATTTGTTCAACAAGTGTATATATTCATCAGTTGGATTTACCAGGTAAAGTGACCAAAGAATACAATCTCTATATTAGACGTCATATCCATTAAACTTAAAAATTATTGAAACACGCTTCTAGGCATGTTTCAAAATTACTTAGCTTAATGAATTTAAGGATTATAGAGGGATATTGTCCTATAGTTAGGTAAGTCCACTGATGACCAAATGACTCATTTTAACCAAGTTTTAAATTTTTCAATCATCCAAAGAAGAAGTATACCTTTAAGTGGCGATAACACCATAGCGATCATCATTTGCGAATAACAATAGCGGTCATAAGTTTTGAATGCAATTCTCATGCAATTGATTTTTGGACTCATGGCCACATTAATTATTCTCAACCACATGCAACTGGTAATGGCTATGGTCTGAGGGCAATTTAAGACAATTTTCCCATATAGTCGAGTGTAATGGTAATCAGCGAGTCAGTCATCACTATTGACTCTCTTTCAGGAAATTTTGACACCTAAACAGTAAGTTGATTTGATCATTTTCTTCTCTAGGTTATGATATGGAATTAAAACGTGCTGGATTCTGGAAATTTCAAGATGTTTCTCGTGTAAAATTTACTACATTGGAGGTTAAAACAAAACTAAATATATTCTTCGCATTTTTCAACGAGAATGAACGACTATATTGGATTATAATCAGAACTGATGGGTGGAAGTGGAACAGTGGTACTACTAACCCGGCCTCTACCCAACTTTCATCTACTGAATTCACTAAATATTGGTTCAGCTGGAATGGAACTGATGTACAGTTTGGACTGGGACAGGTACCAGGAGTTAATGTTTTAGGAACCAAGACAGGGATTTCAGATACAGTACAGTTTAAATATACTTCTATCTCTATAACGTTTCCTAATAACGCTACCATAAGATTTCCTGATTCTACAGGTAACTCATGTCACTAATGACTGCCATGCCCACTTTTGTTGCATCGCTGAATGCTTTGATGTAATAGGTTTGTACGCCAGCAAATATAGCTCTTTACGGCTTATTGTATGAATCTTTCGTTAACGTACAATCCAACCAAATCATTTATATTTGCATTTTCAAGCCTCTGTGATACAAGTGAGGTGGCTATTGGAGTCATGGTATAAAACACAGTTCGTGATAGTTTTAGATAACCTGAATGGTTGCAGTCTCTCTTTTTTTATTTATTTGCCGAAAGAGCCCAATTTCGGTTCGCGATATGACTTTTCAGCATCAAAATTCCAGACGACTGAATTTCTACTGTATATATGTTTATTATAGAGGTCCAGATGTTGGAGTTTAATCCTTAAAGTGTTATGTATAACTGAAAATGAGCTGTTATCAGTTAATAATTCACTGAATTAAAATGGGATAGCAGTTTTAGTTTGCACAATATATTAATAAGGCAATTATGTTTCGGCGGGTATTTCATGGACGTTTAAGGCGTATCGAAAGCGACCTGTCTTTAGAACTGAAAATAAAAAGCATCAAAGGGGTCATTTAGTTTATTTGTTTGTTCTCTTTTCAGTATATCAGGCCTATCCCGGTGCTACATTAAGCTCACCCACTTCAGTTTTAACAACATCCACAGTAATGGCTTGTGGCTTTAAATGTTTGTCTCGCCCGATGTGTTATGCCTTTAATTACAGAGTTAGTGAATTTAACGAAAGTAATTGTCAACTACACGGAACTAAAGCCTCATTAAAACCAGGCAATATAATGCCAACACCATTCTCTTCTTCTCCTAATACAGAATGGAATTACTATTTTCGTATGTAGATAAAAACTTTTTTTAGAAGCTGTGTAATGCTATATTTCATACAAATCATGAATCGCCAAAATTTGTAAATTTTAGGATTCGTGGAATTTTAGCACATATTCTGGTTCAATTAGCGAGGCTCTACGATCTTGTAACAAATATTCGTGGGATTCGGCTGGATTCGCATGAATATTGTCTAGATTTCACTACGATTTTCACAAAGCTATATATATTACAAATACTGCAGGAAAGTAAGGAATAGGTTACGAATCAGCATATGCCGAATGCATGTGCGAATTAGTTAGGAATTAAAATGAATTCTGACTGTTCTTGACAATCCTTGAGGTGTTTTCAGAAAATAGCTATAAAAAATGACCAGAACATGTGTATTATCTGCTCTGTAATGAGTTAAAAATAACTATTACTATTAATTGACTACGATTAAGTTACGATGTCTAAGAATGCATTACGAATTTGTGACGAATTAACTATACATTTTTTAATCGGGAGTTAGAGGCCCAAAATTTGAATACAGTCGCTCTTGCATTGTCTCCATCCTGTAGCATGGGAAGACTGATGTCATAGTTATTCGCTACCAACGGAAAAAATAAGTCTGGCCGCCGACTCATATAACCCTGATACAGCCTTTTACCAATCCCCACCACAACGCACACAAACCCACACCCCACACACACTCCACACCCACACCCACATCCACACACACAATCAATCACATGCTAATAGGCCTATGCTATATTGTAACAAGAGCATCGGGTTATTGTAATCTGCTGATATTAATGAACTCAAAATAAACTGACAATTATCATTTTCTATTGATCAGCAAGTAAATAATTATTGTTTCTTAATTTCAAGATGAATTATCTGACCCACTTATCGATTTCGATGGAACTTAAAAGTCAAGACGTTCCAGCCCTATTTTTGATACACAGTCATGAGAGCATATAGTTCGACATTAAAAAACATTGATTGTGTATTAACTCTAATTGTTTTTTCCTGTAAATACCTAAATAAATCAATTTAAATCACGATAGTTCATTTATGTCACAGAGAATAGTGAATTTCTGTGGTTCATTTAGGAAACGATGGCAACGAAATTCAATTCAAGTGCCTTAAAAGCCAAGATTCGGCATTTTCGGGGGACGATTTGAGTATTTAATTATGTAAATAGTCTTCAGAAGTACCAGAAATGCAGGGAAATCGCAAAACTTCCTCTAACTAGGAATTTTACTTTCTGTTTATGTATATTATGTCTTTTCTATATATCGTAGTTTCAAGAAAAGAGTAAGTCATTTAAACTTTCAATATTCTGGACGAAGGCTCAAATTGCGAGGGTGAGCTGTGAACACTATCACAGATTGGCTTAGCTAAACAATTTCCCGTTTCTAAAACTAAGATATGATTGGTTAAATGAATTGCTAATCTATCCCTTTAGATTATCCGCCCCCCCCCCCCCCCCCCCCTCCCCAACCTTCCTCAGACGTAAACCTGGTTCCGCCACTGGGTGTATGGTGTTTAGCTGCAGTGATGGAATTGGTCTATGGAGAATGGGCGGGAGAATGAGCAATTAATTTTTTTTATAGTCGCAAGACAGCGCCATGGCTTGGTGGAATGTATCAGGGCATGGTTTGTTTCCATGTATAGGGGAATTTAGTAGACCCATGAATGTAAAATTATATGCCAAATGTCAAAAGAGACAAGTTTGAACCTTCAAGGATTCTCTTGGGAAAATACGACCTATAAGAACTATAAAATATCTCATCTTCATAAAAATTCAATACGATTTTTACAAAATGATTTTATTTTCTTCTATGAAATTTAAATGATAAATATATAAGCAGATGACAAAATAAGCCAATACATATATACAACTTGAGCAAAAAGCAAATCATACAATTTATTTAGCAATATATTATTATGTTGAATTATAGCACTAAAATATATTTTTTAAGACATAACTAGTTATCCCCCCGCCACCCTTTTGGTAATAAATGGAGTCGTGTTTGATCCTATATCTGCGTTCCGATCGCAAAATGTATCCCGCCTATTGATGCTTTCTTATAACTTTCCTTATCTAGGTATGCATACTCGATAGGTGACAAGAAGTATAGTTTGAATTGAACGCAAAACGTATCTCGATACGGTCACTATTAACAAATGTATAACAAATCACAAAACTCGACACATTCTCGCGCAAACATTGACCAACACTCCACAATGCATCAATTTATCAAGCTATACAGATTTCACAATTTTTAAGATCGGTATTAAAATTAAAACAAGAGCTATATAACTTAATTTCAACCATATTTCTATATATATATAGAAGACTAATAGCTCATTTTAACAAACCATAGAGTAAATAAAAAACAATTGAAAACCAATAGATATTATAACATAGATTATAAGCATTATTTTTGGCACAAAGAAATAAATTGATGAATTAGTATATAATTACAAATTATGACAGTTATATATATACATAGACATGTATTTCATATTAGATATTTAATACATGTTTACTGTTTCATGAATACAAACACAATGTTTTTATATTGGGGTATACTTGGCTATATACAATTCTATATGTAATCGATATTATGTTATGCCCAAAATTGACCTTATCAGGACCAATAATGCACGCGACCCCGATACCTTATTCAATATACTATTGGCAGGGAAATTCAATGTCACTATCTAAGTCTTTGAATGGCACATGGCACATAATGTATAAAACAATGTTCATGAATGACCGAAAAAACTGTGCTGTATACATAATTAAAGGAATACTACACTTCTAAGCATGTTTCAAAATTACTTATTTTAATGAATTATTACTTAGTTTTATGGACTTATTGGATTATAGAGGGATTCTGTCATTTAGTTTTGACTGATAAACAAAAACTTATCTTGACTTATTTTGGCCATATCTAAAATTTTCAAATTTTATGGTCATCCAAAGTAAACCTTTAAGATTTGAATATATTCCGACAAGGACGATTTTCTGTCCTTTTTTGGGATAACATATCATTTTATGTCCTCGCCTTCGGCATTATCGACACATTCATTTATAAAATAGGCTGGTTGTAAAAATATGAATAAAGTAAATGAAAAATGAAATGTTCCAAGAAAGAGTTATGGAATTATCTACCCTTGTAAGATTTAATGAAACAGGCACATGCGCCTTGTTGCTTTTTCTTTGCCTACAAATTGTTACATTTCAAATAAGGTTTTATTTTACGATAACCTATCATAGCTATCACAAATTACGCCACACTTTGTATCTTTTTTTTTACTTTTCTTCAAATGTTTTGAGCATCATCAAACATAAGCAATATCCCACAGAACATTACCTAACGACGTCCTGTCTGATACATGTTCAAGACGACAATAACAAAATGAATTTGGTCCCTTAGAACTTTGATGATAATGATTTCAATGTTATAAACAATGCGTGGTTTAAATATCTTTTAACTTTTAGTATCTAAGTTGGAAGAGATTGGATTTCGGTGGATAAGAAATGACGTTTTTACATAATATCTACAAAGTTCATGTTCTCTTTAATTTGACCTTCCCAGCTCACATCATGATAGTTCTCCAGTGTTCTAAAAGTCATGCACACAAGAGAAAGACTAGAACACAATATAATTTATAATGTCATGGTCATTTCCATCATTAAACTACATTTCTAGTTGGCATGGAAACGTATCTGTCCTCTTCCTCACCTTTGTCCAAAGATTCATTCATTGCAATAGCGGCTTTGATAGTGTCGATATCTTCATAGAAGTTCTCCTCAACAGGCAGCGTGTTTTCGTAAGGGTTGGAATTCTGGTAAATGTCTCTTGGCAGACCACATGGCGTGGGTTTTGGAAGATCGTAAGAGTCAGACGAAACAGGGCGTACAGCAACGACGTCACCATAGGTCGGATTGTTTAAAGATAAAGATGGCGGCGTGTCATATTGAACTGGTGGCCCCACCTGGACGTCGTCTTTATATTCAACCACGCACGATTGTTCAAACCGATCTGCATCAATATCTTCCCGAGCTACCTCCCCGTAGTAAGGATTGATAAAACTGGCACTGGCGTGTTGTTGTTTCTTCTTTCGTCTGGAATTACAAATAAACACTGAACTTTAAACACTAGTACAAGAGAAAATGATTTTTTTTATATTGCTGGTATGTTTCTATCTATTTAACTTATTTCATCAAAGAAAATGTTTGAAGACCTGGGATCTATTAAGGTGAACAAAAACTTTCGTAATAGACAATAAATATTAAAATTATGTCAATATATTGGTGGCATAATGGCAGTTGTTTCCAACCTTTTTCAGCCTTCACACCCCTGGAGCAATCACTTAGACCTTCCACAAAAATTAGTTTCATCCACATTTCCAGCATGTGATGATGTGAGGTGCTCTCTCAATTCAAAATAAATTCTTCTCCTACACCAGTTGGTCACACCCTTGACACTCCAGGGGGTGAAAACACTCTAGGTTGGGAACCGGCGTTCTATAGTGATGTTATTATTCAACAGATGGTGTCAGAGACAGAGCTAATGCAAAAAGGGGTCGTTGGCTAGGGAAGGATCCACTGATTCACAGAAGCAAAATTATTAAACACATGACGTCTTCGTAAAGCATCAGATATTGACGTCAGTAACGCCAAAGACTGGTTTATCCTGATACCACATACACAGTCTTTACAGTGGCCAATCCGAATATCTGAATATAACAATCTTCAGCGATCAAAATTATGGAAGGAGATATGGCCTACCTTCTAATGAAACATACAGCACCAAAACAGATTCCAACCATTAAACCAAGCAGTAGACCCAGAGCTAGAGCAATAATTGTACCTGTAAGAAAGGAAAACGTTTTACGCTATGCTGTTCCGCAGGATACAAGGATCAATTTTGATCATATAAATACGCCTAAATTAGAAATGTAACCTCAATATTTCAAACCAGTTATCTTGAGGTGGATGGTGTTTCAGATATTACGTAAAAATGATGAGCATGGGTGCCATAACGTCGAAAGCAGAATAACCATTTTGGGATAAGTAAGCAACCCTTACACACTCGAAGTTGGCTCTCTTCAATTCCCTCATCTGCCTTGATCTTTGATCGTAATGGTTTTTGATTTTTGATTTATGATTAAGACTGAAATTGGGGTGTTGTTCCCTTGTTTAACGCTGAATTCTATAGAGATTTAAACAAGTAACTATTCCATTTTATTCTGCCTTCAGTTTCTTTGATAAAATCAATATGATCTGAACTGGAGGCGTTGAGATTGTAACGTCTACAATATTCAACAATCTCTCTTTTTTCTGTCGTTTTTCAAGTTTCAGGAAGAAATCCAATAATTAGTTTGAAAGGAAGGAAGTCTCCAGATAACCAAGTGTAAATACCACAGATTTCCAATGAAATGTTGATCAATTTTTGTTATTAATATTGTAATAGAGAGGATCACAAATCGACAAATTATAGCCCTTAGCAATAGCATGCTTTATTTTTTTTATCACCCACCATCACTTATGAAATGCTTATTGGAATAATGTATTTCCTAATGTGTAGCAAGAAAGATTTCAAAGTTATTAACCTTACTATTGGTTGATTGATTTGATTTTACGTACGAGTTTAGTTATTTTAAGATAATAAATAAAAGTACATGGCAATTGTTGACCGATTACAGAATCCAATCACAATATAAGTTGGTTAGAAAAATTCATCTAAAATGAAGGATACAGCCCAAAGGGCGAAAAAAACCTATTTGATATGGACGGTGAACAAATCTAGGTTATTCCTTTGTGCGAAACATTGATCTAACATCTTACCTATGCCGGTACCACGTTCTTGAGAATCTTCCAGATGCTGTTTCTGTTGGCCAGGATCTGAAAAATATGGAGATATTCTGAATTATGACGCTGAAAGAAAGCTTAGTGGTGTTATCTATCCAAATGCGCATGGTGTATGTGTTTGCAAGTTTTGTATGTGGTCTTCCGATATTGTCCCATACTGTAAATTTAATGGATATACACAAGATTTGAGTTTAAGCATGCTCAACAACAAAAACTATGATTACAGTGACCTACCATTGACGACTGAGTATTTTTGTCTATCTGATGTTGTAGTTATTTTAGCAGTTGTCGATGTTGTCTTGATGGTTGTTTTACCTCGAACTTTATTCAAAGATTTCCCTGCTTCCTTCTTCAGTAAATCTTCTTGTACAATTTTCATCTCCTCCGTACTGTTAGTACCAGACGTAGACGGAGTAGTTATCGTAGTTGTAGTTGTAGTTGTTGTAGGTGTTGTAGTGGTAATTGTTGTAGATGTCGTTGTTGTTGGTATCATGTCTGTAAGCAAAATATCAAATTTTAGTCATGTTTCAGTCCTTCTGTTTGACCACGAACCGTAAACTCATCCATGCAAGACTTGCCTCAGGTACTGAATCCTTTCTACTTTTGAGATACTTTCTTAATATATTTTGTGTATGTGATAACATCAATCTGCATCATTCAATATTTCAGCCAGGCGTCTGTGGGTATCGGGATTCTACAAAAAATTAAGCGAGTTTTCACTAGCTATTGCTAAAGCTTTTAGACATTGCTGACCACAGACATCTGACCGAAATTGGAATGATGAAAATAGAAGGCATCATGGCCCCGATATACATTTATAAAGCTTAAAGGGATACTACGTCTTAGAATGAACATAAAATTCAAAAATTTTAAACTTGGCCAATAAGAGCATATATTCATCAGTAGATATACCTGGTGTCATAAATAACATAACAGGATCCTTATATAATCCGATAAATCAAAAAAACTTAATAAAAATGCAATTAACTATTGAAAAACGCTTAATATCAAGATTAAGCGTTTTCAATAATTACATAGTTTTATGAATTTTCCAATTTTCTAGATTTTAAAGGGATTCTGTTGTAACTTTATGACACCAGGTAAGTTCACTGATGTATATATACTCATATTGCACCATTCTTGAGAAGTAAATTTTACGTTCATTCTAAGACGCAGTATCACTTTAAAGCTTTCCCCCTTGCTTTTCCACTTTTCAACTGTCACAGTTGGTGTCTGATTTATTGTATTGTATATGTGTATATTCGTAACCATCCTTACCAAATTGACAAATAAAACTGTAGAGATAAAAACTATTATCACAAGGTTTGTCATGCCATCTTCCACCATCAGAATATCTTAATATACCACAATCTTCTCGACATCTGAATATCTTACAACTTGGTTGATCGGAACCCCAGTAAGAATATCCAATACTCTCTCCTACAAAATATATTGGTTAGAATGTATATCATCAAAAGCAATGAATGCTATTACACGATATTTAAAAAAAAAACAATCAACCTTATAAGGTGCTTACTATTAGGTCCGCGCTTGGATATTGGTATTTCATACACTACACCCTTATATTTAGAAATGCTGCGACTTGGTTTTCTAGTGGTAACAATGATATCAGGTGTTCTAAAAGTTTGTAAACGCCCCGCCTTGCTACTGCCACCAATCACAAACTACAATGTAGAATGCAAGTTTTTGGATTTCCGTACAGATACGTTTTCAACCTTTTTCCTTCCGTGATCCTTGATCGATTGCATTACCTATACATCTTTACTATTCCGTGATTTCTCTTAGGTTTTTCCTACAATCGCATCATGTTGGAGAATATAACCTGACTGAATGGAATAACAAATGAAATTTTTTGAAATAACTGCCTGGACTGAAATAATAGTCCAAAATATTCATTCTAGGCTACAAAGCCCCTTATTACCCCCCAAAAATGTCAAAATTATCCCCAGGTTGAAAACCCTTGCGGTAACATATCAAAATTCTTAATCACCTGTTACCCATTTCCAATTCATTTCGGAAACAAGATCATTAGCTCCGATCCACGCTCCATTTCGCCTCCATCGTAAACTTCTTAGAGATGACATCAGAAAATTTTGCGTTTCAGCATTCTTGATAACGACAAGATGGCCACCATTTCTTCTGCAAATATTTTGTGCAGCGTGCCATTTGACTTGATAATGATTAAATTGGTAACAACGATCGTTGAATGTCTTTAAAAATTTGGATCGGGTCAAACCAGCTGGACATCTATCAAGATCACCTCCTGGAATGAAAAATTTATAACAGATAAAGATACAGATAAAAATAAATCAGGTCAAATATTGTCCACACAATGGTGACAAGTAGCTATTGTCTACCAAATTCATGAGACAGGTTTCGGGGTTAAATATTATGTTTGAGTGAGTATCATCGGGATGTAATGATTCAGCTAAACCAGGCGGCGCCAGAGTCCCAGTGGTCTTTCTATGCAACATCAGATGAAGGGGAAATGTAAGGGCCACACAATGTTCAGAGCAGGGTGGGGGGATTCTTTTTCAATCTGCCTCATCAGACTGTAAGTTCATCTGTTTTCACATTATTCTCTATGATAGAAACAAAGCTGCTATCTGTTTTTTTTTACAGATCTTTGAAACAGATAGAACACATAAAAATATGGCCCTGATATGACAACGTTTCTAAATCGGTTTACTCGTCTTAACAAGCCCAGAGAAGGAGACTTCATTTTAAATGAATAAAGGCGAGTTATTGTGATGTGTATTGTGTATAATGTGAGACATTTTTGTTAAGTGTATCATTTTGCAGGTTTATATTAAAACATGTTAAATTTAGACTACAGCATATGACCTGTTTCCGCTAAATATATTTATCTAGGATATGGACAATATATCTTCCTTGTTTCAAAATAAACTGGGAGTAAGTTTAGTATGAGATCATTTCATTTCCCGCTAATTTTACAATGGATTACTTTCATTTCCATAGTATTCAATAACCTTCCTTCAATAGGAAAACATGAAATATGAATTTTAAATAGATGCATAGAGCAGTAATTCAAGGAAAGAAGTAGCATTCAATTTCCTGCATAGCCCAAAACTATGGACAAACCAGTGGAGGAGCCCATTCCGTAAATTAAACTGAATACTTGTGGATCTCCTAAGGGGGGTAGTATCATGTGTTCTAGAAAGAGTGAAAATACTCTGCCAATAACAATAGTGTTTCTCTCGAAGAGTTTGCAAAACTCTCATAACTAAGTTAGAAATTCGGGCAACCTCAGATATCTCGCCCCCCCTTGGACGTAAACCTGGCTCCGCCACTGGGACAAACTCATCTTTAAAATTAACAATTTCCTGACCTTCAGCTATTTTGAATAAAATAAATTTATACATAAACATATGTTAAAGGAATACTACCTCTTAGAATAAAATTTAGTCTCTAACCTGGTCAAGAGTATATTTACCAGTTGAACTTACCAGGTGCCATGACTAAAGAATAGAATCCATATATAAGACGACATATCCATTAAACTCAGAAATCATTAATAAAAACGCTTCTATATAAGCATGTGACAAAAATACTTAGCTTACTGAACTATTAGTTATATGCACTTACTGGATTATAGAGGGATTTTTTTTGTATAGTTTTGACACCAGGTAAGTCCACTGATGAACAAAGACTTATATTAATAAAGTTTAAAAATTTCAATATTATGATCATCCTAATAGGTAGTATACCTTTAATATCAGCGCCAATACGTCCATTTCTATGACGTCCGCGTCAGATTTCTCCAAAATCGTTCTTGGTCAATGAAATTAAAGATTCCAAAGAAATTTTTTTTCACCAATTCTAAGAGAGAGGGAGAAGGTTAAATAAGTTGTGTAATTTAAACATCCTGTGAAATTACCATAATTATACTCAAATACATCCGTTTATATAGATAGGTAAATTAATATAATGTTACCATTTTCATTGACAAAGATAGGAAATAACACATTCTAATTATGCGATGTTTAAAGGGACAGATTCGCCATCAGTTTGACCACTCGTACTGTAGTTTCAGAAACCGGATTTTTTTTTTAGCTAAGCTAATGAGTAATAGTGTTCACAGCTCACCATCGAAATGTAAGCCTTCCAATCCATGCGTGTCCAGAATTATCAGCGTTAGAAAGTTAAAAAGACAAATTGCTATGTACGAAAAGTGTGATTTAATTCAATCCTAATATTATTGTAAAGGAGTAGTCCCATCACAGTTTTGATGCAAGTTGTATTGAGCTGTAAGTATCTCACCAAAAATCAAATTGAGGCATATATTATATTTAGAAAGGTGTCAAGGGCAATGAATATACATAATGACATTCAAATAGTGAAGATCTCGTCAATTTAAATTAAATGCTCAAAGTGATGCATTTAAAAGCCTTGAAAATCCTCTAAAATGCCAAAAATAAAACCCAACTGAAAATCTCAGAATATAAGTATATTAATATAAGTAATGGAACTACGTCCTATTAAATGTTTTATTTAAAAAAGGAACGATATTAATATGATTTATTAGGAGAAAAGTCGGTCAAATATTGATTCCACAGAGAAATTGAATGTCAAATAAAGCCCTGGTTATTCTGACATTCCTTTTTAACTGGTAAAATAATGGTTCTTTATTCAATTACTTTTAACGTCATTCTTCATTCGTTTCTACAGAATGTCTCATTATCTCAGCAGATTTGTCAGTCTAGTATATTTTTCTCCATGACCAACTTTGTTCCTTCGTGGTATACAGAAGGACGCTTATGACATCAGTAAGATTTTTGTTTTGTTTTACATAGCCTACATACTTCATTAATTTCTTTATCATGTTCCAAGAGCATCAGCACCTAATATTCGTGGAATACTAATAATACGACTCTGCACTTTCTCGATAAGATGTCAAGTGTTAGAAGGACAGAATCTCGAAGCGCTCTCTTTCATGTCCGTGTCATTTTAAAGTGTTTCTATTACGTCGCTCCTGACGTACTCCAGCAAACTGGTACCGATGTATCGATTGATACCTCAGCCTCAGGAGATTTTCTGCTGCGTAATTTCCTCTTTTCTTAACAAAACTAATGAGTTAGTCTATAAAAAAAAAGTCGCTAGATCCAGCCTCTGATAAGCTTTAATGATGTTATATAGGCACCTTGGCATACTGCATTTCCTGTTTTCTGATATAAAAATTCCACCAGACTACTATGTCAACCCGAAATTAACAACTTGAAGTGAATTTCTGAGACAGTAGTAAGAAGTATAATCAAACATCTTTTTACACTTAGAAAAAGAACTGAAATCATTTTAGCCCATTTGAATTTATCAAGCTTTAAAGATTTCAAATTTCCCCCCTGAAACATGATATTAAATTCTTCCCGAACCTGGTATCCCAATCACTATGATGAATTAAGGGTGTTATTTTAGGTATATTTCGAGTAATGGGTTGAGTGTATTTCAATACAGAACGAATATAGCCAACTTGACTTGGTTGATAACTTATCTCTGTAGCAAGCATGAAAGATGTAAAACTTTACATCGCAGTTTGTACGAAACAGTGCACAGCGCATGTATATAGCTTTGATAAATACAAAATGCATTAGCATGGACCCAAAATCTGGCTTCATTGAGTCTGATGCTCAGGGGCTAACAACAGAGCAGCCTAACAATAATACCACCTCTATTTGTTCATGCAGATGATAGTGCTTCATCATTATTCAAGGTAATTGTGACCGAATGCAGAATGAATAATATTTCAAAGTTTATTCCATGAACACGGTTTGAGAAGTCATTGAGAATTTGCCAATATTTTAAATCCTGAAATCGAGTAATATAATAATTGTGGTAAGATGACATTCCCGTGGTTTACAGACTGATATAGCTCTGGGAGGGTGTGATATTGTAATAGAAAGACGATTCTAGTAATAATACAGATAATACCACAGTTACAATTCGTAGTTTGTTTGAAACCAAACGTGATGAAATAAATATCTTTCTAGTAGCTGAGTACAAAAATAAACCACTCCAAAACACTCTAGACCTAAATTTTTACTTGAATTAGCCTTGAGCCCAGATTTCCATGTTACTTAGGAAATATACCGACACTTTGCTTGTGAATGTAGTACATGTAATTGGTTTCAAATGGAAATTACGCTTTGTGTTATTTGATTTTAAATGTAAAATTTCTGTTCAGTTATCTTAAAAACAATTTACTCCATTAACATGACAATGTGATAGTATTAAAGCATTAAATAAAGAGTGGGTTTGCTCAATAAATACTCTATGTAACCATTGCGCTCCTAAAAAAAGGTTTTAAATGTATGTATTTTTCAATTCCAAAAACGCTTTATAAAAATATTGCGGTTATTTTAATGTGATCTTATTGAATGAAGTAAATAGATCTTAGGTTTGGGGGTATTCGTGACCTCTATATTATATGAAATTCGATCGGCGGTCGGTAAACAAATATTGGGTTTTTAACATAATCTTATTTCATGACAAATCAAAAGAACAATTTGTAAAACAGAAGAATTTCCATTGTATTACCATTGGTATTAGTATATTATTTAGTATTGACCTTATTATGATTATCCTAGTAATTAGTATATTATATGAAATAATATAAATATCGAGATCTTTGATAGATTTCGTCCAATTCTCATATAGGAAAACCAGCAACCATTTTAAATCAACTGGCTTGCTCGATTAGATGGATTTTGCATCTATAATTGGTGTTGACAGAATATTTCTGGCTTGCCTGGGTTTTTCACGGTTGTGTTGAATTTGATTTAAGTTGTAGGTATATGTGAAAGACATTCTAGTTGAGACGTAAGCGTTGGCAGTTATTCTTTTATATTCTAAAAGCAGGCAGATTCAGACAATAAGGAGGCTGAAGATTTACTGCTAGGTTTATTTATATTCAGCGAGCACCTGTTCTACAGAAATGGGTCAATACATCAAGAGAACTAATGGTATTTAGACACTTGGAATCAAGATAACAGCTTCCTGCAATTGATTCTATGTGATACAAATATCACAACAAATTAAATTGTTGTGTGGGTGCCAACTATCAGCAAGTTTAAAATGACATATGAGTCGAATACATGTCAGAAGATAGTCCGAAAAAGAGAGACTTTTGAAAGCGCGTTTTATTTACGCAAAAGATTGACCCTTCCTACCAAAACATTTTGCTCAAACATCAACATTTTGTTAATCATAGTGCTCTTATTCTGACAATCCCATACCGATTATATCACGAATCCATTCTCTAATTCAGGGGTTTTTCAACCTTTTACTTTCTATTACCCCTTTTGGGGTAATTGATCGATTGCATTACTCCCTTTTCCCTATAAATCTTATTTAAAGATGGGTTTCCTTTTTTAGCGTCAAATTAAGCAAACTATTTGGTAAATTAACCCCTGTTTGAAAACCCCAGTTCTAATTAGTGAAGCAGTTAAGAAATTAAGAAAATAGAAAAAGAACAAAATAATCTTATTTGTAGTTGCTCTACTTCACTGACCTAAATAATTTGTTTTTCACTTGACCGAGTTGTTAACCTTCCAAATTCTATAGTTCAAATTTCAAATAATTTATGTTCCAATCTTAAATTATACTTAGAAACCAGTTAGAAATAATTACTATATTATTACCACGAAAACTGATTGTATAACAAACTGCATGTGACTAATAAGTTGACTTATGTAAGAGCAAATGAATATTTCCGTTATGTTAAATGACATTTGATAGTGGTATGATATTTTATTTGCTTTTCAACCCATGGCAGTGGTAAATCAAAAAAAAAAAACATTTAGAGAATAAGGTACAGATACGAGGGGTGTCAAAAAAGTTCTAGACTGATGTCACAACCAATTTACTAACTACAAACTACGAGTTTTCCCCTTCGAAGTAAGAGGGTCTTCGCGCTTTCCATGCAATCTATTCCACGCTTGCATGCACTCCCGAAGGAGTTTTCTGGGATTTTCCACTACACGCCCTTCACAATGTCGTCCACGTCTTCATAAAGAGTCCCCTTGATGATCCTAATGAGCTTGAGTTGGAGAAAAAGAAAAATAGCCAAGATGAGTGAGTAGGGAAGTTATCCCAGAACGGCAATGTTCTAATTCTCTAACCCTCCTCGAGCACTTAACGAAGCAAACGTAGCAGTATATCGCAGACATGCTGAAAACTTGTAGTTTGTAGTCAAAATGAACCTTTTGTTACATCTGGAACATTTTGGACATAATTCGTAGACGAGTTTACGATGCGGGATTATAATCCATATATCAAAACAAAACTTTCTGCAACCTTCCAAATAGCCATGCTTGCAAATTTCCATGCAGTTTCCAGATGGTAACGTAAATGAAATCATGTTTCTTTGACGTGAACGATTGGTTACTATAGTAAATATTTAAAATATTAGCCATTTTATTTTTAAAAACTACATGCTATTTTCTTATATTTTATAATGTACG